GCAGCTTGGGAGTCCTCCCGATGTGAATGGCGCTATACAAATGTAATGTTGTTGTTGTCCTGGAATGCATTGTTGCAGGTCAACTTCGGTCACACCACTCCCTCCTTGAGCCCCTGCGGTCTGGTGTTTGCTCTGCCCAAAGCACCGAAACAGCGCTTGTCAAAGTCATGAACGACGTCCTAGCTATCTGAGACCAGGCTCTCTGCTTCCTCGTCCTCCTGGATCTCTGCCGTGTTTGTCAGAGTCAACCGTGCCGTCCTTCTCCATCACCTCTCTTCCCTTATCCACCTTAGTGGGACCGCACTCGCATGGTTCGATTCCTACTTAACCAACCGCCTCCTTTTCATCTCGGCAAATGGTTTCTCCTCCATTTGGCGCCTCTGCTCGACTGGCACTGGCCTCCTGCCTGTCCCTCGCATCCTCCGCTCCACCATTGGAGGTCGTGCTTTCAGCTACTTTACCCGAAACTGTGGAACATTCCCCCAACCCCTCGGCCTTGCCTCTCTTTCCTCTTTTTCAAGTCCCGCCCTAAAACCTTCGTTTTCGACCGTGCTTTAGGTCAACCACCCCCCCGGCTCCACCACTGTTAAGCACTCTGAGACCCTATCCTGCATGGAAGGTGCTATAAAAGTGCAAGTTGTTTTTGTAAACTGCTGTTTACACTCGAGCATGTGTGTAGTTTCTTTGTTGATACTGCTGTAAAACTTTGCTGAAGATATAAACTGGATGAATTGTACTGCACAGCAAAGTTCTCTGATTCAGTAATATATAATTACTTTTGCAAGGACATAAAATAAGAATGACTGTATTGTTAGCATCTCCCATTTAGTCTTTGCTTTAAGACATTCTCCTAATGTGAAAGGTGTGGGTTTATGACATTGCAATATGCTTTATAGCTAACTCCAAAGTACTTGATAGACTGAAACCTGCTATAATTAAATTTAGAGTGTTATATAACTTTGTGTAGTTTCCAATCCTGGTGGCTTAATTCAGTTGATAAATAACGTTGGAGCAAAAATGTAACTGGAAATTGAAAATATAAATGGCTTGCCAATGTGCTGTATTGAGTACAGCCAAATTGCTTATTTCCTTTTTTTTCTCCTTCCCTCCATTTTTTGAACACTGACTAGTACTTCATTAATGTGTCTAATTTTAATCAAGCTTCCTGAGCGATTCTGTTTAATTTTTAGAGAAAGTATTCATGCTTGTAACCACCTTTGTGCTTCAGGCAAGCTCAGTTGGTGATTTGGAAAGTTTAAGCCCCATGTCACGATTTTGAAGTTACATAGTTTATGTTGACACCTCAGTTCAGTGCTAAGGGTGCGTTATATTTTTGGAGATGTCCTTCAGATGAAATATTAAACTGAGGTAGAACATTGCTGTGCGCAAATTGATCGCTGTGTTCATTTACAAAATACAGATGGTACACTTTACAGTATATCCTGTAAAACTCTTAAGATATCTTCCCAACATTTAATAATAATAATCATTACATTTGGTATAGCATATGCAATGTTGTTATTACCATCTTTGATCACAATCAAGGTTTGAAATTAAATATTGGTCTGGTGAACCAGAAGAGCACATTTAGAATGGATCAGTGAGTTTGGGATGTTGTGCAATACTGTACAGTGCACCATTTAAATAAGTTCCAAATAGTTATATGCTTGTGTGCTTTTATTTAAGCTGCCTTTAACATCTACTTGTAACATGGTACAAACCATTGTAGCAAATACATTACTCATTGTCACTTACTGGATCTGCAGCTTTAATTTCGAGTCCCGAGGCTAAACATAAAACTAATTTTACGTCTCGAACGGTGTTCCTCAGGGCTCTGCCCTTGGTCCCCTCCTTTTCAATATCTATATGTTCCTCTTGGTGACATCATCCGCAGACATGGGGTCAACTTCACATGTGCGGATGACACCCAACTCTACATCTCTGCCTCCACCTTCGACTCCAGAACCACTGCTGTCCTGACATCAAATCCTGGATGAGAGCTAACTTTCTACAGCTGAACATCAACAAGACCGAGGTCCTCCTGATTGGCTCTGGTCAGCACCTTCACGCCTCAGGCACTGACAGCATCGCCATCCAAGGATGCACACTCCATGGCCTTACTCCACGCCCTCCATGGCCTTGCTCTTTCAACCTCTGCGACCTCCTAATTCCTACCAACCTGCCCGTTCCCTCTGCTCAACGCGCTCTGGCCTGCTTCACGGCCCCCACCTTGCCCATCCCACCATTGGCGGTGGGGTGGGGCCTTCAGCCACTTGGCCCCCGCCCTCTAGAACTCCATCCTGCAGACCCTTTGCCTCGCCCCCTCCCTTGCCTCCTTCAAGAACCATCTCAAGACCCTCCTCTTCAACCGTGCCTTTGGTCACCCTCTCTCCCGCCCTCCACCCTCCCTGATCTCGACCCTCAGCTTGGGTCAGAAGCACTGATTGTCCAGCGCCTTAAGACATCCTCCCAATGTGAAAGGTGCTATACAAATTGATATTGTTTTGTTGTAATTTGTTTGGTTGTAAAGTAGTTTTGAAGTGGATATGTAATTGTCTGCAACTTATATGTATTTTAGACTATCTGGTATCAGTAATGAATAACTAGTAGAGTTGCCCATCCCAGTTTGGACAAAAGTGAGGAGGGCCTACATGGGAACGAAGGTCTCAAGTAATGAGCTGTTGGCAACAAAGCACATATCTTTGTTTGTGAACGAGTCTCTGTCTCCTGTTTTTCTGTGTCTTTCTTTCTGACACTTCCTGTTTGTTTCCCCCATGCCTAATCCCCATGAATTTCAGCCACAAAATACACATAGCATCAAGTTGTGACATCTCGACAACTTGATCATATATTAACCATGTGTACTTATTTTCTGGCTGTGGTCTTTTAGACACAAATATTTTGAAACCAGTGGGGTGAACACACATTATAGCCCTGTATGGAATGGTCTGGAAATAATATCAAGCAATGCCACAAGAGCAGTGTTACCAGAGCAAGTGCCCTTTAGAAGTGCAGAGGGACCCATGTCTTGAAGTTGTATTTCACAACTCCGGAGTAAACTATACTACTGTGTTCATCTTATAGTGCTGCTGTTGAGGATGGGGCTGCTGTTGGCAGCACTAATGCATAAATGTGCCAAAAATGTGATTCCACTAAGGTGTTTATGCTACTCACAGTTGAGCTGAAAAAGTGATATTCCATTGTGATTCTGACTAATTATGTTTTCCATTTTAGATTCATATAAACTGAAATCATCTTGAAGATCAAATTAAACAAACTGACTTGGAACTATTTCACCTTTGAATCAAGTTGTTCATTCTATGTGAAAGGTGCTATATGAGTGCAATTTGTAAATATTTCAGTGCATGTGAAGTTAACACATACATGTGTATGCAACAATTTGCATTTATATAGTGACCTTCACGCGGGGCAGGACCTCAAAGCGCTATTTCAGTCTTAGATTAGTTAACAATCCTTAAGGAAATGTGAAATTGAAATCTGCCCCCTGACTATTTGCATCAAAATGCAAACTCACCATCAGACTAATACCAGGAATTTCACTTTAGCTCCAGTTAAATTACAGTTGAATCTCACTTTATCTTTGCTTTCTCCCTTTTTTAGGTGTGTGATGTTCGAAATTATATTTAACCTGTTTTGAGGTTCAAAATTGATATGGATAAACTGAACTGAATAATTTGACTAAATATGTTCAGTATGTTCACAGTGCTTCTATAAATATTTTTCCTTTCCAAAGCTGTATAGTTTCTTGTCATTTGTGTATTTTGTGGATCATGGTGAGGATTTGAATGACAGAGGTAGATCGGATCAAATTATGAATATGTTTCCCCCCCCCCATATAATATAACTCTTTCAGCTGGAATATGTCCTTGGTACTAGAGTAGGTTTGGTATCCTGAGTTAGATGTACAGTTCCATTGATGGCCATTTAAGTTTGTTAGCTGTCTTCCAAGATAATTGTTTAGGTTCCCTTGGAGACCATTCTCTGCATTTTACAATTGATGTTTAGAAGTGTGATCCTCTCCACCCTCAGTTGATACCTTTACAAAATCTCAATCTATTTCTACTGAATTTCCATATCCTTTTGACCCTGTTGACTTGTGATCTTAAATTACTTTTCTGGTTTTGCTGGTCTCTTCATACAGTATAATTGAGATTTCATCTGGCATTCAGATAAAGCAGTATTTGTTCCAGAATCCTACCAAAGGATATAGCATATTTTCACTTACTGCATATTGATATAATCACTATTAGTGGAAATAATCTTACTATCTATTGGAACCCTTCATAATCATGAAGATCTGTCAGATGATCCCTTAACTATCTCAGCTCTTAGTCCCATCATCTCTGGCTTACATTGCAGAAGGACAAAAACATCAATTTCTAAATGGTTATTGGTTGGTGGAGTTCAGGCACCACTGTTATCACGCTGGTAAGAAGCTTTCAGGCTCAGTAAAGGAACACTCTTATTGCATCTACCTTTACTTGAATTGAATACCCAAATGTGACTTGAGAAACCTGTATGCCTTCATTAAGGAACAAAGGGCTAATCTTAATCCTAAAGGGCTAAACAAGTTGAGAATGAAATCAGAAAGCATTTTTTCACACAAAAGGTTTTAGAAATTTTAAATTCATTGCCCCAGGAAAGTTTTAGGTGCCATATCAATTAAAATATTTAAGAGGGAGGTAGATGAATATTTGGTGGACAGGGATATCATTCTGCAATAAAGGAAAAGGTGAAAAGGCAGGTAAATGGTATTAGATTGTAGATCAGCCAAGATCTAATAAAATGGTAGAGCATTTCATGCTTATGATTGTTTAGATGGAGTAGCCTCTGAACTAAATGGCAGTAGGAGGTGGTGGTAGTGGGGATATGTTTCCATTTTACACCATTTATTTTGAAATGTTGGAATGTGCTAACCTGCGTTTTTTTTTCCTTTTTTTAATGTTGGTGGTTGAACCTTTTCTGCTTTTTCCTTTCAGGCACAGATTTCTTTCTTGCAAGGGGAGAGGAAAGGCCAAGAGAACTTGAAGAAGGATTTGGTCAGAAGAATTAAAATGCTTGAATTTGCTTTAAAGCAGGAAAGGTGTGGCTTTTGGAATCTTTATATGAACTGTGTTCTGGATGTGGTCATAAAACATACCTCACAAATTGCTTCTTATAAAATACTTGCCTTTTGACATTTGCTAATATTGTTGGAATAAATGTTGAGTTTCCTCTGGATTTGCATGTGATCAGATTTCCTTGTAAAACATTCCACCACTTTCAATTTATGAACAATGTTTTTGTTTTTAAAAAAAAACTAAGGAAAATTGTCCAGTTTAACTCTTCAAAGACTGCAGTGGCAGATCTGTACCAACATAATTTAAATTGTTCTAAGAATTGTGTTAATTAGTATTCTATTCCATAGATTTATCGCTTTTATTTTGTAAAATTCAGTGACAGAAATGCATATTGAATCAGTTTTATTGTATATACAGTATGAACTATTTTGGTACTGTTTCTTTTAAGCAATCACTTCACAGTCCGCTAGGAAGTCCTTTGGAGATCTTTTGTGTGAGTGTGTGCACTTGAGTCACTTGTGGCGTCTCTCCTTATTCTCTGACACTCAGAGTTGAATTTCTTAAAACGCTTCACTTCAGATATTTTTTATAAAGACTTCCTGTTATCAAAGTTTTAGGATGTAATAGCCATCATCTTGTTAATAATTGAATATGTTCAAATGTCAGGATCTTCAATAATGAGCCTTTTTTGGTCCAATTTAAGAAAGTTGGAGATGAATTGGTTATCATTTAAGCTGTACTGTCAAATTGAAAATCTGATGGCTTCATAAAATTATAGTTAACTCAAGTTTGTGTATTTGTATGGAAGTTCATTTCTATATTTTTAATATCCTTTGACAGCTTTTCCTCCTGCCCTCCCCCATCCCCCACCCCCACCATTTGTCTGCTGTAAATGTTCTTGTATCTCTTGAAAGGACTGTCTAATTGAGTAACAATTTCTCACTTTCTTTTGATCTTTTTCCTATGATAAGTGGGTAAAGTATGAAGATACTGAAATGAGTTGTGAATTGATTGAAGTGCATGAAAAAAATGCAGTGTGTTTTGACATGAAGCATTCATGAGGCTTGATGAAGCATTAACAGGCAATCATAATGCAGCAGTTTATCATAATGATATTAAATGTTAGACTAACCTAGATTCCTAATGTACATAATAAATTCCTTTAGCATCAAATGTAGATGAAAGGGTAAACTGTTGCTATATGCCCTGTTGCTACATGTTCCGTATATACAGTAGTAGTCCATTTGCCAGATTTATAGGCTAGGTAGGCATTATATTTCTCATTTACTCCCATTGGCTGATGAATTAAATTAGTTTTTTCAAAACTTGGTTTTGCACAATAATCCCTAGAAATGTTATTGTTCTTTCATCTGGATATATAAGGTCTTATACTGTAAGATCATATTGTTAAAAAAAAACAAATTTTTCGAATCGCAGACAATGCATACGTTTGATCTTAATTTGAAGATAATTTATTTTATAAGGATAAAGCTGTGAAAAAACAGCTGCCAAATTAAAAGTAAATTTTTTCACAATTCTGAAGTTTAAGGATAAAATGGTATTGTAGACTGAGATGTGGACTTAATTGTGGGTGTGAACCTACATGCCTGCCTGCTTTCTTTGCTAGTACGAAAAATGTCAAATTGGGTGGATATATTTCTGGTAAATAATAGTTTTTGAGTACTACTTTTTATTGATGTTGCTATTAACGTTGTGTACAAGTTGGGGTTTGTTCACAGTCTGCAAGCCAGCTCATTGGGTGGCTTGGCCTATTGCCGATGAATGCTTTGACAGCCTTCTGATCAATCCTGCTGCGTAATGCTTTGGAGAATTGACATTAGAATGCAGAGCACGAATGTGCTTCACTTTACCTTTTGATATATTCATAAATAGAATCCTGCCGTAACAAAAAAGATTAAAAAATAAGACTTATATGAGTTTTACTGTGGAGTATATCATTCCAATTTTCAAATCAGTTTCTCATGGAAAATGAAAGAATTATAGTGAAAAATCAGTAAATTACTGACTCATTGAATCGCGGGAAACATAGTCTCGACTAGTCACAACTTGTGCACTTACTGGCTGCAGTGACAAACTACCGCATGCGCACTTACCGACTCCACTGAATACTTACACATCGTATAGATTATTGATTAACTCAGATTTTATACGATTTATACAAGCATGCCGGCAACTCTTACTTCATGTAAGTCATATCAAATGTTATGGTCTCGACTGATACGACTCATGTGAGTATTACTATGTATATTGTATATATGCTATTTTCTTCTGTCCCTTTGCAAATTGAATGGGTTGTTGCGCAAGTCTGTTCTATTGGCAAATGAGGATAATTGATTCCTTGCTTGACCAAACTTTTTTTTGGATGAATTGGGAAGTAACTATAATTGGTCAGCTTTTGCAACATGCTGAATGCATTATATCGTGTTCAAATCCCATCATTCTCTTACACCTGCCTACCTCTCGGACCTCCTCACTCCCCAATCCACCACCCAGTACCTCCGCTTGACAGGCCTCCTGCTCGTCCCTCGCACCTGCCATCGGAGGTCGCTCTTTCGGCCACTATGCCCCAAAACCCTGGAACACTCTCCCTCAATCCCTCTGCCTTGCCAATCCTCTTTCAAGTCCCGCCTGAAAACCTTCCTCTTTGACCGTGCTTCCAGTCACCAGTGTCAGGCTCTGCCACTGTTATGCACTCTGAGATGCTACCCTGCATGGAGGGCGCTATATAACAACAACAACAACAAGATTTCATTTATAGAGTGTCTTTCACGTCGGGAGGACGTCCCAAGGCGCTGGACAGTTAGGTCAGGATCCGAGAAGGGGGGAAATGGTCAGGGTGAGGGGAGAGGAGGGGGTAGAGAATCGAGAGGGGAGCTGAAGGCACGGTCTAAGAGAGTTTGACCGAGTTTGATCTACATGTAAGTGTGAGTTGTTGTTTGTTGTTGTATCCAAAACCAAGCAAGTTTCTCTTGGTATGACTATGTTAAAGGTGCCTTGCTCACGTCCACATATTTAAATCTTGTACATTTGTATCTTCTTTACTTTCTCTTCCTTTGCCCTCACCTTCTGCTCTTCCTCTCTTCTCTTCCCCCCCAGAAAATATAGACTCATCACCTACTTTTATTATTTGTTTTTAAACAAAAAAAATAAAATGAAGAGGTGATGTGAATTGATTATCTTGGTTTCTTGTAAAAGGTTACACATATTGAAGTGTCTGTGCTAAACAAAGACAATAAAATAACTAAGAAGAAAGATGAGTAGATTGTGAATCATTTTTGCCTCAATGTGCTACATGTCTCTCGCAATGTAAAATCCATGTCTAATTGCTATCTTGTTTCTTTATTGAATTGAAAACAATACAGTATTTTAATTTAGCTGTGTTCTTAAGATTTGAGCTGGTTTATTTTTGCAATAACCCTAGAGATTTTCTTGCAGAGTTAGTGTTTTATAGACATTCTTTGAAACACTCTTGTTAGTTCAACATAGCTTATCTTTCAATGATAAAGTGAACTGAAGTTCTGAAATTGTAGTTTTGTTACGAGTGAATTTCCTTTAGATTGGTTTTAGTTAATGATAGTTGTGCATTAAATTGACAGTGAAAAATTAAAGATATATATTTTGTGCACTAATGATGAATATGTTTTCAACAAAATATGAAATAGACATCTGTGGTTCCAGTATGTTGCTAAAGTATGAAATGTTTTTGTATTTCTTAACCACAAAATCAATTTCCCAATTCAGTAATTGCATAATTAAGTTAATGATTTATTGGTTGCGTGAATATATCAGTTTAATTAGCTGTTTCCTTAACTAAAACATGTATTCCTATTTTTTCAGAGCTAAACACCATAAACTGAAATATGGGACGGAGTTGAATCAAGGAGATATGAAACCTCCAAATTATGATTCTGGTAAGATGTGAATCATTTGCGAGTGCTTCTAAAAAAAAAATTAACACATCTCACAGAAATATTTTAATACCATTGACGAAGGCAGGGAATTTTAATTAAAAGGTATAACTTATGGATCTAGCAAATATATAATTTCAATATTTAGTTTAAGTAGAAAGTAAATTAATTGCATCGCAAGATTTTTAAGAAAGGAAATGTTAAGGAGCATTTTTGTGCATTATTGCACATATGTTTTGTTCAACAAAGTATGGATTACACATGATCCTTGGTTGCTGATGTTACTGAAGTGTTATGTGCTTATGCATCTCTTAGCTGCAAAAACAATTGATTTCATGCTACATTTATTACTGTTGAAATAAACAAAGAAATGTGCTGTGGGAATTTTGATTCAAGCTCCTGCTGTTCGTCACATTAACACCAATAAAAAAAAACCTAACTTTCAGTTTAGCATTTATTCAGAATTCCAACATAATATGTTATTTTGTAATGTTAGTAAACATTTGGACCCATAAAGTTCTAAGTACCCAACAAAGATGTACAGAATGTACACAGCTATACAGAGTATGACTGACTCAGTATGAAAGAATTAAGTTGAGTGTGAGGAGACACTGGAAAGAGCTAGTAAGTGAGACCATTTACAATAGAAAGAGAGGTGATAAATTTAATATTTTACACTTTCACTTTTCTCTCCCTCCCCCAAATATTGTGTAAATGTTACAAGGTATAAATTTTTTATGAGAGTCTAGAAGATTGACGGGCTTAAATGTTGTTATAAAGGTCCTTTGTGAAATGGGTTTGTGCATTCCTAACTCGTTCCTTGGTGGCCAAGGCCCCAAAGGCCAAAATGCTCTTAAAATTGTCTGTCTGTTGGATCAGACAAGCCACAGCATGCCTGGTATTGGAAATGGGAACATATTAACCTGTTGGTTGAGACATTAATGGAGCAGAGCGAGAAAAAGAGCTTTTCTCTGTGTATATCCATACTTATGTACCTTGGAGTACTCAAGTTGCAGAGTTGGTACCCAAAATGGGAAAATATATTCTGTTTGAAGACGTTCTGTGCAGCATTTTTTACTAAGGACCGTAGGAATCTACAGACCTGGAAATAGTCTGGTTGGTCACAAAATACAATTTTAACAAAAAAATAATCCCACATAATCACACATGTATTTCAGTGGATTTCTTCACTAAATAACTTTTAATTTGTTGTCAATTTTGCAACGCAATATGCTTCTGCTTCCTCCCTGAGTAGTCTATTCCATATGTACATCAATGTCAAAGATAAATACATCTGAAATGACTGTTCACTTTCCCTCGTCTGAGATATATTTTGGACCAGGTTAACCATGTTATTAGGAACCAATTGATCCTTGGTCTTTAGGATTTTGTATGGTTTCCTTTGAGTTACATTTTCTTTAGCATTGCTGCACACATGAAGAGTGTGAAGGTAATATGTGTAAAATTGTAATGAGTATTAACAGCTAAATGCTATGAGATCAATCACAATAGGAGACTTTGAATTTTTAAATGGTATTTAATATTCTACAGTAACATGTTTAGAGAATAGAGAATAATACTCATTCGTGAATCATGTCAAGAGAGAGCTGGGTCTAATGCATTCTATTTCTTTTAGATGAAAGCAATGAAAATGAGGTCCCAACAACACAAAATAGTCAGTTAACATGGAAGCAAGGGAGACAGCTGCTTCGCCAGTAAGTATCTTATTGGGTTGTTCATTTTTCAGATATGATTGTAGTATTTAAGTGTTCAGGCAGCACTATGAAGGTTGTAACATACTTCTGTTTTCACTTTGAAGGACATTTAATTACATCATAAAGCTGAGATTTATCATTCAGACTACAGAATTTGAAATTCATTGACATTGGTGTAATTTAAAATGCACAATCTGCTTCTATGAAGGCATTAAGTGGAGTAATCAGATTTCATTAATTTTACTCATCTCAATCTGGGACATAGATGGTGCAGTTTGGCTGCTGCGTTTGCCTACATAAACAAAATTCTAATGAAATGTACATATTAATATACATTTATTATCTCATTTTTTGATTATCATAAATTGTGTTTTGCCCACCTCATGATTTTGGTAGTATTAAGGGATAACTTTTCTTCCCCCCACCCTACACTGACAATGCTGGTTTACTTCATCTCCCCACCAATCCACCACGTTGGGCCACTTTGCCCTGCCTAAAAACTCTTCAACTGCATCTTTGGCCTAATCCTAAATTTCGTCACCCCCTCCCCCAACCGTCCTGCCAGCATATGCTCCCATTCTGTCATAAAGTATTGTATTAAGTACTTGGAGATGGCCCCCAAGTGAAATATGCCATAATTGGTCTTGCTGGAACGTCCCCTACTATTCCAAAGAAATGTGGAATTTTCTCATTATCCTGACTTGTATTCCCTCATAATCCAAGTTCACCCCAAATTCAGATTGGTTACTCACCTCATTTGTGGGCATGTTACTGGTGCAAATTAGCTGCCTTGTTTGCCTACATAATGCATTCAGTTCATTTTGAATTATCTAATTTGTTAAAGCATTTGATTTTCTTTTTGTCGAAGTCCTATCCAGATGTAGGTTACTCTGCTTAAAGCGGGTTGAATTAGTTAAATAGATTCTGTTTATTTCTAATTAAAACTTAACATTTATGATTTTAATGTTTTATGTTTTTGTTAAACATTGTATTTTATTGGGGAAAATGTTTTCAATCTCAACAAAAAAAAAGCTGTTGAGGTTTCTTCTTAGTGCAGACAATGTAATGAATAGTGAATTGTTTACAGTAGCCAGTGTGCTCAGAGCTTTCATTTTCCTAGTGACTTTAGAGGCTGGTACTGGAAGAGATGCATCACTCTGATCCTGCAGCTGGTACAAGTGACTATTTTTGCCAATTTCCCACTACATCACTACAGTTCAGCAGAGTGTAGAACAGCATTTTCTGTTGTGTGTTTTTTGCTCCTGTTGTTTAAACATCCTACCTGGTATCTGGTCAGATCTTACTGTACAAATTTCACAGAATTGTAATGGTCGTTCAAAAGAACTAACGTTTAGTTTTATTTGTATAGATACCTACAGGAGGTGGGTTACACAGATACCATAATAGATGTGAAGTCAAGACGGACACGAGCAATGCTAGGCCTCTCTAATGATGACCTGGACAAAGTATCAGGAATTACAAACCTAGAGCCTGTTGTTAATGGTGGAGAAGTTCTGCTAAAAGTTACAGATATGATTGGGTAAGTGTTGATACTTCATACTAATTTAAACTGGTTATATGTTAAATTCTAATAAAAAAAATTGTTTCAAGTATTTTTTAAATATATATATTTCTAGGAGGCTTTTAAATTTGGGATACTAAAGTGGATGTAGTCCAGTGTTGTGATAATAGCTTATATTGCCCTTGGTTTTAGTGTGAGTCTGCATGGTTTTTGGTAGATGACCCTGTTGGAAAGAAGAGAATATTTATCTTTGAAGGAACAAAAAATAATGTAGTGACTTTTGTCTGATTTTTAAAAACTCCTTAAGATGCAACTAAGGCATTTAAGATCTGAAATTATGCCAAGTTTTAAGACCAATTTACCTCAAAATATAAGATTGTGCAGAACTTAAATTCAGGGTTAATTTGGAAATACATTTCTGTTCTTAAAGACGTAGCTTCAGAATTAATGCTAAATTTAAGTTTTCTGCAATTCTGCAGAAACATAACACAAACTAAGTTGAGTTACAATGTTGACTTGCTAGTTTCTTTCCCATAATATGCAAAATGTCTGTACAGTATTTGATTGATGGATGTATCTAGTAGTATTGCATGTATATGGTGCAATAAAAATGAAGGCTTTTTTTAAAGTAAAGTAAAATTGTTGACCCAGTTGGTCAAATGTCATTTCATGCAACCTGGAATGAATAATACCGCTAATGAAAATTCACCCAAGGTTTCCAGTACTGGTACAATTTCTATTAATAAAAATGCATGGTGTTGGAGTGAAAAAGCTCTTGTCAGGAAGCCACTGCGAGAATAACTCCTTGATTCTGAGAGAAAAAGATCTCAGGATGTAAAGTGCCACTCCGACAGGAAAACCTACACGTCATGATGACCCACAAGAACTTGGCTGCAATACAATTTTCACTTGGAGCAGAGTTCCCGCAAGTCAATCTCTTGCAAACAGTTTTCCGTGAGGTAGATGCATTTGACATACCAGGACAGTTTTCTGCCTATGGTTCACACCCTGAACACAAGCCAGTAATGTTTCCATGCTAAAGAGGTTGCTGCTGACATTGTTTCCTGTTTGCTGTGCAAGTGCAAAGCAGGAAGCGATGTTGGCAATGACCGATGACCTGAGAAACGGCCTCTTTTTTAAAAGCACGGGAAGCTAAAATTAGTGACTTCTGAGTTATTGGATCTCTCCCAAAATCGCTTCCTGTGTGCTACAAGTTGGAAGTGAAGTTAGTAGTGACCTAGTAACCCAGAAGTTGGCCATTTTGGTGGGAAAGCCGACTGGTGCATACGAAGCAAGTGGGTGAGTTCTGCCCATGAGCAGTGAGTAGAGTCCACCACGTTATAACTATTTGTGCTGTAAAAGCTGCATGTAATGAGTGCTGGTCAGGCCTTGTTTGGAACATTTTATTCAATTTTGAGGATTCACTCTGAGGAAGAGTGCATTAGTTATCCAGCAACAGTTAATATCCAGAATGAAGGGATTTTAATTCTGTCTTAATATTTGGAATGTAATTATGACAGAGGCTGGATTATGTATGTTCCCTCAAACTAAAGAGGTTGAGTGATGATCCGATTGAATTTAAAATAATAAAGGAAATGAAATAAAGGAAATAATAGAGTAAATGCGGTCATCCTTTGTTACCATTCCAAAACAAGAATGCATAATCTTAAAATTAGAGTTAAAGAAGTTGGAGTGAGATCAGAAAATATTTCTTCACAAAAAGGTTGTGTAAAACTAATGCCCTGCTAGGAAAAGCTGTAGGTACAGCATCAATCGGGATATTTAAAAAGGTTACACACTTGGAGAGTAAAGGAAGGAATTAAGGGATGTGGAGAAATGTGATGAAAATATCTGATGTGATCTTAAAAAAATACTAGGACAGATTGAATTGGCTTCTGTTTGTTACACAACTAGAGATGGAGAGAGTATTACTGTATGATAGTCAGAAGGTTGTGGATTCACGCTGTAACCCGAACTTGCATTGTCTAGGCTGACACTCCTGAAGCAAAGGATGTGTTGCATTGTTGGAGGTGCTATTAACAATAAGCCTTGCGCTTGATATAGACCTTTTCACGTATTCTAGACGTCTCAAAGCGCTTCACAGAATATACTGTAAAGTGAATTGACTGTACATTTGTGGGCGAAATGTGGCAGCCAATTGCGCACAGCAGTGTCCCACAAACAGTCGTGGATTGAGTGATCAAATTATTAGTGTTTTTGTTTTCTTGAGGGTTTATTATCAGGTGTGTGGAGTAAGGAAACTTGCTCAAGGTTTCGCCCTGCCGGGAGTCGAACCCAGGTCTCTTGCTTGTGAGGCGAGTGCTCTAACCACTGAGCTACAGGACTCCACATTCTTCGGATGAGTCGTTTAACCGAGGTCCCATCTATTTGTTCAAGTAGACTATTGCACTATTTAAAGAGAGAAGGGAGTTTCTCTTGGTATCCTGGCCAACAAATAGTTGGTCATTCACTTCATGGCTGTTTGTGGGACACTGCATATTCTTAAAATTAGGTGTGCAAATTGGGTGCTGTTTTCGCCCACAAATGTATAGTCACTCCACTTCACAATAAATTCTGTGAAGCAATTTGAGACATCCTCACAACATGAAAGGCACTATACCGAATCCAAGGATTATTATTATTTCACACCTTTTATGACTCCATCACTGCACAAGAGGAACAGTCAGAAGCGCAAAACATCACACAAATATTTGCACAACATTAAAGTGTATTTAGCTGAATGATTCTCCCCTGCTTCATTTAATATATTGCTGAATAAGGCTAATGACAACACTCGTACTAACTTCAGAGGGATTTGTAGTTTCTGCTTGTGAGCAAATTGTATAATGTGGTTTCTGTGGTAAAAGCAGGAACTAGCTTTATTGTTACAGAGACTGTTGTTAGCACTAACCTCACTTGATCGTGGCATTTGGTTTGCTTGACTAGAGTGAGATTCCTTTTTTCTTTGAAATTTAAGCATGACATAGTATATTATTTTAAATGTGATAAATCTCCCCTTTACCTTGGAAAAATGCCATAGAGTTTGGAGAATTTAGGGTAGGGTGAACTAATTCAAATAAAGATTTTTTTTTCACAATCATTTCAGGGGACTGGATAATACTGGAGTAGTATTCTGACCTCAAACATCTGGGTTTGTGAAGAAATGCCATCCAACCTAATTTCTAACACTTAATCATTTTGGTCCTGATTTCAAGGCTTATCTCCCCCCTCCCCACCACCCCCCGAGCTTGCTTGCTTCTCCTGGGTCAACATAAAGTGAATTTGACATTGATGTTACCAGTAAGACTTAGCGTGATCCTATCCCATAAGATAGTCAGTAGTGGCTTTCAACAATTGATAACGACCAAAGGTCTCAGAAATTCATCTTGAAGCATAAAATGTTCTTCCATAGATGTATGTATCCTACTGAATCCTACTGGGAAAGAGATGCAATGCATTCAGATCATTTGCTTCTGTAGTAGACAGCTACATATCCTACTGGTATGCTCATCTTGCTTCCAAACTTGCTCCGGTAAATTTTGTACCAACCGAAGTGTGGAGTTACACATGGACAATAAATAAACCTATTTTGGCAAGCAGGACAGTGTTTCATACATGTTTCCTCCTCTCAAGATGTGGTCATAATAATCAATGATTGCATTTTCTAGCAATGGGTTAAACACTGCTGCAATGCTCCCATATCCTCCTTTTGTAATGTCAGAGTAGCTAATTACTTGGATCTCCATATCATTGAAAAGATGGAGAAGGGATTTACTGATAGAATAATATAATGCTCCAAATCTTGATTCCATGATAGCTGATGGGTTAGTATGCAAGAGAAATGGACATTATCAAGATAACTAACATTTTGAATTATTAGTCTATTCTGATCTTTCATTCTTCAAAAAACAAACTTCTTTGTTCGTTCCTTAATCTTGACCATTGCCAATACGTCCAGACTTGGATTTGACTTAGAATACAAATTATGTAGTTGCTTATGGAACTGGTACTTTGTGTTTTGCCTTTTACTTTATTAAAATAAAATTGGAATTAGCAAGAAGTTGAGAGTTTCTGTTGTGTTCCTACTAATTGTCAGCTGCAGGATATCTATATTTGCATTCAGAATTATGTTTTATTTTTATATTGTTTTTGAATCCTGTTCTTTATGCTCTAAGGGAAAAAGATGTCTGGTGCTTTTAGTCATCCATGTATTTTTTAAATGTCATTTTTCAATATGTCTGGTTATACTCAAAGTGTGTAATTTGATTTTGTACCCACCCCCAAAGAAATCTGCGTTAATGTATATTTACATGTCATAATGCGGTAAGGGGGAAATGAATAAGTACACACTAGATGATTACATCTTTGTGACATTAGAGAAGCAATGATGGAAACTTTCAAGGAAAGTGCATTAAATGTGTCATTCAACACGTAATGCAGGACGTGAGAATTATAGAAATTAGAAAGTATTCATACTGTGAAGTGCTTCAAACTGCTGTTCTTTAACTACCAAATGTAGGAATTGATATGAGTTAGTGATAGTTTGCTGAGGCTTTAAGTGAGGTGTATGTTTTTTTTTAAAAATTTAAATGCATTTTGTTTAAGGAATTCTGGAGAGGAAGTTAAACCACTTTTGACAGATTCAGCAGCTGTGCTGGAAACGTTCAATTTCCTTGAAAAAGCAGCAGAGGAATTTAGTGATGAAGATGAAGATGACAGTGATGGAAAGGAGAGAACAATTATTGATACTTCGGTAAGTAGAATAACAATGTGAACAATTGTGGGTACATTTGAATTGAATCAATATGCACAACAAAGACTCTAAAGTTCTATTCATTGCATTTCAGCAGATAAGCAGGCCAACAGAAAAGCGCGTAAATATTTGCCCCGAATTGCAGGGAATTGATTGGTGCTGTTGAGGTACATTTTACTGCCAGCCTACATCTTTTCACTTTATCGATGAAAACTAAAAATGAGGAAATAAGACATAGATTGTTGCAAAAATATTATTAATTTCTTCTTCACCCTGGAGCTGTTCATGCTGGAAAAGTGAAGATTGAGAGGTGACATGATTGCTGTCTTTAAGATTCTAAAGGGGCTAGCAATATAGATCATGACTGGCAGTTTCAATTTGTCCAGAATAGTAAAACCAGAGGACATGGCCTGCGATTGAAGGGGGATAAATTCAGAACGAATCTACGCAAACATAATTTCTGTGAGTGAATAGTGAACCTGTAGAACAGGCTCCCTAGAGAAACTGTTGAAGCAGGAAGTTTTGATTCTTTCCAACATAGATTAGATAGTTTTCTTTTAGGAAATAACATTTTGGGAATAGTACATAGGTAGTTTGGGACATATGTGCATGTGACCGTCAGGAAGGTGGAAGGCGAACTAGATGGACCTTGGACAAAACACAAAATACTGCAGATGCTGGAAATCTGTAACAAAAACAGAAGTCGCTGGGAACAAGTCAGGCAGCATCTATGGAGAAAGGAAAGTGAGTCAACGTTTTGGGACCACGACCCTTTGTCAGAGCTGGGGCATGTTGGGAGGGAGAGGCTTTTAAGGGCTTACAGAGAGGTGGGAAGCAGGAGGTGTTGATGATGCAAAATAAAGAGGAGGGGGATTGTAACAAAGCGGGGAATAGATGTTAATAATGCAAAACAAAGGGGGGAGAAATTGCAACAAAGTAGGTAGACCAGAGAGAAATGGGCTTTCTGGGACGGAGAGGGGGAAGGTGAGCTGTTATTGTCTGAAATTGTTGAAATCAATATTGAGGCCAGAGGGCTGTTAGGTCCCTAGCAGATAGATGAGGTGCTGTTCCTCGAGCTTGCGCTGTGGCTCATTGGAACAGCGTAGGAGACCCTGGATGGAGAGGTCAGAGTGTGAGTGGGAGGGAGCATTGAAGTGGCAAGAAACCGGAACGCAAAATCTGCCCATTCACCTCTTCCCTACCACTGTCCAGGGTCCCAAACGCAGATTTCAAGTAAGCCAAAGATTTACATGTACTACCACCAATGTAGTTTACTCCATTCGCTGCTCACCCTGTGGTCTCCTCTACATTGGGGAGACAAAACTCAGATTAGGTGACCAATTTGCCAAACACCTCCCTTCTGTCTGCAAGCACAACTCTGAGCTACTGGTTTCTTGCCACTTCTTTCTCCTTTGTCTTCCTTCTTCCCTCTCTGTTAGCACTTAAAAGCCTCTCCTGCCCAACGTGCCCCAGTTCTGATGGGTCATGGACCCAAAAAGTTGACTCACTTTCCTTTCTCCATAGATGTTAGATGGAACTTGATCTTTTTTTCATCCAGCATTTCTTATGTTCTTACGACACATACAGAGGAGAGAGACACTCACAAACACAGAGAGAAAAACACACAAACATAGACACTCACAAACTCATACAGAAAAGAGAGACATATTCACAGAAACAAATGCTTAGAGAGAGACACATACTCACATAGAGACGCTCACAAATACAGAGAGAGAGACACACACAGACACTCACAAATACTCACACAGGAGAGAGGTGCACTCACATAGATACAAGCACATAATAATAATAATAATCCTTGCATTTGATATAGCGCTTTTCACGTCGGGAGGACGTCCCAAAGCGCTTCACAGAACACACTGTAAAGTGAATTGACTGTATATTTGTGGGCGAACGCGGCAGCCAATTGCACACAGCAATGTCCCACAAACAGTCGTAGATTGAAAATGACCAATTTATTATGTTTTTTGGATTTGGAGGGATTATTATTAGGTGTGTGGAGTAAGGAAACTTGCCCAAGGTTTCGCACTCTGCCTGGAATTGAACTCAGGTCTGAGAGAGAGACCAGGCGATCACAACCTTGGGGCTTTCAAGTGGAGTGAAGCCCATTAGTCGCCTGGCCCACAATGACGTGGGATAAACAGTGCCAGAGGTCTGGACAGACACTTTTTAGTGCATTTGTAACTGAAGGCGCTGTTTGTAGCGGATTCTGGTGGGGGGGATTGGAGGCGCACTTTTCTATTGGCCCAGCCTATAAGGCATGCAGGTTTATGACTCGCATCGTATTAAAGTTTCTACATGATAAGCCACCATATCAAACACAAGGATTATTTATCTGGAGATGTACAATGTATCTAGTTCAGTTTGGGGGAGGGGAGGCGGAAGAATTGTTTTGGACTGGAAGAAAATGATCTCCTTGATACGGGAACAAGTATTTCATGTTTTTTTTCATCCTAAAATTTATATTGTCACAAACGTTTTGAGGAGGCGTACACTCCATAATAGTAACGCCAGCTTTTTGGATTGATTTCACTTTCTTCCTTCAACACATGCTGTTGGAGATGCTCCTTTGGTTTTGGGCTCAGGCACCGCTAATACTTTTGATCTGGAAGCCCAGAGAGATAACAAAGGCTGATACTTTTTTTTAAGGCATTATGCTGTCATAACTGATGCCGCCTGTTTTCCTGCCCAACATGAACAAATGTCCCCCCTTTTCATCCCTCCCCCCATGTTTTATCAGTTTATTTTCTATTCTGCAAGTTTGGGTCTATTTTCACATTGTTTATAAAATCAGCTTAGACTTAATACTTTAGTTCTGAATTTTATTTTCATATTTTAGCTGTCTTTTAGAGTTTTGGCAAGCTATTTGATCTGGAAATCATTGCACCCTTGTGTCAGCACCAAAGTCTGATCCTGTTCTTACCTGATGATATGCTGACATTGTCTAACCTCGTCTTTCGGTAGCAGCAGGTTTGGAAGTTCAAGTCTCAACCTGACTTCTTAACCCCGGAGCCTGTAAGGCTAATTGTAGCTGTTGAAACTGAGATGAGCTAAGTCAAACAAGCAATTATCTAATCTTTGGGGCCTGGTACTACAGTGGGCAGTGTAATTTCTATATCATTGGAGAACTATGCTTGTGTTTTAATGGAATATTATTAATTGCGGATCATTGCTAAATATTAATGGTTGTAATTTATTTTAAACAGTTTGTTAACCAAGGTGTGTCCTCTGATATGACTGAAGATATGGACACCGAGGAAGCACTTCGAGAATTTGATTTCTTAGGAACAACAGAAGATGGTGATGGAGCTGGGGAGTCTAGAAGTGCAGGCGATGGAACAGAATTAGGTAAACATTTAACTGGATGATCTTATTAGCTTTTTTTCTACTGACACAAAAAATTGTGCACATTGATGTATATGTTGGCTTTAACAGCTCTTACGTTAAGTCCTTAATCCTTGTACACAAATTTGAAGTTAAGTGAGCTCAAATGTACATTTGCAATCTATTTATGAAATGTAGGCAAGGTTGTAGATGTATTCTTGTATAACAAAATGATTACATAGTTCCAATTTTGCATTTTACATAGTAAGGAATGTCACATTTTAACTTGTGAATATTAAAAATGTCCGTTGATCTTGATTCTAAATATTTTGATTAAAAAAGAATAAAATAAACATCAAATTAAAAGGTATCTGTCTACTATGTATAATCCTTTAACAGTAGGTCTTATCAAATTCTCCTTTAAAAAAAATCTGAAACCTTATCCAGATCTTTACACCTCTACAAACATTTTGTTGCTGCTGGGCGATCAAATAGGTATGTTGGTACTGCTTAGATAATGGAAAGACTAGGAATATTCCTTAAGAAGGCTGTCTCTGATTTGTTTCACTGTACTGTTTAGAAAAGGAAGATATGTGTCCCACACCAGAAAGCTGGGACGTGGACCAGGGACTAATAACCAAACTCAAGGAGCAGTACAAAAAGGAGCGGAAGGGAAAAAAGGGGGTGAAGAGTAAGTGCGTATGAAATCTGGTATACTTTTGGCTCATCATCCCTCTTTTCCCATTTTTTCAAAAAAAAAGTATCTGGGTTCTTTGTTCCTTAAACTGTCTGCTCTTACTTAGCTGTTCCTTCTGATTCTCTCTGACACCATTGTCTGGCTTTAACTATAATTTTTTGGGGATCTGCTGCATTGGACTCCCATGATACCCTTTCACCTTTGCATTCTCGTTCATTTGTGTTTCATTAGTACATAAGGTTGAAACAATTTTAATAGAATTGGTATTTGATTTTGATTTTAAAATTCTTGTAAAAGACTTCCAAGAACAATTGTTTGCTTGATCTATAATGGCCTTGGTAAACTAAAATAAATCTGTAGGTTTATGATAACATGGTGGGGGGTGTCTCTTTGTCTTCCAACTTATTGGCTATTTTAAACCAAAGACTTAAAATTGTTATCAGTAACTGATTTTCATGTTTCAGTCTAATTATTGATGCTCAAAAGTTAGAGACACAGAATTCACCTAAATATTGGTAACTTGATCCAACATCTCCAGGTCAGCATCTGTTCTATTCATTTTGTTTGTGTGAGAAAACAAACATTTCTGAAAACTTCAGGTAAATAAAGATCTGCTAATTTTGTTTGGTTCTTTATCTACATAAGTTTGAATCGTCAGTAAGGAAAGCTGAGATTGTGACGGTATTGAATCTGAAAATGGAGCAATTTATTTTAAACCATGCAGGGAATAACAGGATATTTGTCATGTTCATAGTGATCCTTGCCTTAGTACTGGTTAAGCAGATTGAGTGGAGCTGTCCTATTTGTGATGATCATCTTAGCAGGACAGCACAAGGATAAAATGAACTTTAATGTATCTATATTCCAACATAGATTTCAGGAAATGAACAGAAAGAATGTGATTTATGGCTAGAAATTTGCAATGTTCAGGGGGAGTTCAAAAGATTGGTTTGGATAAAGAAGGCTCTTCAGCCCGTCCAATCGCATCCCTGTAGAATACTGTCCTCCTGTCAGAGCATCAACTACCCTTCCTGTGAACTGTTCCAGTTGTTAATTATCTTCTGGATGTAAAGAAAAACTTCCTGCTATGTCTGGAAATTGCCTTTGGAACTCCAGATGGACTTCTATCCTTTTGTTCTACTGTCTTGGTAGACAGTATCCTAAAGTATTGTTCTGGTTTATTTTTCAATTCCAATTGCATACTTTATTCGTAAAACATGAGGGAATAACACATAATGGATTGTTGCAAAAAAAATGATTAATTACATCTTCAACAAAAACTAGGTGGCCCATTTTTATTTTGGGGGGTGTGGGGGACACCAGCGAGACTACAGGAGCTCACCACGTCCTGCCTCTCAGGGCACGGCACCACACATAGACACAAAGACAGAGACCTAGAAAGAGACACAGACTCATAAGAGACATGCACCCTCAGAGACAGAGAGAGACACACACACACACACACACAGGAAGACGCACAAACTCAGAGACAGACATATATACACACAGATAGAGCAGAGAGAGATACACATTCACACAGCGACACTCATAAACACACAAATAGAAGAAACACACAGACACTCTCACTAACACATTCACATATACACTCACAAACCCATGGAGAGACACACAGACACTCACCAACGCACAGAGAGAGACACATTCACACAAACACATACACAGACATCACAACATTGGTGGCTCTGAGTGAAGCACATTTCCCACTTGGGTCGCACTGCGTGTGCGGGTCTGGACCCAGCCCACCCACAGTGATGTCAGTCAAACAGGCGGGAGGCCCGTGGGCCAGAAACTCCATTTATTGCGGATTTGTAGCGGATTCTGCGCATATTGGCCCAGCTCATAGTTCATGCCTCTAATACTGATGAACATCCTCGTTGATCTCCACTGACTACATCTAGGATCTGGGCAGCCCCCTGTATCGCGATGACCAAAACTATGCATTACTCTAGGTATCGCCTAACCAAAGCATTATAGAGACCAAGTATGACATCAAGGGGTCTCAGCTCAACTGATCTAGCAATGTAGCCCAGTGTGTTGTTTGCCTTGTTTATTACTGCCACGCACTATTTGGACATAGTTAAAGATCCACTTTGAAAATGACCTGGGTATTCTTATCTTATTGATAATTAAGCAAGATTATTTGAGATCTTTACAACTTAACTTTCTCGACCAGTGATTTGATAAAGCATCCTCCAATATACTGCAAAACTTCATTGTTGAACAAAAGGCATCAATCACCTAAAATGTTCAGAAGACCAACGTAGAGGTATAAATACAAGCTGTCACCATTTACACATCAGTGAGACCACCTGGAGCTTTTTCATTCTCCCTCCCCACCCCTCTCCCGCTTGCACACACCTATGGCTATGGTGAGCAAATTCCTGTTGGTTTGTCTACTCAACACGTTCTCCAGATGTATAATGATATGATGAGTATTGTGAGCAGGTTTGAAATTTGCCACACATTTATAAGATCTTTTCATTTAAAAAAAAATTATTTTTTAACAGGTTCATCTGCAAAGAAAACTGTTGTACCTATTTTCCTAAATATGCCTTGTGGATCCCAGTGATTTTAGTGTCGATTAAGACAATGATTATTGACTTCCCCCTCCACCCCATTTCCACATCGATGATAGCAAATATGATTTGGTGATGGCTCCACTGTACTTGGTCTTGCTGACTACTAAATGCTTCTTTGAAAGTCCAACTAAGATTCAAGAGTTTCACCAATATAGGCATTTAATTTGTTTGGAAACAAGACCTTGAATGGAATAATATCTAAATATACATCAGCAACCTGTGCAGTGGGATGCATTTCCCTATACTACTTCCTGTCGAGGTTAGGATACAAAGGTAGAAATTTAGAGCTCATTATTCCTGAGAGCTCAGATCACAAAAATGCTTCACAGATGCAATATTCCAAGCCAACCTAAATATGCAAGTTTCCATCTCCAGTTTCTACCTTAACTTAATATTTATATCTATTATATATTAATATTTATAGAATTTCTATCTGGACATTGGACAGCTGTGAATGATAGGTTTGGTGTTTGTTCTTTTGAACATACAGTAGTTTAACTTTCAAATGCAAAGCTCTACCTGCCCCTTTGATCTATTACGTGACAATGTAATTTCAATTTCAAGGGTTTATTTCATGTGTCTACCTTCCTTATTGTACGGATTTACTCTTGTCACATTTTTAGAAAAATAATCACTAATGTATATTTCCAGAATAAGTTCTTTATATACTGTTGTAGGAAAACACATTAATGCCTGTGGTATTGAACTTTTCAGGAGAAAGATTTCATGTTTAAAAATTAGTGTTTTTTTTAGTCTTTTCAGGGTTTTTGTTTCCCCTTAAGTCATCCAGTTTAAAGTGTGAGTGGACTTTCTTATCCCCATGATCTAGACTGCTGTTCTACATCTTTTTGGGCTCAGAAGGATATACCTAGGGAATAAAACAGATGAACAATCAGCATTTGTTTTCCCAGAAGTGCATGTTTAACACACAAAGCAAGGCTTTTGTGTGTTACGAGGTGGATATTACAACAACAAAATTACTTTTATAGAGCGCCTTTCACGTCGGGAGGACGTTCCAAAGCGCTGAATAGTCAGATGTCGGGGCTCGAGTATGGGGGAGGGGTGGTGTAGGGGTGAGGGAAGGCAGAGAGGTGGGAGGGAGACCAAAGGCACGATCGAAGAAAAGGATCTTGAGACCAGCCTTGAAGAAGGCAAGGGAGGAAGCGAGGCGAAGGGACCGTGGGATGGAGTTCCAGCGTGTGAGGCAGAGAGGCTGAAAGCCCGGCCACTGATGACATGGAGCAGTCCGGAGCCCAATGATCGGAGGGAGCGGGCAGGTTGGTAGGGAGTCAGCAGGTCAGAAAGGTATAAGGGGGCAAGGCCATGGGTGGCCTTAAAAGTGAGGATGAGGATCTTGAACTCGGTCCTCTGAGGGATGGGGGAGCCAGTGGAGTCGGGCGAGGGTGGGAGTGATGGGGCCACGGAGCCTGGTGCGTGAGAGTACACGAGCTGCAGAGTTTTGGATAATTTGCAGCTTGTGAAGGGAAGAGTTGGAAAGGCCGATGAGGAAGGAGTTTCCGTAGTCGAACCTTGAGGTGACGAATGCGTGGGTGAGGGTTTCGGCAGCCTGAGGGGTGAGGCAGTGGCAGAGTCTGGCAATATTGCGGAGGTGGTGGTAGGCAGTGCCGGTCATGGCGCGGATGTGGGGGAGAAAGGACAGTTCAGGGTCACAAGATATCCAGGTTCCTGACTGGCTTAGTGAGGCTGAGTGTGCAGCCGTGGAGGCTGATGCTGCCAATGCCTGAGGTGCGGAGGCACTGGCACGAGCCAATCAGGAGGGCCTCGGTCTTGCATGGGCCAGCAGATTGTATAATAAAATAACTAGTTTTATTTATATCATAGGGCATATTATGAAATTTTGCACATTGTCAAATACCATGGAATAAATTGTGCTATAGAAGTAACTTTTAATGGAGCTTCCCAAAATGCTTCTCAACTCTTTCCCTTTAAAATAAGTTTAGTAGGTTTTTTCTTACTTTCTCTCCTTTCTGTTGACTGAATAACTATTTTTTCTTAACCAAGATCTAATATAAAAAAGTTTAACTTGCAATTTGCCTTGTCCTTCTGAATCTCAGATTTGGTTTATAATCTGAACACAAGTCACCATTACAATCCGAGCAAACTATAATTTCTGTGTTTTTAGTGACATTAAAGAGACACATTTACATATATTGGGTTTTGTCCAACAACAATTGGAATTTTAGCCACGGTATATAGACAAAAAATGAAATGTTATGTACAGGGCATTCTTCTTTTTGAGGTAATTACATTTCTTTCTGATTAATTTTTAAAAAAAAAACTTCCACAATGTTGTCTGGGGGAGAAATATCTCTTTATTTACAGTCAGTTTCCCCTACCCTCTTTTTTGTTAAGTTGCTGTACTGCCTTTTGTTTTAATCTTTCTAATATCACAACACTGTTGCCATGTGGAAGACATTGTCTTTGGTTAACATTTAGTGTAATTGGGGTTTCAAATAACTATCAAAATATCATGCAAAACATTGTGATGTCCTTTTGGTGCCATTTCCTTCAAGTAGTATTTTATGAATGTGAGTGAGTAAAGTTGCATTTATCTCCATTTCTGTGAGGGAGCATCAGTCTTCTGATGATGGAGGATATTTAATGACTATCTAGCTGGATAAAAATGTTACTTGTATCTACATGAGATAGATATTCCATCTACAGATGGAATATTCTTTATCGTAGAGCCAAAGATGTGCAATATCCAAGATTACTTTTCAGCTTGCTCCTTTTCTTAAATAGGGCCGAATAGATCAAAGCTACAAGACATGTTAGCTACTCTAAGGGATGTAGACGAGTTCCCTCCACTGCAACCTTCAGTATCACCGCCCAGACCAACCAGTTCACGACTAATGGAGCATGAAGCTAACAGGACTGAAGAAGGTAAGTGAAAGACAAGCTGGAATAACAATTTATCTTAAATATTTTGATGAATGTTTAGAAATTATATCATAAATCGGTTTTGCATAATATGACTTGTATGAGTTCATATTGGGTTTAAATTTTTAATGTGAAAATATTTCTGTTTTCTAGTGGAAGCATTGACATTTCCTCCAGGAGCAGGGAAATCATTTATCATGGGTACAGATGAAGCACTGGAAAATGCTTTGGGTCTTGGAGAGTTAGCAGGTCTTACAGTTGCCAATGAGGCAGACCCTCTAAATTATGATGTATGTATTCCTGATGTAATGATTAATTAGTCATGCCTGTTTTATGGGTGCATTTAATGGTTTTTTTTTAAACTAATCTTCAAAAGCATACTTCAAGCAAATCCATTGTTACCCTGCACTGGTACTCAGGTACTCACTTCAATAGCTGGTCAGTGGCCAAACACCAGTGTGTGGCAAGAAACTTTTTCTTCTGTGCCCTTTTTCTTCTCTTTCCTCTCCCCCCCCACCCCCCCTCAAACACTCACAGCACTTTAACCATTGTAATTGAGGAGGAAACGATACTACTTCTTAATTGGTTGATAGAAGGTCTAGACTTTCTTTCTTCGCTTCGCAAAAGCTAAAAATTCGTAGTTCAGGTTAGAAAAGTTTAATGCTAGTATCTGAGAGAGCAAGTCGGTGCTCAGACACACAACAAGTCTTTGATTTTATTTTATGGTCTAGCAGATTAATGTCCTAACATTATTGGGATCCCTGTGGATATGTTTTAAATGTTAATACAGATAAAATGTGTACAGCAAAGAAGGCCTTCAAATTCTGAACATCGGTGTGACTTTGACATGAATAACCTTTATGTGCAGAATATTTGAAGCCCTGTATTTTTTGACTACTTTTCTGGTTCCACAACAGATCACAAACAATAAAGATGCATTGAGAAAGACTTGGAACCCCAAGTTCACTTTAAGGAGCCATTTTGATGGAATTAGAGGCCTTGCTTTTCATCCGATTGAACCTGTTTTGGTAACTGCCTCAGAAGATCACACTGTGAAATTGTGGAATTTGCAAAAGACTGCCCCAGCCAAAAAGTAAGAATGATTGTTAAATATAGCAATACATTTTGATATGGGTTAAATTGAAGGTTTGGTGTACCATATGTTACAACTGCCATTGGATTTTTTTTAGTTGCCCCGTCCTCTTCATTAATCGGAAGCAGAAAATTTCCCAACAGTTGTTTTAATAATGTCGCTACTGTGAATTTAAGTAATGTCCAAGGTTAGATTCCTGTTCGACTATCTGATATTGACTAGGCAAGCAGTAGAATCTGTATAATAGACCTTATCATCCCTGTGTTAGGCAGAGTACACATCAGTAAGGGGTACCTCTCCTGAGTGCTGTCATGCGTTTCATTATATTGTGCTTTATACATAAAAGAACTATCTCAAAGTACTTCACAAAATGAGAATTTGAAATTAAGTGAATGTTATGTAGGTAAATATGGCAGCTAATTTGTTTAAACCATGTCCCACATGCAAAAATTAGATGATAGCCAAGTACTCTGAATATCTTGTAGTGAATTTGTAGTGTGAGGGGGCACTTTACCTCACCCGCACCTGAATTTGTAGAGTGAGGGGGCACCAAGATAAACTCTTTTTTGATTTAGCAGCACTAGATCTTTTAATGTCAACCTGAATCAGAAGGCCTGCAGATATTAGAATAATGACATCCAAGAAAGAGATAATGGTGCTGAATAATCAGTCAATGTTGCATTTAATGTACAACAATCCTTGCATTTAATATTATTACTTTGAAACATCGCAAATTGTTTTAAAATTTTTTTTTGCTAAATGTAGTGTCTGTATTCCTAGGCAAATGCAGCAGCCCATTTGCACATATTAAAATGCCACAAACAGCCAGTAGGTGAACAATCAGTTTATCTAGAGGTTTATTGGCCCGAAAAAACTGCCTTCACTTTTCAAATAGTGTAATTAACAAAGCGTGTGAAACTGCAGACATCACTTTGGTTTAATACGTCTTCTGAAGGACAGCAACTCCAATAATACAAGCCTCCAGCAACAACAACACAACAACAAGATTCCATTTATAGAGCGCCTTTCACGTCGGGAGGACGTCCCAAGGCGCTGGACAGTTGGGTCAGGACCCGAGTAGGGGGGAGATGGTCAGGGTGAGGGGAGGGAAGGGAGGGAGCGAGGAGGGGGTAGAGAGTCGAGAGGGGAGCTGAAGGCACAGTCAAAGAGAAGCAGTACAGTAGTGTCGGCCTGAATTATGATCTTTGAGCCAATGTGGTGCATTAACCCATAACTTTCTAACTCTGAAGTGCTATAAACTGAGTTAGGCTTACACCAGCAGCTTGTAGCGAAAGCATACTGTATTTGATTGCAGTTAAATAGCATGTGTCAAAATTGGCTGCTGTGTTTGCCCTCGAAACAGTCACTCCACTTTGCAGTATTTCCTGTGAAGTGCTCTGGGACGTCCTCCCAACGTGATAGGCACTCTATCGAATGTAAGGATTTTTATTACATTATTCACTTTTTTATGCTTTGGTAGTTCATTTTAGTAATATTGCTAAATTTGATGGATATGGGGTATTAACCAGAAATAAAATTCTGGGCCTTCCTTCATAAAATTACTGAATTAGCAAATCCTTCCTTGCATTAATAATTTTGTACTGTTTTTGTGTTTGCAGGAGTACCTCGTTGGATGTAGAACCCATATATACTTTCAGGGCACACAGGTATGTGATCGATGTATAATAATAATAATCCTTGCATTTGATATAGCGCGTATGTTCTGCATTATGTCAAGATTATTGTGCATTTAATCATTTTGGATTATGGGAGAAGTTGAATTTATTTGTACTATTTTGTTTTCTTTGTGTTGAATAGAGGCCCAGTCCTGTGTGTTGTAATGAGTACAAGCGGAGAGCAGTGTTTCAGTGGAGGAGCTGATGGATTAATCCAGTGTTGGAATACTCCCAATCCTAACATTGATCCCTATGATTCATATGGTATGTATATGCTATGTATTTTACCAACTTAAACTGTTAGGCATTACCTTGTTTCATATAAAGAGATGAAAGTAAATTAAAAATTATGGGAAAGATGATATTAAGTATTGGATCTACTGTGAAGTTCATCATTAAAACTGAGCTGTAGAATTGTAAATTTAACAATACAGTGGAGGCCCATTGTAATGTGATATTTGAGGACCATAAATCCCAACCAGTTGTAACAGAATGCAATTACCAGTCAACACTTCTATGCGTGTGCACATAAAGAAGGCTAACTCCGTCATTGTTTCAAATAGCCAGCTGGCAGGAGGGTGAATACAATGGCTGGTTTCCGGGTCTTTATAATAAATAATAAAAATAATCTTTGCATTTGACATAACGCCTTAGCACTTCATTGAGACGTCTCAAAGCGCTTCACAGAATATACTGTAAAGTGGAGTGACTGTATATTTTGTGGGTGAAATAAAACACCCTTATTTCTACACAAAATATACAGTCCTTAGGTTGCTGCAGATGCATGCCAAGCAAGCAGAAAATGCCGGTGGAGAGCTGATGACCTGGAAGTCAGTCATTTTGGCTTCTTGGCTGGTGGTTTGAAACACAAATAGAGCTGGTGTCCAAATTTTGGATTTTTAGGTAAGCAAATGTCAGAGTACACAACCCAACAGCTATAAGCAACCTATGTAGTAACAAAGCACATTATAATGGGGGTTTACTGTAATTATATGATGTACATTTGTGCAATTGCAAAGAAAGGTATTGGCCACAAGAATAATTCAAGCATTCCTAACTCTCCACCTTCTTATCATCTTTCTAGCCAAAAAGCAAGCATCCTGCTCATTAGCCACTACTCCAGAATGTTTTGCAGGAAAATTGGGGGAAGGATAGGAATATGAGTTTGTCAATTTGTACTGAGGAATTGTTTATTTGCAGAACCTTCTGTCCTACGTGGAGCTCTTAAAGGTCACACTGATGCAGTCTGGGGTTTGGTGTACAGTGCAGCACTTCAGCGTTTACTATCCTGTTCAGCTGATGGCACTCTCCGGCTGTGGAACTCGGCTGAAGTAGCACCTTCACTCTGCATATTTAACAAGAACCGAGGTAATGAACATAAGAGATTTAACTAGCTAAAGATTACAATTGGAATGCTCAATAAATAAACGAAAGTTAAATAAATATTTCAGTTAAATCTCATGTAACTAAAATAAGTAATTATTAGATATGTATATTGTTTAAATTGGTCTGTTAATCACCAAAAATATACTGAATTACCTGTCACATTATTAATTGAGAGCAACCTTTAACTAAAATGTGTTAATTATTAAGAACACTTCTAAATGTTAAAATTTGTCATTGTTTATTATGCTTTATCATTATTGAAGTCTGACATGTGATTTGTAATGAAAGTCTAGTTGAGTTGCGAATATCTGGAACGCATTGCCTGAAAGGGTGGTCGAGGCCGATTCAATAACTGCTTTTAAAAACACGGTGGACGGGTATTTGAGGAGGACGGGTTTGCACGGATATGGGGAAAGGGCTGGGGAGTGGGATTGACATTACATTGCTCTATTCAAAAAGCCGGCACAAACTCGATGGGCCAAATGGCTTCTTTTTGTGCTGTACGATTCTATAATTCTATGATCACATGGGTCAGCCTGAATCACTTTTAATTCCTGGCATAAGTCACTGTTTGTGCCTCAGTTTTTATTAGTCTGCTGTAATTATAGGCTTGATTTTACAGTAAAACTTGCATAAGTATTTATAAATTGTATATTCACCCAAATCGTACATGCCCCGATATCCCATCTAGTTTTCTACCAAAAAACATTTAGATTTCTTTGCACTGAACGTATTTTATAAATCAGACAACCGGCTAAATTGTGATGGTTTCTTGGTCCCAAATGCATCCTAACTCCAATGCAAATTATCTATAATGTCGCTACCATACTTACCAGTTGCATTGAATTGCAGAAAATTAAGTCTTGACTTGTCACTGCATGTCCACTTAATGGCTGTATTGAAGTATGCATGGATAGTGTGGATTATTGATTAAGACATGTATAATACAATTTATGCAAGTTTGCCTGTAACTCGTACTTTGCATACGTCATATTAAACGTTATGGTCCTGGCTGTTACCTTTTAGAATATACAAAGCAGATGTAAAGCAGGCTTCAAACAGTAAAACTCACAAATCGTATTTAGATTTTAGTGCTTAATATCATTTCACAACTGTTTTCCTGCTGCAGAATTCGGAATTCCTACCTCTGCTGACATAGTCTGCAGTGACCCTTCCCACTTGGTGTCATCTTTTGGCAGTGGACAGACTAGTATATTTGACATGGAGACCTGTCAGCGAATTGTTACCTTTGAGTCCAGTATTGATGGTATGTAGTTTAAAAGAAACTTCCAACTTTTGGTTAATAATTAAAAATGACCAAAAACATCTGGTGGAAGTATAAGTCAAGAGTATAAGTAGCCAATAATAACTTAGAAGGTTTAGAGAACTTAGCTGCAAAGTTAAGTTTTGGTTATTAGACACTTGTAAGTTTGTTGAAAATTATAATCTGAATAAATTGCTTGCCAGTATCTCATAGTAGAGATCTGTTGTCTATACCTTTATTAGCAACATGTTGCTATTAAACATTTTACAATTTATTTTACCATATAAGATTTCACTCCTGCCCGACTTGCAAAATGCATTAAATATTATTGCAGTTGTTACTGGACAATTTTGCAGTTCAGTTCCAGATACTTGTGTAAAGTTTCCCAACTTTGAAAGACAAAAGGGTATTTGGATTTGTGGTAATCGATCTAAACATGAGAGATTGTGGGTCATCTCGTTTCAGTACAGCTGAAATTTCATGTGTTTGAAATGCCATCTAAATTGTTTTTGTATATTTTCTCTCCTTCCCATTTTTTTCTAATCGCTATCTACTATTCTGGCTGAGAGGCGAGCAGGCAACCTGCTCTCAGGCCTTTGCCAATGCAGTTTTGTAGCCAGTTGCTGAACGATGTGTAAGAATGGCTCTGGGGTGAGTCTCCCTCTTTTTCTCAACCACCCCCTCCCCCACCACCTTACCCCCACTACCATGTCTCTGCTCCGTGCCTTCCCATGTGGCAAGACTGAGTTGGGTAATTTTAAATGTGGGAGATTATTGCACAAATTCCACTTCATCACTGTGCTGCAGTGCATTGACAATTCACGATTTTGTCAAAATCACCTGTGCTTCCTTAGGAGCACAACATCACAAATTTGTCTAATTTAACAAGTTATGTTAGAAAACGTCTTATTCCAGAATTTATCCAAGATTCTGGTTTTGTTGCTCGAGTCATCCACTGGGATAAACTGGGATAGATGTTTGTGAGATCCCTGTTTAAACTTGGTTTTATTCTCCCAGTGTTTTAAAATAAATGCATTGCGTGGTGTTGTACCGAGCCAAACAGACCAGGAAGATCCCAAGTTCCATCTCTAGCAGCTGTTTAATAATTAACCTCATTCAAAGCAACTATGGAATGGTTACAAATGTTCCCTTTGATCAAGGAAAGTAAACAGAGGTTTCAAGAGCCTTGTTGAAAAGTGTACCTCTTTGTACACTGGGCTGAGCTTTGATACCTTCAGCATTGAATAACTAGATATTCATGTTCTATCTCTTTAATGACCACTTGAGTGAGGTGCAGGAAATGCAGGTGTCAATGAAACAATACTCTAAACATGAATAATAATGATCCTTGCATTTGATATAATTCCTTATCGCATCTTTGAGATAGTTCAAAGTGCTTCACAGTATTTATTACAAGGGGGAGGAGAAAAGGAATACAAGGAACATAAACACAATAAAAGAAACCTGACATCATCATTAAAAGTAGAGTTTGATGGTGTGGATTTTACAATGGACTAGTAATTTGCAGTTTACTTTGCACCACCCCTGCTGGGTGTCTGGCCCAGTCTTTGTAAAGCATTCTGAATTCTTACTCAATGAGAAGAACACTGTATAAATTCAAATTGTACTGAATTTTGAAACTGATTACCAATAATTAAACTTCATTTGCAAGAGGCAAATTTCTCAAAAAAAAGAATGTTTACCTTTTTTAATTTAACTTTAGAATCTTGAATGATATATATATATTGCAAGGTATTAATGTGTTTTTTTTCCATACAGCTTCTTTGGCTACATGTCAGATTAATAAAGTTATTAGTCATCCCACACTTCCTATCACCATCACAGCCCATGAGGACAGGCACATAAAGTTCTTTGACAACACCACAGGTAGGAGAATGTGAATTTTTGTGTTCATTAGTTGGATTGTACAACCCTTTCTTCTCCATTATATTAAGCATTATTTTAATGTAGTCTTCCGTCACTATAGAAATACATTTACCCCCTTCTACACCCTCCCCCCCCACTCCCAAGTTTGTTTTTGCTTTTTAAACTATTAAATTTAACTTGCATCTATGTTAGTGGGTTGGCATTTTGTTTGCAGTGGCAGGATATTGATTCAGAGCTGTGGTTTATCTATATGAATGTTGAACACTGTAGTACCACTATATGAAATGCTGAGCAAGAGGGAAGCTGTTTCTCATAGGAAGTGGGGGGAAATTGGAGGACCTGATGGAGCTAAACTATATTAATATAGACTTTTTACAAATTGTTGTTCCTATAAATAATAAAATGCTTGTCCAATATGTTTTTGTACGAGCTGTACCCGTTGCAGCTTCACCTGCAACCAAAGGATCCTATATGGAATGTAGATTGGCACACAGACAGACATTTCATCTTTATGCTCAACTGGGAGGATTCCTGTGGGAGGTCTCAGTTGGAGGACTCTTAATATATTATCTCTCTGTCTTTCTCTCTCTGGGTCTCTGTCTCTCTCTATCTGTGTGTGTGTGTGTGTGTGTGTCTCTCTCTCTCTCTCTGTCTGCCCCCTCTCTGTCTGTCTGTCTCTCTCGCTCTCTCTCTCTCTGATTCAGTCGCTCTCTGGCTCCCTCTCTCTGTCTGTCTGTCTGTCTCTGTATGTGTGTGTGTGTGTGTGTTTCTCTCCCTCTCTCTCTGTATCTGTCTGTCTCTCTCTGACTCTCACAAAGCACACAGTCACTACACTTTATATTCTCTCTCACAGTCACTGTTTTTTTGTCTGCAAGCCATTATTATACTGTATTATCACAACGGACATGATGTCACACTGGAGGATGTCACAACCGATTGACATAGAGATGATTTGGACGCCTCGTGTTTTGGGGCTTAACGTTTAATAAAGTTCATCAACGAGAGGCGATCCCCCCTCCCCCCTCCCTCCGCCCCAAATATATACCCATGGACATTGCCAGAGGCAAGGCCTTTCCGATGAGGTATAAATCATGTTCCTACGTCAATCGGTTATTGTGTGATTGTCAGATACACTGACAATGCATCTGAGTTCATCGATATTTGATAAAAATCCCATGAAAAGTGCAACCTATTAAATTATAGACATAGATTTCAATCCTAATATAATATGTCTTAATTCTTTATTTTCAGGAAAACTACTTCATTCAATGGTAGCCCATTTGGATGCTGTCACATGCTTAGCTGTGGATCCAAATGGCTTATACCTGATGTCTGGCAGTAAGTACCCAGTCATTAGCAGACAATGGTGTTTTTGAACCTTCAGTTTCTGAGTATTCACAACTGCACCTTTAACAATTTACATCTTGCCAATTGACATTATTTTTCTCCTCTCAATAGGTCATGACTCTTCAATTCGTTTGTGGAGTCTTGAAACCAAGACATGCATTCAGGAATTCACAGCACATCGTAAAAAGTTTGATGAATCCATCCATGATGTGACATTCCACCCTTCCAAGTGTTACATTGCCAGTGCAGGGGCAGATGCACTGGCCAAAGTTTTTGTATGACAGTTTCATGTATACTACTCCATGCTCTCTATGTTATCAATTAGTGTCTGACACTAACAAATGTAGGGATATTCTTTACTGCCCAGCAATCCTGCCACGTGAGTTTCAGTTACAGTTCTGAAATGACTGTATTGATTGCAAGTTTTTTTTCACCTGGTTTATTCAGGCTACTCTAAGTCCAACTGTTCTGACAGCCTAGGTATTTGCTTAATTTCCCTTAAATTAATTTCTTTGATCCTAGGCTGCCCTGATTATCCAGGCAGGCCTGGATAAAGCTGGGCTAGGTTTATTTCCTGGTTTCAGAAAGCTCTAAACACATTTGGCAGCTTCTGTGTGAAAGGCAAAGTTAGTTGCCTGGAAAGGCAGCTAAGTTGTCTGAAAAGCAAGGATTGCTAATACAGTGAAGAGTTAAGCAGCAGCGTGTGCAATTTGCAGTGATTCCAGGTTAAAGGGTGGTGTTGGAAGACCAACATAGTATATTTTATAAAAACAAATGCCAAACATTTTCTAAACAAAAGAAAAACCTCAACAGTTGTACAATAAAAGCAGAATGTTCAATATGGTATACAATATCTGTAGTCAATTATTGTTCTAGCTGCCTCACTGTATTAGACTTGTGCCAGGAGACTGTGTGATCAGTGGATTTATTTCTTCATAAGGACCTCAAATTTTAATGTTTTACAGTAAATGTGGATCTTCAGTAAACTTAATGGCATACAATTGTACTTCATTTGGAGTTGTATATATAATGCATTTAAGATTTGTTTAGCACTTGCATAAACACTGACATTTTAAGTACAGTTATATAAAGGTATACTTTCTTTTAAATAGATCATCTTAAAAAGTGGGACTTTAACCCTTTAACATCAGGTATTTGAATGTCTAGTGGTCTCACAAAACAAGCATTTTAATTTCAAATGGCCTGAAGACTACATATTGTAAACACAGCATATGGAATGTTTAATGGTATTATTGTGTTGGGGAATTCACATTTGGGGGTTTTGTTCTGTAATTCCTTGGCATTAACACTTCCTTGGAGTCGTATGTGCACTATGGGTAATGGTATGGGAGTAGAATAAGAGCATTGTGCTATTTTGCTAAGAGTTTTACTTATCAAAGAGATTTTAAAGTGGAACACCATCTGTTTCAGTAGCGTTTGGGCTGCCACTATATGCTCGCATAATCAAGAACAGGTTAACTTGAGAGCAGTGGTTTCTTTTCCTGAAAAATTATAAATTAGAACTACCAGTAGCAGATTTAAAACTTGTTTGAAAAGTAGATCAGACTTGTAGCCTGTTGAATGGTTTTTCAGGTAAGGAATGTTGCCTCAAAGTTAGCTTGCTTTAATTTCCCAATTTCTACTGAAGTTGCAAATTATTTAAGGGGATTAGATTAACTGAAATTATTAATACATGTGTATATAAAAGCATCTCGAAACAGGCCCTCTTTAATATTCAATACTGACAATGGTTTATACATTTGGGTGAGAGGCGTAAGCAAATACAGGGAGAGTATGTTTGATATCTGTATTGGACACAGTTGCTCTGTCTGCCAGTTTAAAAAAAAGTGATCATGTTCTTTAGGTAGAAATGTAGAGCAGGATTCTAAACATCATGATTATTTGATACCTACTAAAAGCTAATTTTCTTGCACAAAGCTGATTGTTCTATGATGTACCCATCTCTTTTCTGGAAGGAAAGTAATAGATTTATTGGTAATAAAATCCCATATTTCAGAAAATGACTTATTTCATTGTGTAATTGAATAGAATTGGTGAACCCTAGAGTTATTTGTGTAAGTAATGTGATGCATCTTGTCTATTCCTATGATTAACTCTTAATACCCGTAATGACTTAACTGTATAAAGTTCAGAGTAATTTACTTTTGAGTCTCGAAAGTTCATCATCAAATGAACTTTTATCAGGGTAATTTTATTTTTCAGGTTATACAACGCATGGAGTGGGTAAAGTAAATTATGCAGCTGGTAAAATCAGGGGACTGTCTTTATTGGATTATCTGTTGTCTGACAATATGTAAACCAATCATATAATTCAGTATCCAAACCAGATTGAATTACACATATCCATGTCACCTACACGTAGAAATTTCTCTGTGCCTGGAATGGAATGTGCATTCACCCTGGAGGGATGTATCCTGCTTACCTAATTAGAGATAATACTTGAGTTTGATATAGTGCCTTATCACGCCTTCGAGATGTCTCAAAGTGCTTCACAGTATAAACTGTAAAGTGGATTAACTATTCTGTTGGCGCAGTTGCGCACAGCAGTGTCCTACAAACAGTTGTGTATTGAAATTTTAAAAAAAAATTAAGATTAGAGAAAATTAGAGATTGGATGGATGCTGGTGAGAGCAAATGCTTGGGTACTCCCAAGCATTTGTATTGAATGTGCAATGTAGTATTGCTGGACTTCAGCCATCTAAAACCGCAGAGCTTGCATTGAAAGTCTGGCTAACGTCCTGCTACTACTTTGGCTAGGATCAACCTACTCAGTTGGACTTTGTTTGCAGGATTAATAGGAATCGAGTGGGAAACACCCTGCCTGACGAAACAGGTTGGCTAGTCTATCAACAGCAGTACACTAGGGTACTGCAGACCTGCTCAGCAACCAAACTACTAAGACTGCAGAGGGTTAACTCAGATATGATATTCTGTTGTCAAGCATGTCACCTTGAAGACAGCTCAAGAAGACCCCTCTTAGCTCTTTCTTCCATTTCCCACCCACCGTTTCCATGGAAATAGTCATATAGTATACTTTTCAAATGATTCATCATCCAGATCCCTCATGATTTTCACTTGTTCTGTTTATAACTGATCCCATCTTGTGCCTGCGTCAGTTCTGTTTTACTTCTGGAATCAGTACCAACATAAGCTTGAAAACAATAGTGCTTGAAAATTATAAACCACACGAGTAGAGTTTTGCCGTAACTGTTTTTTGAAAGGCGTTTCTCTATAATGTTGCTGTTTTCCTCCATGACCTATCAGCTGTATTGAATTACACCAACAGTCCAATCAGCCTAGCTTTTCCAGACTTTTCGTATCGTTCGAGAGTTGGAATACCGTGGTTTCAAAAAAGAAAATGTCTCCATGGCCTCGACCCACCCTACTTCTATGCTCCCGCTGCCCTAGTCACTTCACTCCCTTCGTGCAGCAAACATCTTCTGTTCCCAAGTTCCACCTGCTGCCCCCCATCATCTGTAAGTATGGTTTAAGCCACTCTGCCCTCCCTCTCTGGAACTCTGCCCTAGAGTCTTTCCATCTTCACTCCCTCCTTATGATGCATCTCTTTGATGATGCTTTCAGCCACTTCCTGGCTTGGGATCCTAGTTGGCTGTAAGATGCATTTTAAGACGGCCTCCTGTTGTGAAAGGTGCTATAAAATGTAAATTGTTATTGAAATGATGGTAATGGCCATAGTGGTACCTAATTCAATTTGCATTCGCTGAGTTTCATAGTTTATTTCGTTGATGCCAGCTCTGAGCTGGATTTATAGGCAATAAGATCACAGGTGCTTTAAGTATGCAAAAGCTTTATTTAAAGCCATAGCCGTCTTTAACTGGATCAACACATGTCTACCCCATTAATAAGCTTTACTGATCTTTTGCCAAAAGATTAGGAATGATTTACAACATTGTGAAGGCCAAACTGGTATTTAGAACCATGATGTCCTGTGTGTAAAATCATTGTACTTTTAAAAATATCTCTGAGCCTGGAAACATGCCCTTGTTATGCATAAATGATATCCTTAAAACAAGTTTGAAAATGTTGGAGTATGAATTTCTAACAATTTTCTCTATTAACCACATCACCGTGTTTCTAGTTCTGGTCCCTTCCTGATCCTCTACATTGGTGGATTTTAAAATTAGGAGACTGGTTGCTAAAGCTTTTCATTTGTCAAAATCAGTAATATTTTTAAAAGTAGTGATAAACTGACTGATCGTTAGGACAATGCCATAACCAGCTACCAATTGCAGTTTTAGGGGGGAAATATTTATGTTCACACACATACAAAAATCAGTTACTCAGCTTTGATCAAAAATCCATCCTTTGTAAAAATGAATCTGTAACTATTTATTTGGTATTGTATATAAATCCACTCAGCAATACAGTCATATGATGCTGTGAAGCCCAACCCTGGGCCTTATTCTAGAAACATTCATGAATACTGTGCATATATTCAACATTTCGTTTTAGTAAATAAAATAACTGTACATTATCTTACACAAAGTAGCTCATTTTGCAGCTTTTAATCATTCAATAAGAGACATGTCTTACTAAAGTCATTGTAATGTAAATATTAGCAGATATAGCTCTGTGAAGGCAGACTGTCTTGCTTTTTAAAGAACACATTATACCATATTTAATTAGATTTCTAAGTGCTTTACATATGTCTATAAAATGCTGTTTCTACAGAAATCTTGAAAATGCAGAACAAAGCCTTGCTTGCTAACTGGAGAGCTGAACTAACATTTTAAATGCTGTACTTGCAATTCAAAAAGAATGTATCAAAGAAGTGTTGTATTGTGATAGTTGAAATGATCCAAAACAACTTGAAGGGCTTCCTTAGTTACGTGGCTGTGAATTGAATTCCTGACATATATTTTGTACAATTTGAGACACAAATTTATACAGATTATCAAACTCATCTACAAAAAATGAATGGTCTTTATCAGGATCTGTTGCTATGTATTCCAGTTCATCAACTGCTGCCCAGGCTATGCCAATAGCATATGCTATCACTCCTGTGAAAGAAGAGGAAGAGAATTTTTATAAAATCACACCAAATAAATGTATGACTGAGTTTACACAAGGGATCTGCGATTGAACTAATTTTAACACAAAGTGGTTTGATAAGAGACCGCTTTGTGGCAATCGTATGTTAGTTTATACAACTGGAAAGGGTTCCTTTCTCACAGCATTAAAGCAATTTGGAGCAGAAAACTCATTTTTTTTTCTGTTCCAGAAATGCATTAGCTGGGACCTGAGGAGCTTTGAACATCTAATAATACAATAACTGTTGCATTTGATGTAGCACCTTTCATATCGGGCATCTCAAAGTGTTTTACAGTATACTGTAAGGTGGAGCGACTATTTTGTAGGCGGTTTAATTGCAAAATAAACTTTTTATATTTGACAGAAGTAACTGAAGTGCCATGAGATGTTTCACTTACAAGACACAATAAAAAAGGCAGTTTCATTCGGTCATTCATTTCCTCTGACTTTCTTCCTTCATCAACTCGTTCAAGGTTTATCTCAAGACCTACTTCTTTGTCTCTGCTTTCAGTCATCTTTTTTCCTACCCCCATCGACTCCTACCCGCTTCGGTTCCCACCCCTAGATCAAGTGCCAAGCTAGCAGTGTTACGAGTCTTTGGCCGTCCTCCTGAAGTGAAAGATGCTCTATAAATGTGTATTGTATTGTACGGTTGCGATCTTACCATTTCTTTGCGCAGCAAGTGCTGGTGTTCGGACATCGTCATAAGACCTTCCATCTGTGATGACGATCATCAGTTTTCTTTTGTTTGGTTTGGATTTACTGAAGAGCTGCTCGGATGCATAACTGATGGCTGCCCCAGTGCTTGTCCCACCGCTCCAGTACCGTATATTTTTGATGGCCCTGATCACTTCTTCCTTTGTATTGTGCTCTCCAAATCCAAACTCCAGCCTTTGTTCATATGTATACTGCAAGGCCCCGATCCGAGTGTCCGTATCTGAGATTTCAAACTCCTTGGTCATGTTAGCTACAAACTGCAGGACGGTCCTGAAGTTGTCAGTTCCTACACTGCTTGAGCCGTCAATCACAAATCCGATGTCAGCAGAGTTCAGGCATGTTTTGCTGCACACTAAGCGGTTGGTGGTACATACACGTTTAACCAGTGGCCTGACCACCTGGTGCAGCTTAAACCAACTGGGGACATTGATTGAAAAGTATCCGTTGGTTCTGCACACAGACTGAAAGGGACGGAGAAAAATGAGAGATTGAAGTCTCACAAGACAAGCTTAGACTGAAAGAAACAATCCTGTTTAAATCAAGTAAAATGAATACAAATCAACTTGTTTCTCTTGGTTTAAAAAATGGTGAAGCAAAATCTAACTGCGCTATAACCACAATCATAGAATTATACAGCACAGAAGGAGGCCATTCGGTCCATCATGTCTGCGCCGGCTCTTTGAAAGAACTATCCAAATTAATCCCACTCCCGTGCTCTCTCCATAGCCCTGCAAATTTGTCAACAAATTTTATACTGTACCTTTGTATTGTATGGGGGGACTGACCTCATGAGAACAGAAATGCTGGCCACTAAAAAGATTTTCAGTGGTTATTTTCTCTCATTGTTTGATCTCGACTTAAGCCATGTACCATCAGCCAGGGAGCTGACCAGTGTCCAAAGCCACTGCTATTTAACCAATGGGGTAATTTAAGTGCATCATGGTGAAGAATGTATTCTCCTTAAGCTACATCAACACGCCCCACTAAATTGGCTAAGCATCAAAATGACAGTTCCATTCATCCTTTGATCAACAACTTGACTTATTATAGTGCCTTCCACGCAGTGTAGTGTCTCAGAACGCTTAAATCATCTTTACCCTCCTCACCCCCTCAGCTATTGATATTCAGCCAGAATTGTCATGCACTTTGGGACAAAGTCCTGAAAGGTGCTGTATAAGTGTAAATTGTATTTATTGTAGCGTATTGATTCGCACCTTCCCAATCTCTAACTCAAACATTAGTCAGTTGCCTGCCGTGCTGTTTAGAGAAACAAATGACTGTACTCAGCCATATTTCTAGTGTAATGTATCCTGATTAAATACATGCTCAGGTGCAATATGTATAATAGAGGGCAGGCACATTCGGGTTATTAAGCCGCAGCAAACCACAACATCCATGTATAATCATCAGACCATTGCACACAGAGACTATTACCACATCCGTTCATATAGCACCTATGGCTACTTCCCGTTCCCCCCTCTGCCTCGCTCGGTGTCCAACCCTAACATTGTGCAGCGCTCCAAGACGCTATCCTGCATGAAGAACACTATGTAAATTGTTATCGAATGGATTATTGTTACAAAGCAGCACATCACTTGTGCAATCTTGATAATATTTGCCAGCTCTGAAGTTTAACGGTAAACCATTTTGAAAAGTTACGGGACTTCAAAACAAATACAAGCCGCTCTCATTAAGGATACTCAAATGCTTGTTTATCTCCCTCTGGTGGTCAGTTAATAAACCTGAGGGTTCCTACAATTGACCTCATGAACTTCACTTCGCAAAAAGACTTGAAATTCCATCTAATCTTTACCTGTTTTGACCATTTTATCTTTAAATTTAAGATGACAATAAATACAATTGGGGAAAACTTCTTAAATTGAGTCTTAGTTGGGAAGCCTTGTTTTCACGCATTTCTTAAAAAGAAACTAGTTTCTAAATTAAAACTGAATTGAAGAATTTTCAACATTTTTATGCCATCTTAAATTCTAAGACCGAATAAATGGTTTTATAGCCTGTGATTGAGTCAAATTTCCGGCCTGTTAGTGTGAAACTAGTAAATGATTTATTCCTAGTCAAGTATGACCCAGATCACAAGATTAGTTTGGATGAATAAGGCCCTTCAGCCTATCCGATCTTATCCTTCCAGAAAATACCCCACCTTCCTCAACACAGCATCAAGTTGCTTTGTAAATGAGTCCAGTGTCCTGGCCTCTACCACCTTTCCTGCCAGCCTAGCCTGTTCCAGTCGGCAATTACCCTCTGAGTATAGAAAGAAAACTGATGCCTGATGGCTGGAAATCTGGAACAAACAGGAAGATACAGATCTGGAAAAGACCACTGAGGTTCATTTCACCATCTCCAAGTAAAGAATAAGCCAACAAGGAAAAATAGAAATAAAAGCAAGTCGCTGGAGTATTTTGTATTTCGCCTTTTGTTTAAGGAATAATAGAAATTGGCGATGGAAAGGCTTCCATCACAAGGTATAAAAATATCCTTGCAGTGCCACCAGACCCTGTTCCCACCCCAACTTGAGAGCAGGGCCAGTGGATTTCACCCAGTCTTTGGCTGGCTGCCGAAAACCTCTTCTGATGCAACTTCACAAAAGTGGAAGCAGAGATTAACATCTGAGGAGTGTTCTGGTTATTACATCTGGGAAAATGCACTTCAGATTGATTTCAAGAGCCTCACACAAATCACTTCAAGCCCCAACACCTCCCTACTTCTCCCATCTGCTCACAGCCCACTCCTCTACCCACCGCCTTTGCTAAGCTGCCTCTGACCTTCTACACACTCTGCTCGGGTCCATAACTAAATACTGCGGGGCCTATTAGACAAATATGTTTCAAAGTGGAACAGGAAAATTAAAATGTTTAAAACAAAAAGCTTATGAACATTAAAAGAGCTTGTAAAAAGCAACCACTGGCGAGAGATTATACAAAAGGAGGTTAAAATAGGGCAGCCAAGAAAGAACTGGAAAAACATAAGCTGCATATGGAAAGCAGAACGCTAAAACAAAACCTTTCAATACTCCCAACAGTGAGTCAGGGAAGAAGTGAAGACCCAAAGGGAGTTGAAAATGAGGATGAACAAGAGATAGAACACATATTAAATCACCACTTGTTGAAGGTTTTTAAACAACAGAAGATACTAAAAATAAATTGTCCAACATCAAACATACGTAGTGTGAGCTCCATGATTTTAACATTAGTGGGTTAGACTTCCTAGCTCGGCTTATGTAGGTGCAAGGAGGTGAAAAACAACAAATCTTCCAAGGCATTCATACAGACAAAGGAGAAAATTTATGAAACACTGAACGAAAATTTTGAAGGAGTCAATAAACACTGACTGGCATTGACACACTGTAATGATAATAATAACAATCCTTGCATTTGATAGAGTGTTTTATCACGTCGTTGAGACATCTCAAATGTTTCACATTGTAAAATGGATTGTGTAATAATAATAATCTTTGCATTTGATATAGTGCTTGTCACGTCTTCTAGACGTCTCAAAGCGCTTCACAGAATATACTGATATACTGTAAAGTGAATTGACTGTATTTGTGGGCAAAACGTGACAGCCAATTACGCACAGCAGTGTCCCACAAACAGTCGTGGATTGATGACCAAATTATTATTTTATTTAATTTTTTTTCTTGAGGGATTATTATCAGGCATGTGGAGTAAGGAAACTTTCCCAAGGTTTCGCCCTGGCAGGAAACAAATCCAAGTTGTGAGGTGAATGCTCTAACCACTGAGCTGCAGGGCTCCATATACAAAAGACTGTATTTTGTGTATTATTCTGTAAACAAGCAAATGACCTTCCCAGTTTTATGAAAGGTACCGGAGCCATACCTGTCACCTGCAGAACGATTAGCCTGACCTCAAACATTGGAAACCTAAAGCAATAAATCATCAGAAGCAAAATACTGTACATTACATATATGAAATTAACTTAATAAGTGACAGCTCCAGAGGAGGTAGGTTTTGTCCGAACCAATCTCATGGACATTTTATAGCTGTGACATTCCAATTTGACTGTGAGAAGCCATAGGTCCAAGTCAAATGGCCTTTGACAAAATACCGCATGAGAGACCTTCACAAACTGATGTCATGAATATCGAGGGTATTGGACTGGGATTAGCAATTGTCTAAAAGGCAGGAAGCAGAAAGTAGTTGTTAAGGGAGCTAGGCTGAATTGAGTGGGATGCCTCAGTGGTCCTGTTCTTAATACATATAAATGAAGTGGATCCACAGACTCAGTACAAGTTAATCAAATTTGTAGATGGATGGCATCACGTTACGGACAACAGAAGGATGCAGCCAACTTCTTATAAAGCAAACTAGACAGGAACATAGAAAAACAAGGAAAAGAGGAGAACATTCAGCCTCTGGTGCCAGTTTCACTAGTTTATTAGATCTTGGCAGATTTTTTATTACCAACGCCATACTCCTTAAATAACTCAAGATATGCACCTGATCTGATAACAGGCAAAAGGATTTCAATGCAGATAAAAGAAAGGTACGAAGCAAAATTGGGAGGCATGTGTACGCCTGAATAAGATAAGACATCAAGTGGATTAATTTGAAACACATTTCAGATTCGGCAACCCTGCAGCCAAAGACTGTTCGCACAATTCAAATTGGCTTAGATATATTTTGTCTGAGATCAAACAAATACTCAGTCACAAGATTCCCTGATCTAATGGGATCCCATGTGACATTCCCAAATTTTCTGAAGACCAGCGTATGCCATGAGAACACTATGACACAGGCTGCTCATATTTGCCACATCTTGAACCATTTAGAGACACATGGGCTCCCTTGGACATTGTCCAGGCATTAATAGTTGCGGAGTCTTTCTGAGAAACAAAGACTCTTCTTTGTCATTATCTGAAAGGATAAGGTAGCTATCCAAGTCAGTTATTTTCGGCTGGACTGAAGAATCTGTTCATCCCTCAGACACAGTTCTCTGGAGGTTTAGAAACCGAGAGGTACAACAAGTGGAATGGAGTCACTTCCTGGGTTGCAAGAAGCGTAGTTACCAGAATGCAGTCAATTATATACAGTCAATTCACTTTACAGTGTGTTCTGTGAAGCGCTTGGGACGTCCTCCCGACGTGAAAAGCGCTATATTAATTGCAAGGATTATTATTATTGTTATTAATGTCACTGATTTTAAACCACAGACCTGATAATCCAGAGGGTCTTCACTCACAGTATTTGCCACTTCAACAACTAGTTGTATTTACTGTTGATAGTGACTTTCACGTAATAGAAATGTCTTGCAGGGCTTTACAGAATGAGATTAAGGGAATGTTATGCAGATAAATTGACAGCTATTTGGTGCTCAGCATCACCCTGAGAGTTTGAAGTATTCAATAATGAACGGTTATTCAAGAGGTGTAATATTTGGGGTTTGGCTTATACGTATCTTGGACAGGTCCTAACTAGAATCAATCAGTTAAATGGAGTCCTGTAGCTCAGTGGTTAGAGCACTCGCTTTGCAAGCGAGAGACCTGAGTTCAATTCCAGGCAGAGGGCGAAACCTTGGGCAAGTTTCCTTACTCCACACTCCTAATAATAATCCCTCCAAAACCAAAAACAATAATAAATTGGTCATTTTCAATCTACGACTGTTTGTGGGACATTGCTGTGCGCAATTGGCTGCCGCGTTCGCCCACAAATATACAGTCAATTCACTTTACAGTGTGTTCTGTGAAGCGCTTTGGGACGTCCTCCCGACGTGAAAAGCGCTATATCAAATGCAAGGATTATTATTATTATTATTATTATATCCCATTACTGGCTGTATATTCATAATATTAATAGTAATCCTCACATTTGATATAGCTTTATATATATATATATCAAAGCTCTTCACAGTATATACTGTAAAGTGTAATGACTGTGTATTTTGTATCTAAAATAACACAGAACAAGGATCAGTACAGACTCCTGTGAGACCCGTTTACCGGGTACATAAACATTGTCCTGATGGACATTTTGGACATTTGCAAAAGATCCATTGTTCAAGTGCTTATGGAACATTACCTTGTCCACAAAGTTTGGTTCAACAACGCTGTTCATTTCATTGTCAACCGGTCCTTCTATGGTGATAAAAAAGATGTTGATGCCAGATTCTCTGGCAAGGCGAGACGCTTCTTCAACCTTATCCGTTGGCCATCCGTCCACAAGAATCACAATCACGTTAGGGGCAGCTCCTCGATTCCCATTCCCATTGGAAAAGAAATGCTGGCTGGTGTGTGTCAGCGCTCTGCCTGTGAAACACAGCTCAACGTATCCAACACGTTTTTGATTTTCTTCAAAATATCATCTGAAGCTTTGTTTAGATTTTTAAGAGTCTAAGATCAGAAATAAATTTCGGACAGTCTTAGCCTTAAGACCACTGGCTTAATGGTTAGGGTCGCACTGAATTTTGAAAACTTCTAATTTGGAATTTATTTGGAAGTTACTTTCAAGAACAGCAGGAAATCAGTTTAAGACGAGTATTTTGGATCTGTGAACTTCATTCCTACTCCACTTTTACCCCATTATCTCCTTCTCTTGTTAATTTTACCTTAAAATTCCTACTTTATTTTAGATTTTCTGATTATTGTGTGATTTACACTCTTATTTTTAAATATCAGAGCTTACTTTGCATGCTTCTAATAATATCATTAGTAATAATCTTTGCATTTGGAATAGCGTCTTTCACATCGGGAGGATGTCTCAATGCACTTTGCAGGATTTACTGTAACAGTAATCATATCATTTTAAAACTGGAACCCATATCTTTGAAAGGCACTATACAAATGTAATTGTATTGTTGTTGTTTAACACTTGGTTTACTATTGACTCAAAAAATGGGTTCAAATTAAATATCGATTCATCCTTCAGACACTGTCTGAGGGATGAATGAGGGACATCTTTTCTTGGCAGATCTTGGAAAAGCACCTGTTGAGATATCTTGTGAGCATCACAGCAGATTATCTCATCAGCAACAGACACTGACCATCTATTTTTCCCCTGACTCCACATCCTCTGACTTTATTCATTAGTCTATTATGTGGTACCTTATCGGACGTCTTTTGGAAATCTAAATATATTACATCTATCGCATTACCCTTGTCTACTCTTTCTGTTACCCCTTCAAAGAATTCAATGAGGTTGGTCAAGCGTGACCTTTTTGAAATCCGTGCTGACTATTCTTTATTATGTTTTCCATTTCTAGATGTTTCTCTATTACCTCCTTCAGAAAGGATTCCATTATCTTTCCTACCATCAATGTGAAGCTGACAGGCCTATAGTTCTCTGGGCTTGTTCTATCTCCCTTTTTAAATATAGGAATAAATATAGTTTGTTGGGGACGAGTTGGTGACTTCCCTCCAGGACAGAGTATGCACTCCATATACCAGACAAACAGAAATCATAGTTATGTGGAATTCTCAGAAGTTTGGTTTGGAGTCTCTCAAGCATGGTGCTGAGTTTATTTGTTGTGTGTCAGATTAGTTGTAGATATGGAGGTTGAGTTTTTCAACAGGAACATAACCAAACACTTACCGACATTGGAAAGGCCACCTTTCTGTGGAATTTTTCCAATGGCACGTTTAAGGAAGTTGGAATTTCTGTAAGTCTTTAGGTTGAACTCTGTTGTAGCATTATCTCTGAAATAAACCAACAAAATCAACTATATCACAGAGCTCAAGAGACATACAGGTTTATAGTATGCACATTAGCAGCACACGGAATGAGTACTGGTTATGTACGGCACATTGCCTGGTTAGCAAAGTGACCTAAGAGTGGCACCTCCAATACTACAGAACTCCTCCAGCACTGCACTGGAATGTGAGCCTAGACTATATGAGTTAAAAGTCCTGACGTGAGGCTTGAACCCATACACGTCTGACTGAGAGGCGAGGGTGCTACCAAATCAGTCAGGCTGACCCCTCACAAGCAATAACTGTCCATCCTGTGACTGCTTTTGTAGGAAAATGTGGTTGTACGCAGCCAAGTCCCATGACCCGCATAAAGAGGAACTGAGTTAGTGGATTGTTGGAACAAGCAAACAGGACCTTGGTTTAACTTATCTCATCTGAGACATGGTGACTTCAACAACACAGTGCTTCCCCTAAGTCTACGTGGTAACTGTTTACTGACTTTACTTACCCATATTGAATAATGCCCATCAGTGGGCCTGCAACCCCCACATTAAGTTCTTGAACAAAATCCAATAGGAATTTCTTTTGGATCTTGAACCTGCGTTTTCCTATGCTCCAACTTCCATCCAACAGGAAGGCAATATCAATCTTGCAGTCTAGAAGATTGAGCCAAAGGCAGTTATTCTATACAACAATTATCCATTACATCCATTATCAGAGCTGCACTTTCTGAAGTGAAGAGCTACAATTGGAAAGTTGCTTAGTTTCCAGAGACGTTAGCTTGTTTTGTACTTTGGCCACAACTGTTCCCAACCAAAAACAAATGAGCCTGCCATTACACCAGGCTGGCTGTGCTGTCATCAGCAGTGCCCTGGAGTACTGCGGACCTGCTTAGCTCAGGAACCGGACCACCGAGACCACCACCGAGGGTTGACTCGATTGCGCTATTACATTGTCCAGCACGTCAATCTGGATTTCTCAAAAGAAGTGGCTTCCAAATTAAGATTGTTAAGTTTTTCACAATTCTAGCCGATTTTAAGATTAAGTGGAATTTGGGCCTTACGTGTCCTATTTTCAAACAAGTTTGATATAGTATCCCTTTCTGATTATGTTGTGCCTAATATTTGCCTTTTCTTTTTCCAACAATCTTGTGCTCTTTTCTACTCAGTCAAGGATAATGGAGACCATTCAAGCTCCTATTCCCATTTGACATCCACATACAGGCACATTCCAGCATTGGGAGGGGAGGGGGTAGTCACTGGATAGCAATCAGGAGTCAGAACCATGACTAATGTTTCTCTTTCTTGTCTGAGACCGAGTATCTTTAACTCAGCACAGACCAGGAATCACATGGGACCTTCTGGTTTCTTTGAGCAATGTTATAAAATATTAATCCTTGTACCTTATCACGTCATCAAAATTACACAGAAAGTGCATGCAACTTATAGTAGTGGATGTATTCTGCCACAACTATGAGATACAAATATAAATAAGAAATATAAAAATTACAATTATGTTAAAAAACAACTAGGATCTATATATTTCTTAAACAAATTTGAGCTACAATGTCTGCTGTAGTAAATCGTTTCTTTAAATTTCAGTTGCTAGCAACACAATTCTTCATCAAGTGGGACTTACTTATAGCAAAACTGAATGTAGTGAAACTCCACTTAGAATAAAAAGCTTCCACTGAATGGACTTGTTCCCTTCATGTTATGTTTCGTATCTGTTTGCAGCAAGCACTGGTCTGCCAATTGTTTAGGCCATAATAAGCAATGTGTAGCATCTCAGAGATCAAAGCAAACTGAAGTTAATTCATAAAAGGAGCTTAGTTGTGTGGTGGTAAAGCTGTCCATGGATTTAAGGAATGGATGGAATACAAAGGTTAGAGGCTTGAAAGGGTATGGACCTAAGGCAGGGAAGTGGGATTGAATGAACACCTTGCTCTGAGAGCCCATATCGACCCAAATAGCCTACCGCTGTGCTGTAAATTTCTATGAATCTATGATTCTGTGGAGGTGGGAGTAGATAAATTGCCAGTTTGCAAATCACACAATCCAATATTCACCAACCGTAAATTGCAATAACGGAATGGATCCAATTTGTTAATATCATGGTTTAAATTAACATTTCAAATATAATAATAATCCTTGTATTTGATATAGCACCTTATCATGTCTTTGAGATAGCGCTTCACAGAATAAGTAAGGTGAATTGACTGTGTATTTTGTGGGTGAAATAAAACATGTTCTTATTTGTAGACAAAATAATGTGGTGTATATTTGACTGGTCTCTTAACATAAAATACAATTTCTTAAATATTGCTATAAAATAGAAAGAGCTGTTTTCCAAATAAACCGCATCTCTTCTGATCAACTCACCAGAATGGGTGACTGAGATAGAAAATTCAGAGAACAAATTCAATGATAAAATATGGATTTGTTTCTGTTACTTTAATATGTCTTTGACAAATGTTATTACTTTCTGTTTAAAAAATAGCAAAACTTAAATACTTGGATCTCCTTGGGAAGCAGGATCTTCTATAATATGTCCCAAATCTCCATCCCCTGTGTTGAAACCTGGTTAGGAAGAAAATATTATTAGCATAGTTAAGAAAATGGAACTGCGCCCTATCATTTATCTTCCTTTATTCTCATTAGATATACAAATATAATTTATCCTTACAACATGGTCCCTTGATGTCTCTTCATATCTGTGAATTGCATCACACAAGGCAGGGCGAAACCTTGGGCAAGTTTCCTTACTTCACACGCCTAGTAATAATCCCTCCAAAGCAATAATAAATTGGTCATTTTCAATCCATGGCTATTTGTGGGACACTGCTGCCCACAAATATACAGTCAATTCACTTTGCAGTCTATTCTGTGAAGTGCTTTGAGACGTCGAGAAGACGTGAAAAGCACTATATCAAATGCAAGGATTATTATTATTATTATTAGCAACCACCTCCATGCTGTTACTGGTTGTACAGGCAGGTAACCCACAATAGAAACCATCCTGTCGGTGGTGTAGGTGGTGATATTTTTAATCCAACCACTAGGAGGTGCATTTGAACAATACAAGAAGAGATTCACCTCACGTCTTCATTATAATAATCCTTGTATTTGATATAGAATCTTTTACATCATGTCTCAAAGCACTTCACAGGTTTCACTGTAAAGTGTAGCAGCTTACTATTGTGTTGGTGAATGCAGCAGACAATTTGCACTCAGCAATGTCCCAAAGACAACAATGCAATGAATGACCAATTTTATTTGGGGGATTTGTGGCCAGGACACCAGGAGAAACTCCTCTCACTTTTCAATTGTGTTATGGGATCGTTAACATCCACCTGAACAGTTAAACAGAACCTTGGTTTAACATCTCATCCTGAAGAATGCAGGGCATTCCATTCATGCCCTTTACACCTCCCTACCTATCCGATCTGCTTACCCCCCACTCCACCACTCGCTGCCTCCTCTCAGCTGACTCCGGTCTCCTGTTTGTCCTTTGTCCCCTCCTCTGCACCATCGCAGACTCCGGGACACTAACCCGTGTGAAGGGCGCTATATAAATACAAGTTGTTGTTGTTGACTGCACCTCCAACAATGCAGCACACCTCCAGCACTGCACTGGAGTCTTTTCCCAGACTATAATGATAACAATCCTTGCATTTGATATATGTTTGATATATGAGTCCTGACATGGAGTCTTCAGACTCAAAGACAGGAATGTTTATCTGCCGAGCCTGAGACACACAATATACAATCGTTTGTTGTTTTTGCAGGCTATCAAAAAGAGACTAAGAGAAATTTTAGAGAGTTGAACAACAACTTGCAATTATATAATATAAAAATATTGCTTGCATTTGATATAGTGCCTTATCAAGATGTCTCAAAGCACTTTGCAGAATATATTGTAAAGTGTAATGACTGTATATATTCTGTGGACGAAATGCAGCAGCCAATTGCGCACAGTCGTGTCCCACAGTTGTGGATGGAGTGACTAAATTTTTTTTGAGGGATTATTATACAGCGCCCTTCACCAAGGGCAGCGTTTCAGAGCATTTAAGAGTAATTGAAGAGTAAAGACATAAAGGGTATGGATTAGAGCAGGTCAGCCCAGTGGAACTAGCACAGAATATGCATGTGCTTATTTATTTTGTGCTGTAAGCTTTAGGATTCTGTGAAACAGCAAGTCACAACTCACAATGAGTAAGAATTTCTCCTCTGGAAAATGTTACATTGAAATAAAAAGTATACCGCTATTTACTAATATTTCACATTAATAAGGAAATAAAGTTTAGAAAAGGACCCAAGTTGGTTTGTGCCAATTAAAAGCATTCAAGGTTATTAGGTTTAATTGGAAGAATCTTACAGAAAATTTGATGGGTAGATGGACTGTGGCCTAAAATTGTAAATATTGTTGCTTACATTATTTGCCTATAAAATACACAGTTACTTCACCCTTCATTAAATCCTATGAAGCACTTTGAGTCATCCTCCCAGTGCAAAAAGCGCTATATCAACTACAAAGATTTTCTTTATTATAATCAATATGCCCACATATGTAATGTAATTGCATTACCATATATCCTTTAGCATTCAAGAGTTTATTCCTACTCTGAGCTCATCTAAAGAACTGTTGGATCCCAATAGGCCAGTTGGAAGGAAGTAGGTAATAGTTCAGGTTCCTACCCCTTATGTTGAAGGGTTGTAAGTCAGAGTTCCAGAAACCAGTATCTGTTTCATCCGTGTTGTGATCTAGAGAAAAATAATTGGCATTTGTGATAAAGTGTTGAAATGATAATGAATCATACACCTGCAAGTATTCAGAAGGATCCATGCTGCGGGAATCATAAAAAAAGACTCGAAAGCAGTGAATTCCGGAGATTTGAGGGCAACCCTGTGGAACACTTCTCGGAAGATAAATCTTAGGAAGTCAAAATTTAGATTGGCATCTGAGAGGAGTTCAGAAGGTGTGTTGCAAGCAGACATCAACCTCTGCACCTGGAACACATCTGGCTTTGACTAGTTATAAATTCTTTGACTTGCACATTTTTCACTTATAAAATACCCAGACTTCATATCCATTTAAGGAAATTTATCACCCATCTATTCCCATTTCAGTGATGCAATTCTGGGACTCAATGTGACCTGTTCGCCTGACAGATAGGCCAGTGGACTATGGCTTATCGGTGAGAGAGGACCTGCATTTCAAGTCCTTTCTCAAAGAGAAGCCATAGTCCACTGGTCTGTCTGTCATGTGAACAGGTCCACGCCATAGTCGACAACATGTCAGCGTCAACTTACTTGTGTGTTGAAAGTCTCTGCTCCTGAATTCCATAAGGTCCTAATCTGAGCTCATCTAAAGAATTGTTCTATCTGGCACATCAACCCTGAGGTCTTTGATAAGAAAATATTAGTCTACACAAGAAATAACTTCCAACAGTTTGAAATGAGCTAGTAATTATATGTACCCACATAAAATACATTCCGTGCAAAACAGAACGCTTACTTCTGTCCATGGATTCGGCTTGCAATCGCCATAAATTTGGATCTTGAGGTCTGTGATCTGAAAAGAAAACAAAATTGCATTCTCTTTAATACTTTCATATTTCACACTCGAACACATTACCCAAATACTCTGGAACTCCATCCCAGAGTCGCTATGACTTGCTCTCTCCCTCCCCTTATTCAAGGTCCAACTTAAAACCCACTTCTTTGACTGCTACTCCTTATTGTAATTGCATTATTTTCTCTATAAAGTCTAATTGAACCCTTCATTAACCAGAGCAGACTCACTGTTTACACTGGTATGTAGAGAAAAAATCAAAACACAGGGGTATGAGACCAACCAACCTGTTGTTTTAACACAATCCAATGAGAATTAAATGTGCAACTTTACTGGTGAACAAACATTCTGTCTTTATGAGAATAAATGCAGAAAACAAGTAAACAAAATACATAAAGTAAATTGCAATTCTAGCAGCAGTGAGTTCTAGCTCTAGATCCCAACACAGCTAAATAACAACTGAGTTTAACAGAATGAGTTGTGCGGTGCAGATCTGCATACTACAGAAAGGCAAGCGTGTGTATAAAAAACGTTTGCAAGAGGTGCATGTCTAAATAATATGAAACACTTACTGCTCCCACCAAGGCTGTGGATCCACTTGTCATAATCGGATGACAGTGGTCTGGCGCTGTAAGCTTAGGAACAAATAATATCATTAGACATGCATGGAAAGTTACACCTGTGGGTATATAAGCACTTATAAACCTCCCACACAAATTCCTCAAAACAAGCCAACCAATGCCTGGGATCATAACACTGGAAATTCTCAGTTAACCAGTGGGATCCTCAGTCTAGTGAGTGCAAATGGCCATTCACTGGAAATATCACGCCGTCCGTGGCAACTCCGCTCTGAAACTAGACCGCGTTGGAACGGAATTCCCATGACTTTGAACACTGTACTTCCACTTTCCTTAAGGAATCTTGTTTGATGTGCCCCTGTCTTAGACCCCTACTTGTGTATCTTACGTGAACTTGAGGCCAGGGGCAGAGTGCTGAGTACAGGTCAGTCTGGATTAAGGAACACTGTTGCTCAAAAAATATGGAAACGAAATATGCTCTTAACACAAGGAATGGGTGAAGAAACATTGCAAAGATGTAATAAGGTGCTATATCAAATGCAAGGATTATTATTAATATAACATATTTTATCCCACAGTAATGGGTTCAGGCATGAATGGAAAATGTAATTTGGTGAGAACTGGGCTGGTTTTAAGAATCAAGCTCCAGAGGCTTTTAGCTGGATCTAAAGTGGAACCTTCAGACCGTAAATGTCTCTCTCCTGACTGGGTAACTGGTCCAAATACTGTATCCAGAAACTTCAGAAGGTTCCAGCATGCTGAGCATGCCAGAGAACACCTGCCTCCACCCACTCACACTTACCTCTTACACACCCACCTCCGTCCACCACACTAACCGCCTGCAGACCCACCTCTGCCCGAGCACACTCACCACTTACACTCACTGCCGCCCAAGCATACGGTCACCTCTCGCACACCCAGAATTGCCAGCACACACTCACCTCTCAAATCTAACTGTAAAAGAAAAATATCCATCTTGCGAACGGTATGAGGTTGCTCTGGATATTTGGTCTAACCTGGTCTCTGCAGTTAACCAGGAACTCTTACCTGGGTTCTGATACGTTTCCACTTCAGTCCAGGTGTATGCGGAATCTGTTGCTATGCCACCACTATCTGCACAGAAGGAAAGTGTCACTTTTACCATTTTCCTGATTTTAAAATCAATTAATAAACATTTCTACAATTTGGCAATTAGTAGATTTCATGTGTTTACCTTTCTGCCGTGACTGAAGACCTGGCCATTCAGGTCTCTGCCCTGATATCTGTTTTGGTTGTGTAAACCCTGGTGATAAAGAAGCCATATTACCAAGAGTGCCTGGAAGCTTTGACAAGCAACAAGGCTGGAGTACTGAGATGTGGCTGTTTAAGTTAAGTTAACCCTTCTTCTCCCCATAAATTTCTATGGGGCTCGTTTAAGTTAGATTCTTGGAGTTAAACAACAACAAATTACATTTGTATAGTGCCTTTTATGTTGAATGACTCCCAAAGGGCTGGACAATCAGGGATTTGGACCCGATCTGGGTAAAAAAAAACACAGGGCATTGGAGAGGGAGTTGGTTCAGTAGTTAAGCTTGCACCAATTGAAGTTCACTACCTATGCCAACCTGCCTCCCAATCCAGCCCAGACTTGTGGGAAGAGAGTTTTATCTCATCACTTAGGATCTTATTCTCTGGGGGAGAATAACAGAACACAGATGAATAGATGGTTTACCAGTGGTACAGACAGAGCTCACCAGGATTAACAGGTGATCTTGCCGGGCTGCGGAATGGAACTCCTGGGTTCTGTCGGCGAATGCCTAAAACGTATAAAGTGATCATTTCAGAAGCTTTGTGGATATTCTTGTCGAAATTATTTTGGGTGTTCTAAATTGAAAAGTTTCTAGGAACGGAATAAAAGCTTCCAGGAACTTAATGATATAATAATAATAATCCTTGCATTTGATTTAGTGCTTTTCACGTCTTCTAGACATCTCAAAGCGCTTCACAGAATAGACTGTAAAATGAACTGACTGTATATTTGTGGGCAAAATGCGTCAGCCAATTGCGCACAGCAATGTCCCACAAACAGTCGTGGATTGAAATGACCAATTTTTTTTGAGGGATTATTATCAGGCATGTGGAGTAAGGAAACTTGCCCAAGGTTTCATCCTGCCGGGAATCAAACCCAGGTCTCTCGCTTGCAAGGCGAGTGCTCTAACCACTGAGCTACAGGACTCCACATACGTAATATATAACTTATATTGTGACTCCACATATAACCACATACCTGCATTTACACGGGGGTAGTTCCTGTTTGTGAATTCAGTCACTGCTGCACCTCTGAACCCTTGGAAGGAAAGATTTGCCTGTTAGTCTGGGGTTTTATTATGGGGTGTACAGACAGCAATATAGAAAAAGGCAACTATTAGTTCATTTCCCACTTACCTGGATGCTGCCCTTTTCCATATAAAGAGTGAGACTGACCTGCATTCCCAAAGAAAGCACACATTAAATCAAGGAACATATGAACAAGCTTTGACACAGGTTGAATTTAGTAGACAGCCAGATAACCACAGTAACTGTCACCAGTCCCATTGTGGATATGAAAACAATAGATTGTCAGGTCTGTGATTGTGCACGTATGTGTGATTCTCTGCTCTCTGTGTTGTGTGTTTGTGTTTATCCATGTCCTTGCCTTGATCAGATCTCTCTGCCTCGTGATGCCGAAGTAAAATAGCAAACATTCTGCACAAATTAAAGGTTTCACCCACTTCACCTGCCAACTTCACTTCTGCATCTGAACCTTATTGAGGATAAGGGGAAATGTGGTTATCTAGTGTGCGGATAAGTGGTGTTCGACTGACCATTTTTCCCCTTCTCCATGGCCAGAGGCACTGAGACTAATGTTAATGCTATGGATCAGAGATCAAACCTGAGATCTTCTCAGTCCATATGATTCTGATTTACCCTATGGGCTATTAGTTATTTTGTACAGTTTGCTTCTTTTTCTATGTTGAAGGGTTAAAGAGATGGACAATAGGATGGGGCCTGTTACGTGGCATGTGCAAAACATATGTAAATACAAGTATATTATTTGCCATGTGTAAACACATGCGTCCAGATGGAATCACAAGTGTCCTTAATTCCACAAGTGTTCTATATAAAGCATAATGCAGCTGTGTTTACACACGGTGCATAATCTGCTCTCTTTTTGCTCATGGAGAGAAAGATGCTGAATGTGACAGGCTGTAACTCTAACACTCCTGACTTGCTGCGGTGCTGCAGAAACAACAAAGGACATTATCTGAGTTTATGAAGCATAGAAATTCCATAGTTTGGCCCAGACCCTTTTGCAATACAAGGGAACAATGCCAATAAAGACCATCTGCAAACTTACTTGAAATTGCTGGAAGTTTCAAAGAGGCAGCATTTGGGATTCTGTCACTGTAACCTGCATTGACAAAATAACAATGGGTCAGGCATTTAGTGACTGAATTGTTTCCAGGGTTCACCTCCATTCTCTGCCTCCTTATTGCCTCCTTTGAATAAAAATAACCACCCATGCATTTGACATAACGGCCATAACATCTCAAAGCATTTCACAAAGTTTGTATAAAGTGCAGTGAAGTGCAATTGGGTGTATTTTGTAGACGAAAGTAGCAGCCCATTGGCACACAGCAATGGCCCCAAACAGCCAATGATCAACTTTATTTGATGGATTGTTGGCCAGGATACTGGGAGAAATTCCCTTCTCTTTTCAAATAGTGCCATGGGATCCTGAACAGGCAGACGGAACCTTGTTTCAACAACCCATCTGAAGGACAGCATCTCCAATAGTGCAGTATTTTCTGCAGGACTGCATTGGAGTGTCAATGTAGACTATGAGCTCAAAGTTCTTGATGTGGGTCTTGAAGCTATATTCTTGAATCCTAGAGGTGAGAATGCTACCAACTGCTCCAGGTTGACACCTTTGGTCAGATGAGAGAGGTATCTTGGCTGTGGAATGACTCTCCATGACCATCACCATTAGAAATCTATACTTTAACATTCTGAGATTCTAAGGCAGCAATTTCACATCTGTCATCACTAAGCTTAACCGTTCAATATAACTGAGTACAAAGATTCAAGTAAGATCCCGAGGAATTAAAATCCAATGATCTGCCATTGGTCTCAGATACGTAACATCACCCATGCCTTAGTGATCCCACAGTTACAATCGTCGCATTGTTTTCTATTTAGTTTTCTATTTGTTGATTTGTTTGCATCAAAACCAAACCCTGAAGCTGTAATAGGCTTTTCGAATAAATTCCCATCACTACTAACCTACTTCTCTCAGTTCATACAAGAGTGGCTGAGATGGCGTTGGGTGCTGGGTGGTGCTGGTTGGTTTAGGTGTTGTTGTGGGTGCCTTGGTAGTAGTTGGTACTCTGGTGGTTGGTGTCTTGGTGGTGATGACTGGTGCTCTAGTGGTGGCTGGGGCTGCGGTTGGTTTCAATCTCTCTGGATAAATAATCCCCAAAACAAAAGAAAATGGTATTAAAACTCATCACAGTACCTTTGAAAGGCTGAGGTTAAGCTTCCCACTGGGCAAGCAGCGGGAAGCTTGCTAGCGTTCACAATATCAACCCCCACTGCTTTAACTGGTTAAACTCCGGCAGTTCCCCTAACCATATTCTGGGGGGCCCAAACCTTGGCACTTGCCAACAATTTCCAGGATTAGGTGAGCAAGGTGCGTCTCTCCATTCCAGACAAACAGAAAACATAGATGTGTGGAATTTTCAGTTTGGTTTGGAGCCTCTCAAGCATGCTGCTGGGTTTCCGTGTGTGTCAAACAGAGACAAAACCTAACCTTAACTTCATTCATGACCAGGTGTAGAACCATATTCTCGTCAGTTTTTCCACCTGAATGAAAGGGCTGTCCAAGTGAGGCTTTATGTTCTGATTGCTTTGGTTCTGCTGTGAGATTCTCTGATTTGAGTAAGGAGAGTAGCAACTACTTGCAACTTATTACATTGTAATAAATTCAAACAGGACCTGCTTTACGTCTAAAGCACATCCAAAACAGGCACTACCTGTCCTTACTGTTGACTTTCTTGAGGGTAGAAATTCATGGATGGATGGATAAGTGACTCCTTTCTGCTGTTTAGGCTCTGTACAAATAGAGAGAACAAATAATAGGTCGATGACTATGATAAGAAGGACAAACATCAGAGCAAACGACATTGCAAATTTTAAAATTAATTAGCTATCAGTATGGTGCTTCTAACTATTACAGATATTCTTGAATGTTATCAGGAGAAGGAAAATGGACCTAGTTAAAAGGTAGTTAGAAATAATACTAATAAATTGGTCACTTTAATCCACGACTGTTTGTGGGACACTGCTGTACGCAATTGGATGCGGTGTTTCGCCCACAAAATATACAGCCAATTCACTTCATAGCATATTTGGTGAAGTGCTTTAAGACATCTCAATGACATGTTAAGGCGCTACAACAACAACAACAAGATTCCATTTATTGAGCGCCTTTCACGTCGGGAGGACGTCCCAAGGCGCTGTACAGTTGGGTCAGGACCTGAGCAGGGGGTAAATGGTCAGGGTGAGGGGAGGGAAGGGAGGGAGCGAGGAGGGGATAGAGAGTCGAGAGGGGAGATGAAGGCACGGTCAAAGAAAAAGTCTTGAGACCAGCCTTGAAGGAGGAAAGGGAGGAAGCGGCGAAGGCACTGGGGGATAGAGTTCCAGAGCCTAGAGGATGAGAGGCTGAAGGCCCGGCCACCGATGGTAGGATGGTTGGGGCGGGGGATGTGGAGCAGACCGGAGCCAGAGGAACGGAGGGTACGGGCAGGAAGGTAGGGGGATAGTAGGTCAGAGAGGTAGGAGGGAGCGAGGCATGAATGGCCTTGTAGGTGAGGATGAGGATCTTGAATTCGATCCTCTGGGGGATGGGGAGCCAGTGGAGGCGAGCGAGGGTGGGAGTGATGTGGTCGCGAAGCCTGGTGCGGGACAGTACACAAGCTGCAGAGTTCTGAATGACCTGCAGCTTGTGGAGGGAGGTGCCGGGAAGGCCGGCGAGGAGAGAGTTCCCATAGTCCAGCCTTGAGGTGATAAAGGCGTGGACCAGAGTTTCAGCAGCGTGAGGGGTGAGGTAGTGCCGTAGTCTGGCGATATTCCGGAGGTGATGGAAGGCGGTGCCAGTTGTGGCGCGGATATAGGGAGAAAGGACAGCTCAGGGTCGAACAGAACAACGAGGTTCCTGACTGGCTTTGAGAGGTGAAGCCTTGGATGCTGATGCTGTCAGCGCCTGAGGTGCGGAGGCGCTGACGCGAGCCAATCAGGAGGGCCTCAGCTTTACGCACGTTTAGCTGAAGAAAGTTGTCTCTCGTCCAGGACTCGATGTCAGACAGGCAGCTGTCAGGATATCGGTGGTCGTGGAGTTGAGGGTAGAGGAGGAAAGGTAGAGTTGGGTGTCATCCGCATACATGTGGAAGTTAACCCCATATCTGCGGATGATGTCACCAAGGGGGAGCATATAGAGGGTGAAGAGGAGGGGACCGAGGACAGAGTCCTGAGGGAATGAAATGCAAGGAATCTTTTTTTATTCAGTTGTGGCTAACTATCAATTCATTTAAGATACTTTCACAAATTGGTTTGGATGAAGAAGGCCCTTCGGCCAATTTGATTTCATCCTTCAAGAACTCTACTGTGCCCCCATCACGATATCAAGCTGTTTTTTTTAATGAGTCCAGTGTCCTGGCTTCTGCCAGCTTTCCCAGCAGCCTGTTCTAGTCCTCTGAGTAAATAAAAACCTTGGTATCTGTCCTGGAATTGCTCTTTCTCTACAAACCAATGTCCTTTTGTATTAATGTCATGCACCCTAAAGGTAGTATTTTCAGAGGGAGGGGCAGGTAGGAAGGAGGGAAGTGGAAGATGCTGGTCAGTAGTTAGCCATACAGTAGCAAAGTGACTTGTTCATAGTCAGTGGGGCTACTCTACAAACAGCAAATGATTGCAACATCAACTCAATTTTGTCAAATAATATTGTAGGGATTTATGAAGGAAGTGTTTTGTGCAGATAGTCCCACTGGTTTCGTGAGAACAGGTACTTCAGAACATAGATAGGTACAAGATCATTTAAGAGCATTAAAGATCACCTGGCTGGTTCAATCCTCTAAACACTATTGTTTAGTATCTCTCATTTATCTTCTCTCTATCCTTTCTGATTGATTTGTGTAACGATCAAATGAAAATCAAGATCAAAATGAGAATTAAATCTCTTTTTCAACAAAAAAAATCATACGTTTAGAGGAAAAAAGGTGTCACCTGAGACCACAAAGGATTCTTTCCATCTAGGAAGTGACAAGGAACGAATACCATTGGAAAAGCTTCCTCTGTAATTTGGCTTACTCGGCACTTTACGCACATGGATCTTTCCTCCATTGTTGTCAATGATGCCACTGTTGGAGGCAACAGACAGGTAAGTTAATATTGTTATTAATAATCATAATAATAACACTTTTCATTTGAAATGTGCCTTTCACATCAAGAGGACATCTCAAAGAGCTTCACAGGATTATACGATAAAATGCAGTGATATTGCCTAATCAGCAAACTGTGGCTTAAATCTACTCTTATACCATTATATCTCCATGTGGTTATGAGCATGTTACATACAGTATGTAACATTACGCTGTACAGTAAAGATGTTAAGCATTTTCTTTTTGGATAACAATATCTTATACAATGTCTAATACATCTTATATAATCTGTAAACTCCGGGCGTTTGGTGTTTCAGAGGCTCAAGGACAATTGACCAACAAATCAAGAGTACTTGTGAAGGAAAGGTGTCAGCCTGGCTCAGATGGTAACACTTTCACCTTTGAGTCAGAAGAATTTGGGCTTACATCAGAGCTTTGAATTTACATAAACTAGGCTGACACTCCAATACATGGGGTGCTTTGGTTGCATTGTTGGAGGTGCCGTCCTTCAGATGAGACGTTAATCTGTGGTCCCGTCTGCCTGTCCAGGTGGATATTTAAAGTTTTTATGTCACAACTCTAAAAGAGAAGCGCATTTCTCCTGGTGTCCTGTCCAATAATCTCCCAGATAAAATTAGTCATTCACTTCATGGCTGTATGTGCGACATTGTTCCATGCAAATTGATTGTTGTGTTCACCTACGAAATACACAGTCATTGCACTTTACATTAAATCCCGTGAGTGATTTGAGATGTCTGCCCAACGTGAAAAGTTGCTGTATTAAAAGGTAGGAGATTGTGAAGCACACACATTTTGGGGGATCTCTTAACATTGTGGAGGTTTCAACTGACTAAAAAGCAAGCAAGTTTTCCTATTTTCATAAATGATGACAGAGAAATGGTAACTACAGCTGAAAGAAACACAGTGATGTTAGTTGATTCATTGCTCATCATGTAAAAACAATGTGAGGCAGAGTTCCAAAATTGCACACATTTCTGTAACATTACTTCACATTGTGTTTACATGATGAGACAACATATGAAACAGTATGCACAGTACCTAGTACAAAAGGGTTGCCCAAGCTTGCCAGGCAACGCAGAGAAAGGCAACAAAGCTGATCGCCAGTATTAGAAGGAAAAGCTATGAAAAAATAGTTAAATCGGAATCTTCAGCCTTGAAAAGAGGAGTCTTGGAGATAGTTTTCAGGAGGTGTATAAAGTGCTAAATGGTATTAAAAAAATGAACCCTGAAGAGTAGTTTCAAGTACTTCAAGGCACCCCATGGTGCTCATCCCCATCAAATCAGGAGATACAACAACAACAACTTGTATTTATATAGCGTCCTTCACATGAGGCAATGAGCGGATACTCCACCATGTGGGAAACTTGGGCAATGAGCTTACTCTGATTGATGTGAGTTTCCACCTGTCAGCACCCTTCAGTTTTCTGGTTTCAAATTACACTGCACAGGTTGTCAAGGAAAAGAATCCAATTGCCTTAGATTTCTTTTTCTGATTTGCTCTCCTTGCAGACCATTCCGCACACCCAGAGCAGCTTATTTCCAATCACCATCCAGTGCTGTGTGGTTGACCTGCGGAAGGTACAGTTCACAAAAACTGTTCCATTTCTCTCCGGTTAGCAAACAAGAGTCCTTTGCTGTGACTCTGGCAGCCTGCTCCGCAATCAGTAGATCTTACCAGAGAACATAAGTAGTGGACACCCTGGGCCCTGAACTCACTGTTTGGAGCCCAGAACTCAACTGTTTGAGGTGTCACCTCTGCAAGTAAGAAGGTCGTGGGCTCAAACCATACGTCAGAACTTTATAGTCTAGGCTAACAATCCAATGCAGTGCTGGAGGAGCACCTCGTTTTCAGAGGGCAACTTGCAAATTAAACCCGTTGCTGAAGAGAGAATGAATGCCTCTGGAACTTAATAAATCATTGAGTAAAACGTCCAGTTGAACTGCTGCTAAAATAGCAGCTTTGGCCGACATCGACAAAGGGCGCTGCATATGACACTGAAGAGAATTTCAGCCCACAGTTCGGGTTAGAAAATAATAGAAACAATGACCTGTGTATAGCTGCGCCACACACGCTGGAAACAGATGCATAGACGTCCGTGCCCCACACGGCTTGCTTTGTACTGAGACATCCTGGTGAGCATTTGGCAATGAACTCTGGCACCTTAATTTTTCCAGCTCGGATGTCACAGTCTATCTGGGCCACGCCTAAAGCCACAAGAGGAAACAGATGGTTAGAGACAAAAAAAGTGAAAAGTGTTCATTCATGTTAGTTGATTCATCGCTCATCATGTAAAAACAATTCATCTTTAAAGTATTAACGTGTTGCCCTTTGCCAATGTGGCAATAAATGTATAAACAGTTGCTGCAAAATAGGACATGCAGAGACTTGTAGCCGCCCTTGTCTGTTTATTTAACCTAAATAAGTACTTTCAACCACTAAATAATATGGGGAAAAGCTTCTCCCTTTTCAAATACAGTTTGCACACAGATAGTTTCAAGAGGAGGAACAAATTAAACTTTAAATATATAATGTGTTATATTTGGCTTGGTTGTTTGGTATGAACTAGAGCATTTGAGTATGTTCAAAGGATCAGCTTAGCAGTTTGTACAACCTTTATATTACGGATATAACCCTGTGGAGTGCCTGGAATCTAAGACACCGACTCGACTGATCAAGCCCACAAAGACTCAATAACTTTAGCATTGACACCTGGTTATAAATACTAGCATCTACGAAGCACTTCAACAACCCAATTGCTGAGTGCCAGCCAACAAAAAATCCTGCAGTGTAAATAGTTTCCAGGAATCTCAGTGTATCAAGACATCAGCTCTTCATCTGTGCAAATCCTTCTTCTGCAGGTGACAGGCAACTTTTATTTGGAGATTTAGCATCTCCTGAGTTATTAACAATCTCAAGTCATTGGATTTCTTCAAATCCCTCATTCCCTCAATCAATCATCAAACTTTTCAGACATACTATAAATCCAGTACTGGGGCCAACTCCAACAAGCTTTTAATCCTGAAAAAAAACTGTATATATGCAGAGGCCCTCTGGGTGAGTGAATGTGATTCGGAGAAGGTAAATGTCAAAAAGGCTTCCCCTTGTGAAACTGCTCAGATGGTTTCAAGAGGAGGAACATTAAAAAAAATCTGCTGCACATAACTAACCAGGCAAGAAGCATCAGCTAACACACTCGCTGAGAGACAAGCACACTACAGATATTTCCAGGTCAGACTTTGCACCTACTTTGCTTTTTGCCTCTCCTTGCCTTTGGCTTTACACCATCTGCAAACATCAGCAGTAGAACTGGAAAGAAAAATAAGAGTCTTGAACATCTGCTCTTTCCACCTTCACGTGAGCTGCATTAGAGAACAGAAAAAATGTCAATTCAGAAACATGACTGTTTGACTGTCACAAGTGGAGAAATAGCACTGTCAACAACAACAACAACAACTTGTTCTTGTAAAGTCGACAGGATGATCTTCTATCTCGAAGAGCTTAACAGACAATGTTGACCAACTGCAAGGTCTAAGAGATAGGTTTTTAATAGAATTGTGGATGCATGGAAAGAGGAAACAGGTTGAAGAGGTTTGGGAAGAGAGTTCCAAAGCACAGGGTATAGTGGCTGAAACACAGGAAACAATGGTTGAATTAAATTAACAAGGACAAGAAGTAAGAAACAGGAAAACAGGAACAGAGGAAGCCATTCAGACCACTGAGATAGTTCTACCAATTTATTAGGTCTTTTAAGCCCAATACTCTGCCTTTTCACCATATCATTCAATAGCTACACTGGCCAAGTATTTGTCTATCTCTCTGATAAACCATCCGCATTGATTCCACCTCCTTCACAGCTTTCTGGGCAGAGCATCCCATTAGTATTGGAAGAGCAAGGGTAACAGGCGGGAGAATAGGACTGAACGAAATTGCATAGAAAAGGATGGGTAAGACTACGAAGGGACATGAAGATGAAGACAATCAATAATTTATGCTGCACATCTTTGCAACAGCTGCTTCTCTTTGAAACCTTGCCATCCAAACTATCCTGTATCAGAAGATCAAGGAGACATATACACAAATGTTCTTATTTAACCTCAGAAAAAAAATCACAGGTTTGATTACAGTCAAAATTAAAGAAACAATCTGAGCACAACTCTCAAATATAAAATCACAACTTACATGCAGTGTTCATCTCCTTTTGCTTATTTGGTGCATTTCTGGTCCCTGACAGATTTTATCCTATTAAATATGTCATCTTTTGCAGTTTATACATGTAAAATGGATCAGGTTTTCTGCTACCTACCTAGAACGATGATTCCAAGTGTGAATTTGTTCATTGTGCGATTGAGCCTGAGTTACAAATGGCTTTGGATTCTCCTCAGTCTATAAGCGAGCCCGTTCCTGGTCACAAGAGAGGAGAATGAGTAGTCATCGCAGGACTAATAATACTAACAACAATAATAATAATAATCCTTGCATTTGATATAGCGCTTTATCAAGTCATTGAGACGTCTCAAAGAGCTTCACAGAATATACTATAAAGTGAATTGACTGCATATTTTGTGGGCGAATCACGTCAGCCAATTGTGGAGTAAGAAAATTTGCCTAAGGTTTTACCCCGCCCAGGAATCGAACCCTGGTCCTTTTGCTTGCGAGGCAAGTGCTCTAACCAATACACTACAGGACGCACTGACTTAGTGGGAACAACATGACAAGAAAATACTGATGATTTCCTCATAGTTGTGTTTACAACAAAGCTGATCAGGTCAGTGTGCCACACTCTGTACTGTATTATTCACTCTACAGACAAATTTCTGTAAAGTGAATGACCAATTTTATTTTGGGGATTGTTAGACTGGACACCTTCTCTTTTTGAATAGTGCCATGGGGTCTTTAACATTCATCTGAGGTAGGCGGGACCTCAGTTTAATGTCTCATGTGAAAGACAGCACCTTAGCATTACTCGCAGAGTGCCAGCCTAGACTATGAATTTGAACTCACAGCCTTCTGTCTCAGAAGGCGAGACTGCTAGCAACTGACTAAGGCTGACATTAATCAATATTAATAATAATCCTTACATTTAGTCTAGCACCTTTCACATTGTGAGAGTATCTCAAAGGATTTACTGTAAAGTGCAGTGACTGTCTGTATTTTGTAGCTAGATTACATACGTAAACATAGAAAAAGAAAAAAGACATCACTTGTTATTCTTTGAGCCATTCTCCCAACATGAGACGCTTTACCAAATGTAAAATATTTCACGATGGATGTCATTCCACCCATTGACTTCCAGAGAAAAAGCTCTATTTTGGAAACTCCCTGAAGTCAAAAGAAATTCAGGAAAAAATTCCATGATTTTGCTTCATCCACACATCTATGTACAGCTAAAGTAAATTTGCTATCATCAACGGTGGAAATCTGTTGGTTTTGCAATGTCAGGCTTGCTGTGTGATGTCATTCTGTGTATGCAGTCTAACACTGAGTGTAAATGGTCAAAGCAAAACCCGTAAAACTGCCCTAAGCAGTAAACAAAGAACACATTGCCAGTCAATTCAATTCAGTCAATTCAAACTCTCCCCAGCCCAAAGCCAGTGGAAGTGGCACAATCCTACTTCATTTAAAATCTTGTAACATGTGAGTGCCCGACGGTGTCCCACTCATCACCATGATGATAACTTTCTGGTACTCCTCTCCAATGCAAGAAATAATATCACACAACCAGAACAAACCCCCATCACTAATACAGTTCAACATAGCCTTGCTCAACACAATCAATCCAGCACAGATCAGCTCTGCACAGCACAGCATTGATACGAATTTAGTAGCAGATACAATATTAATACAATACAATATCAATACAAGCGATGTAGTACTTAAGAGAATTCTCTGAAGATCTCCTCCTCATGTGTCCTGCCAAACAAGCACTACGCTGTACACCACCAGCACCCCAGACCTGAAAGGCCAGCGTCAGTGACTCTGAATGGTGGATTACTCTATTGGCATTGTGGCAGCTGTAAAATGGGATTAGGAACATTTTCCTTTTAGTGAAGCCTGAAAGGGACTCATTGCTATGCTCTCCCTGCTCGTCTTTCCATCGCTGAATCAGTACAGTTTCAGATTCACTCAAGCCTTAAATAATGAAATATCTTGAAAAGAGATGGCAAAGTTCATTCAAATGTGATATTAACTTGGTGTTTCCTGACTCTTTCTACTCTTTCCTTTCAGATTGACTAGGTCTGCAGTGATGATGGGGAGCAGAGCAGCTGCTAATGTGGCCTCACAACAGCAGCAGTGATGGAGTTAACATCGCATTGTGTGGAAGATAGATTGTGCTATTTGAGGGCGCTGCCGGACAATGGGAATAGGGGCATTACTCAAACCACATCGCCAAGCTGTGAGAGCACAGACCTTGGTCCAATGCTTTTACAGAGAGCAAAGCAAAGAGCGAGGAAGCAAAGAGTTGCATTTAAGAAAGACCTCAATACGAGAGGCTTTCATTAATTGTGCCCAGTATTGTTATAGTGTGTAACAGGAGAGTGGTCATGATAGGAAATGTTATCAGTGAGACATTTCTATGCTTATTCACTAAGAGAGAATCAACAACAACAGCTTGCATTTATATAACGCAACACCCCCACCCCCATGCAGGATAGCGCCTCAGAGTGCTGTCTTAATGAATCGTGGAGGATATTTATTATACTAGTTGAGATTACATTAACATATATTATGATGATCTGTATTGGATTTCCATAAGTACTTTTCCTATGTTACTCAAATGCTACCACAATGTATTGAGAGTGGTACGGTGATCCATACCTGTAGCAGCATTGGAGGACGCTATCTCCATGAAACAGCATCTGACTGTCAAAACTTCCTTACAAACATAAAATATAGTGATTTATTATAATCATTGAAATTAACGCAGTGCTTTATCACATTTTAAAAATATCTCAACGTGCTTCACAGGATTTTCCAAAGTGGTGTGACTTGTGCATTTCTGGTGAACAGCAGCTAATTTGTGCACAGCAATGTTCCACAAACAGCCATGATGTGAATGATCAATTTTATCTGGGAGATTGTTGGCCAGTGAAAACTCCCCTTTCCTTTCAACCAGTGCTATGGAATCTTTAATGTCTACCCGAACAGGCAGATAGGACCCAGTTCAATGTCTCATCTGTAGGATGGCACTTCCGACAATGTATTGGAGTGTCAGTCTAAGTCAAATCTCATCTCAGCAATATGTTCCCAGCTCCTGAAAGAGGCTATAATCGAGGCTGTAATCGCGAGCTTTAAAATCCTTTGCTGATGGAATAAAACAGTAATGTCCTACGCTTTTATGATTCTAGTCTACTGTCATTAGCCAAATCTTCAGCCGCTATACTCCTCCAAATACATTTTAGTTGACTGTAGACAACAACTTTAATTCTCCCTTTTCCATAATTGGTGATCTCCAATAAATCCAATCAGCTCTTCGAGACCTTCATTCCATTCAATAGCTAAATGCAAAGAGGGAAAAGATATGAAAAGAGGGTGGAGAGGGAGAGAAGCTGAAAGCCTGGGTGCAGATGACAAGGACACATAGGAAGGCAGCCAGACTGAAAACTAACACAAATAGGCAGAGTGTACATTCAGAGGGAATTGAAAAAGACTTCGGGCAAGGAGTAAAATTGGGAAAACTAGCTGATACTGATCAATAGATGTGCATTTCAGTAGAGGTGCAGCAAAAATATTAGTTCAGGACAATTAAATGCTTTGAGGAAGCAGCTAATAATATTCCAACTCACTGTGGTAAACAAGAATATACAATGTGCTCTCTCTTAGAATGGATGGAAGGTAAAAGATGAAGATCTTGAATGTGATGATCAGGGTCTGGTAGTTTGCCAAAATGATGTGGAATGTCGCAATTGGGGCATGCTAAGCGGCATTCATTGCTTTATTTTTCTTTCCTCATCCTCACTTAGTGAATTCTTCGATTGCTATCTCGGTGAAATTATGGTGATAACTCTGAAAGTTTACTCAGAATGGAGAAACCTTCGATTTGAGAGAATGTGCAGACACTCAAAATGTCTAACCTATAAGTTGGAGATTAATCTAACCTGTGCATTAACTGTCTCCCTACCCCAAATTCCCAGATGTTTATGCACTTTATGTATACTCAGTAATGTATTCTAAGATGGGAACAAAACCATTTGATACATGAGGACCTGCTATTCCTTCACTGAATCTTAAAGGAACAGGTCTACTTTGAAAATGTTATTAAAAGCATTTGCAAAGAATTACAAAGAATAAAAACAGGATATTCAGCTCAGCCAGTCCATGTTTATACTCCACACGAGCCTCCACACACTGCTTTACTGTCTCCCATATACTTCTATTTCCTTCTCCCTCATGTGAAGGTTTAGCTTCCTCTTAAATGTATCTACAGTGTCTGATTCAACCACCGCTTCAGGCAGCAAGTTCCACAATCTCACTACCCTTTGCGTGAAGTAGTTCCTCCTAAATTCTCTTTTAGATCCCTAGAGAGCTACAATTGGGTTAATAATGATCCTTACATTTGATACAGTGCTTTATCACATTGTCAAAATGTCTAATAGCACTTTACAGGATTTTACAGTGAAGGGTAGTAATTATGTATTTTTAGGCAAATGTGGCAGCCAATTAAAGCAGAGTCACACAAACAGCCATGAAGTGAATATTTTATCTGGGGGATTGTTAGCCAGGAAACTGGGAGAGACTTCTTTTTTTTAAAATAGTATCATGGGATCTTTAATGTCTATGAACAGGCAAACAGAACCTTGGCTTAATATCTCGTCCAAAGGATGGCATCTCAAACAATTCAGCACAACCCTAGCACTGCATTAGATCAAATGATCTGGAACTAGGAGTCGCAAGCACAGTGGCTAAGTTTGCAGATGACACCAAGCTAACGAAGGTGGTAGATTGCGAAGCTGAACAAGATAGGTTACAGGAGGGTTTGAACATACTTGGAAATTGGGCAGACCAGTGCCAGATGAACTTCAATGTGGAGAAATGTAAAGTACTGCACATGGGGAAAATAATACTCATGGAAAATGAAAAGTACCTTGGAGTCCTGATTGACAATAAATTGAAGCTCTCCCAATAATGCTTTGTGGCAGTGAGTAAAGCGAGAAGATACAGACGAGGGCAACCAAACTGATTGAGGGATTGGAGTGATTGAACTATAGGGAACTACTAAGTAAAGCTCATGCTGGAAAAGAGAAGATTGTGAGGCGAACTGATTGCTGTCTTAAGAGATTCTAAAGGGGCAAGACCATATAGATCATAACACGCTGTTTCAATTTGTCCAGAATAATAGAACCAGAGCACACGACTTACGATTGAAGGGGGGAAATTCAGAACGAATCTACGCAAACACTATTTCTGTGAGCGGTTGAAGCAGGAAGTTTTGATTCTTTCAAACACAGATTAGATAGTTTTCCTTTAGGAACTAACATTATGGGATATAGTACATAGGTAGTTTGGGACATATGTGCACGTGACCATCAGGAAGGTGGAAGGTAAACTAGATGGACCTTGGTCTTTTTTCGTCTAGCATTTCTGATGTTCTTATTAGAAAGTCGGCCTAGACTGCATGAATTCAAAATCATAAACTGGATCTTGAACCCACAACTTTCTGAGTCAGAGGCGGAAGAGGGCTAACATATGAGCCTACCTGATACCCTCATACAATATTTTTTAACAGAATTCATTAAGATATCCTGAATTCTTGTTGACCTGCATTCTGGATGTCTATCACATTTGATTTGTGTTCCCATGGGTCAGCATGACTTATTTCCAGAAAAAATACCCAGTTGCCTGGCTCAAATTCCTTATTAAGGAATTTTTGAAAAAAATACCAGAAATAAGACCTTACAAACCTGGTGATTGCTCAGACTGACCTCCCTCCACTGTAACTTTGGGCTTCGGATGCCATGTTGCAATGTTTACCTTCACAATGTTAGATTTAAGTTTTATAAGAGTGGACTTGAAAAAAGCAGTAATTTCCCACAGACTGACTCACTCACTACTAAGCAACATTTGGGCAAGTTACTCCCCTAGGGCTGTCCAGTGCTTGGGGAATCAAACCCTAGTGGAAATATTAAAATAATATTAAAGTAATATTAAAGTAATATTAAAATAATATTAAGATACTATTAAAATAATATTACAGTAATATTAAAGTAATAAAGCTATGATAAGCTTTACTGGTATTTTGCTACATTGAAAATGAGACAGAAGAATCTGTGGATTGACCTATAACTTAAAGGATAAAATCAACTGAACTAAAGTTAAAGACAAATAACAACTTAATGTCATGATTGGACTGTCCAATATGCAGGAATGTAATACATTATCCTCACTTAGCAAAACTTAATTTTCTTGGGGAAAAATTATTTGGGCACATGCGGTCAGTAGTGTTTGAGTTCCTATGTGATGTAATAACTAACACTATGGAGCATTCTTATAACTGCTGAAATACCCTGTGAGAAATATAGGCATTTCTATATGCAGGTTTCATTTTCTTTGATGCTGAAATGAAGTATCTACAACAGCAACAACGACGACAATAACTTGGGTTTATACAGCACCCTTCACACAGGGCAGTGTCTCATAGCGCTTAATATAATCTATAGATAAAACTAAATAACTTTGCAAATGAAGTCTCCCATATAGCTTTCATAAACACTTAAATTAGTTATTTTTACCTTTCAGGAACAATATTCATAAATGTTTTGCAGCATTGTTTCACAAAGCTGTTAATCAAGTAACACATTGTGACAGAAGAGTAATGTATCAAAGACTTAAGGATGTATTATTGGGGCAGGCCCTATGGTGTTGTGGGGTAGAGCTGCAGCTTACTGACCAGCCTATGGTTAGGGAGAGGAGAACCAGCCAGGAATCCTGCTCCTGGTGCCTCTACAACACCCTCTATGGCTGTGCCCATGTATGGCTGTCAGGTGGGGAGAGGTCAGGCTCGGCTATGCCACCCTCTACAGTTAAATGGCCTGCCATTTACCAAGGCCAACAGTGGACACTTGGGCAAGGTGCTGGAAGACAACCAGCACCTGTGAAACCCTAACCCAGTAAGAGGCCAGACCAGGAGAAGAGTGGCATAGGCCAATAGGGAGACATATGAGAAATTATAATAATTTATTTAAATAATAATAATCTTTGCATTTAATATAGCACTTTTTCACGTCGTCGAGACGCCTCAAAGCACCTCACAGGATATACTGTAAAGTATATTGATTGTGTATTTCATGGGCGAAATGCGGCAGCCAGTTGGACATAGCAATGTATCACAAACAGCCAAGGAGTGAGTGGCTAACTGTATTTCGGGGAGAAACTCCCTTCTCTTTTGGAATAGTGCTATGGGATCTTTAACATCCACTTGAACAGGCAGCCAGTACCTCAGTTTAACGTCTCACCCAAAGGATGTCACTTCAACAATGCAACAGCCCCCCAGCACTGCATTGGAGTGTCATCTTAGACTATGTGATACCAAGTCCAAGATGTGGGGCTTGAACCCACTACCTTCTGATTCAGAGCGCTACCACCATGCCAGGCTGACGCTCAAAACGTGTTATTATAACGGTGAGAATAAATGCCAGATTCTTAAAACAAAATCTACTTAATAAATAGTGAGGTTGTATCGTCTCCTCATTGTGTAGAGGGCAAAACCGCAGTCACTTAAATATATTAAGTTATTCCAACACTTGCTAAGCGGCTTCTTAACTTCGCATTGCATATATAAGTGACTCTGAAAACATTAAGATACTGCATATTAAGGTTCACTTTGGTCCGATTTTTTCTTTGATAAATAATGTTCACAGCAAGAGCCAGATTTTTCTTCCAATTTAACAAAAAGTCAAGCAAATGCCCTAGAAGTAGTACAGAAACCCCAGGACAAATAATACTGAGGGAGTTTACCTTCCCATTGCCCTCTCACTCTATGCAATACCTCTCTAACTCAGAGTGAGGCGCAGAGCATAACACCAGTTCAATCATTCACGAACTATCCGAATAAAAATGAATGCCTCAGGTTATATTCTTCATGTTTGTACTGGTTTTAGCAAACTCAGATCGGTTCCAGAGATTACACACACACACACACACACACACATATATATATATATACATATGTATGTGCACGACATCTATGGCAAAGTGCACATTATTTCACCTGTTAATTTTTTTTCACAAAATATACAAAATACAAAATAACATTTGCATAGCGCCTTACAGGTCGGGGAGGTCGTCCCAAGGCGCTGAAAGAGATCAAACCTGAGTTTGATATCCTGCGATCAGTTTTCATTCCCCTCTCAGTTAATGCACACCAACATCCACATCACTTACTTGCTGTTGCACACACACACACTCACACACAGATAGGTGTGATGTGAGGGAGCTTCTCCTTTACATCTCTGCTGAAGCCACATATAAAATATATATATATATATAATACATATAAAATATATGAATATATTTTGAGGTTCCATTACACATAGATCTCAGTGATCTCTGTCTGTAACCCCAAGTTATATACATTGTATTGGAGATTTATGGAATTGGTACAAGTAACGCTGGAATCAGAGAAGCATTTGTGCATTATGTTTGCACAGACAATCTAACAGAATTGCTGTTAAAGGTGAAGTTAAGAAAAGAGTGAATCGAATAACATTGAACTTACCGATGTATTGCAATCAGTGTTGTCTTCCAGACTGACTTCAGTGTGCAGTGCCTGCTGGCAGCACTGCTACATCCACATCACAGCTCTGCACTCCTTCTCTCAGCTCAGCATCAACCCTACATAACCATGGTTTGCACGGCAGACAGTGCAAGCAGCTGATCAGGGTGTTAGGGGAGTGCCACACACACACACACACACACAGCCACTGAGGGAAGGTGAGAGGCGGGCTGTGTGCACCCTATCAGCCACCCACACTTACACAAGGGATAGGCAGGATTCAGGCTGAATATACAGCCTCCCATACATCAACGTTAGCACCAATTCCTGCACTCCCCAATAACAAGACTCCTACACCAGCACACCAGCCCAATACCAACTCACTAGGTAGGTCAACTTGGTTCAACTGCTAGCACTCTTGCCTCTGATTCAGATACTTGTGGCTTCAAGCCCCGCTTTGAGACTTTGAGCTCATAGTCTAGACTGACTCTCCAATACAGTGTTGTATGGTCGGAGGCGCCATCCTTTGGATGAGACGAGAAACCAAAGTGCTATTTGGCTGTTCAGATGGACGTTAAATATCCCGCAGCAATATTAAAAAAAATGGAATTTTTCTGGTGTCCTGACAAATAACCCACTGGATAAAATTGTTTATTCAATTCGCCACTGTTTTATGGGATGTTGCTGTGGGGAAAATGTCAGCCGTACTTCCCTACAAAAACACACAGCCGCTACACCTTACAGTATATCCAGTGAAGTGCTTTGAGACGTCCTCCCGACTTAAAGGGGCTATATCAATGCAAGGGTTATTATTATAACATATGGCTGGAAACTTTTTCTGCCATCATTGGAGTCCTTAGCTCTGTAGCTACAGCACTCACCTCGCAAGCAAGCAAACTCAATTCCTGGCAGGGCGAAATTTCTGTGCAAGTTTTCTTACTCCACACACCTCTGTTTACCTAGCAGTAAGTAGCAACCTAGTTGGTTGTTAGTTGATTGGTGGATTGCTCTTCCGGAGTAATAATTCCTTCAAAAAAAAATAATAAATTGGTCGCTTCAATCCACAACTGTTTGTTGGACATGTTGTACACAATTGGCCGCCATGTTTCGCCCACAAGATATACAATCAATTCACTTGATAGTATATTCTGTGAAACGCTTTGAGACATCTCAAAGACGTGATAAGGCACTACATCAAATGCAAGGATTATTATTATCAATTACTTTTCATTTGATCAAGCTAGGATTGAGTCTGCAGGAGCTCTTGTGTTTCACAGGACCCACTATGCATGTTTTTTTGTTTAGCCGGGTAACTGGCATCACTGTGCTTAAGAGTATCCAAAACAGACTGAGAGTTCCACATATGTGTGACACCTACATGTGGAAATTTCCCTGAGTCTGGAATGGAATGAAATGCGTACTCTCTCCCACTGGGCATGGCCAGTATAAATGGATTAGTTAGACTGCCAATACTACAAGCAAGAGATTTCAGGGTTTCAGGCATCTCAATTCTGCTCACAGATAAAAAAAAATGATTGCTTAGATCACAATTTTTCCAACGTTTTACTGTAGTAGAGGACATAAGCGCTCTGAGACGCTACCCTGTGTGAGGTGCGCTATATAAATGCAAGTAGTTGTTGTTCTGGCAGTTTTGACCAAACCTTTGTCTGAATGAAATGCCATTTAAATGCCCCAGTAACAGTGCTCACAACGTCTGAAGGTTGGCAATTGCCAAGTCTGATCACAGCTGACAACAGGGTGCATTCATCCCACAAACAAACACTCAGATCACAATGTGTTCACAGCTAATCTGACTAGTATCCAAGTACATTTCAGCCTAAATTGTCAGGCAATGGTACATTTGTTTGGACCTCAGTGCTTAACATTGTGCTGAATCTCCCACGCTATAACAGCCAGCAAAATGGAACACTTCCCTCATTGATTTGGAGTAGTTTGTGTGCTTCAGGGCTGATGGAGCAGCATCAAAACTAATAGTTCTATTTGTGGGGGGGGAGGGGGGTGACAATTGCCTCATATGCACAAAACCCCACTAATCCTAAATAAGCAATGTTTGTGGGAACCTCAGAGACACACCAACAAAGTACATTAATGCTCCGTTATTTGAATAAGATATAGAGAAAACCTATCTACTCTCAGTCTGAGATATCCGTTGCAACTTTATTTGTGCATAATTTAAACAATATGGTCTGCTACAGTAGGAGTTGTAGCTGGCCTTTACCGCCTGTGTGTTTGGTGAAAATAGTCTTTTTTCCCTTGTTTGTTCACTTCATGACTGTTTTATAGGAATAAAAAAAATAACCCTTTCCCACAAATGAAAGTTATATTTATGTATGGTTGCTGGTGTCAGTGAACTTGGCATGAATTAACCCTTTGAATGCAAAAGAACCTTTTCTATCTTTGAATAAACAGAACTTTTCAAGTTATAATATCCGCAACAATGAAGCCTACAAATCTTCAATGGGGGACATGAGCAGATCCTTCATTGACCTCCCAATGGACAGTTGAAATTGGTGGATAATTGAGATTGGGGATAATCAACAATTTGTCTTTTCAACGGCATGAATTAGAATTGAATTGTGATGTATATGACCATCAATTAGCTGATTATACACATCAAATGTGAACAAAGTGTTCAGTTACACACATTTTCTGCCAATCCCCAGCCTTGGTAAAAAGCCAAAGCTTTAACTAGACGCATAAAGGCTGCAAGTTTTTTTGCATGGAAAAGAAAAGTTTTGGACTACATCTGAAGGGTGGCCACAACGGAGGATTCATTTAAGAAACAGATTTATACTGAGATAGGAAAGTCAGTAGGGTGGGTGTCTGGAAGGATGAGATTAAATGGTCCTAAAAGTCATCTTGATTCATACCTCTCTTGTAATTATATGATCTCCAGAGAGATGATGGAACCTCTTACATTTCCGTCTTCGTTCAAGCTGTTTGTGTTGTGGAACAACATAACTCTTCCTCTCCATCCTTTTCAAGAGTAATTTCAGCGAAAAGCCTCATTTTAATTAAAAGGGACTCAAGTATACTCATTTGTGCTTTTTGAAAAACATATAGTTTTTAAATCGGTAGGAATTGCATAATAGGATGAATTTTCTTTATTCCAAACTGATTATTTAAGAAGCATAGACACAGAATGCCGAGAGCATGCAGCCACCCAAAGCTCACTGATAATGGTTATTTTACTGCCATCAACTCTCAGCATCTGCATCAATGTACATCAATCTGTAATCCAAGGAACTACAGGGGAGCTTTACACCATCAGCTGTGCTGTGCTTCAGGGGAGATGTTACCCGAGGTCCTGGCTGTGTGCTCATCAGGTGGATGTAAAAGATTCCTTGACACTTCAGAGATGTCTCTCCTGATAGACTGGCCAGCATTCCTCCAGATTCACTGGTCATCCACCATGTAATAATAATAATAATAATCCTAGATTTGATATAGCACATGATCACGTCATTGAGATGACTCAAAGTGCTTCTCAGAATATACTGTGAAGTGAATTGACTGTATATTTTGTGGGTGAAACCCAGCAGCCAATTACGCACAGCGGTGTCCCACAAATAGTCATGGATTGAGTGACCAAATTATTATTTTTTAAAAGGGATTATTGTCCCCTGAAAGTGATCTGCCAATTCACTAACAACCAGGTTTCTACTTACTGCTAGGTAAACAGAAGAATAAGGAAAATTGCCTAATGTTTCTTCCTGCCCGGGAACCAAAGCCTGATCCTCTCGCTTGCAAGGCAAGTGCTCTAATGCTGTAAGACTCCTCAAATGTGTCTGTTTGGGGGAACCTTGTGGGGTGCCAAATGGCTGCCACATTTGATGATAAAAATAGTTGTTACTGTGAAGTGCATTGAGCTGTTTTAAAGTGATAAGTGCTATAAAAATTCAAGCTCTTTCTTCAAAGCATAAAAGCTCCATTTATTTGCATGAATTATACAGGAAGTGTGTATTGACTTTTGGAAAGCAAACTTGTATTATTAGTATTATTATTGTTATAATTTAACTTATCTTGTGTTTCCTGCTACTATTTTTAAAATTATTTTATTTTGTTTATTTGTCAATGATCAACATGATTATTTGAAACAAAAACAGAGATCGCCTGGAACACTCAGCAGGTCAGGCATGATTATATGTTAGCCACAAAGATAAATAGATAGAAGATATTGTTTAGAAGCTAAGCTGAACACTATTCTCTGTCCAAAAGAGTAGGTCTAGCGGAATACCTCTTCTGAATACCAAAGAGCCCAGTCTATGTCATCAACAACAACAACAAAATTACATTTATAGAGCGCCTTTCACGTCGGGAGGACGTCCCAAAGCGCTGAACAGTCAGGTGTCGGGGCCCGAGCAGGGTGGGTGGGGGGGTGTTGGGGTGAGGGAAGGCGGAGAGGTGGGAGGGAGACCAAAGCATTGGTCGAAGAGAAGGGTCTTGAGACCCTTCTTCCTAGCTCATCCCTTTAACACTGGACATCAGCCTTGTTACTGTTTTCACTGTTTGTAATGTCGGGGTAGAGGAGACTTTTTTAAGTTGTGGAGAGTTGACCAGGACACAGTTCTCCAGGTGTGGGCTATAAAAATGCTTTAAAGTTTGTAAATTAACCTCTTGTGAGGTATTATTCCAAAGGTCCTATGGAGCGTAAGTATACTATGTGAGGCCTTCCACTGGCAGCTTGTGAAGCTTTCACCATAGCAAATCTATCAGTCACAATCTGTTCCTTCTGAAGCCACATTATAATAACAATAATATTAATAGTCCATTGAAATGTCTCAGAGCATTTTGCATGGTTCACTGTAAAGTACAGTGAGAGTTTATTTTTAGGTAAAAACAGCAGCCAATTTTCACACATCAATGTCCCCAAAAACGGCATGAAGTGAATGACTAATTTTTTATCTTGGGACTTGTTGGCCTCGAGAAACTCTTGTTTCTTTTTGAATAGTGGTAACGGATCTTTAACGTCCACCTGAACAGGCAGGCGAGACTTTGGTTTAACGTCTAATACAAAGAATGGCACCTCTAACAGTGCAGTGCAATCTCTGACTTGGAGGCGAGAGTGCTATCAGCTGAACAGATTGTGCAGTTGTAGGCTGTGATAAATTTTTATGTATCCTTTCAACACTTCATTGCATTCCAATTCCACGTTATTAAGGTTAATAAATCTTCTTAGACATTAGGTTATTCCTTATTCAGGTTTTATGACCCTGCTATTTTCCTTCTGGGAATATATTTCATTTCCTTAAGGCAATTTTTAAACAATTGAATTTCATCTCCATTATTTATATATGATTGCCTCCTACTATGTGTCCTTTTATAGCCCAAGGCACTGTGCACTGTGCATAAAATTTAATCTGAGTTTCATAGGTCAGTGGGCAACACTCATTGACAGGTTAAGACTTGTGTTTACAATCTTTGCTTCATTGAACATAAATACCAACAATAATATTCCTTGTATTTGATACAGTCAGGTCTTTGAATTGCCTCGAAGCCTTTTAACAGTCTCAGTTGATCTTTGCTGTGAAATGTGTAATCAATGCAGTTTCATGATAAATTGACACATGTTGATAGATGATCTGAGCAATGTGGTATCTACAAGGTGATGAACAAGGTGTGGTGCAGTTTGAAATGAACAGTAAAACGATCCATCTGTCAAGATTTCATTCCTGTGGCAACTGAAGAGAATGATACTGACCTGGGCCAAAGTGTCTAATTGCTGGAGCGATTGGGATATGCCAGAGTTGCAAAAATTATAGAACACAAAAAGCCGTACAGTGGGTTTGTTTGGAAACCTATTTGTGGAGTGAGTCATTCCTGTGTGCATTTACTGTTTGTACATCTTTTTTTTAAAAAAAAGGTGCTTACTGTTCATATTCAAATGTTAAATTGGTAATTTTCACACGTTCACAAGATTGGTTGTTGAAGAAGGCCCTTTGGCCCATCTGATCTCATCCTTCCAGAATACCCACCAAATGGTCCTCCCATCACAGCATCAAGCTTCTCTTTAAATAAGTCCAATGTCCTTGGCTCAACCATTCTTCCTGATAACCTGTTCCAGTTGATTATTCTCTGGGTAAAGAAAAACTTCCTGGTATCTGCCTTAAAATATTCTTTGCAACTTTAAACCCATGGCATCTCGCTCCATTGTCTTGGTGTGTCCAAAAGTATTGACAATCAAAATGGTTTGAAAATGATAACAACGGAGTGTGTGGATTACTTAACTGAAGACCCATTAAATGGTGACCACTTAGCAAAAATTAAAAGAGAAGAACACTAGATTTGATAATGAATCCAATGTTTAACTGTTCCTTTCCGCATGAGGAAGAAGCAGTTAAGACACATCTCATAACATATCACTTTGACTGCACTTTTGGTCCCCTCCCACCCCCTTGGTTTGCATCCTCATGCGTGTGCCCAAACAGCTGTGTCCTGCACCTTGAGACATGCTCCTGATGTGAAAGGTATTATTTATAAGTAAATTGTATTGTGTTGTATGACTGCTTTGTTTAGAGGTTGATGTGCATTTAACAAAGTGTAATAATACATAACACAAGTTCAGAGGAGAAACTGAATTGACTACATGTGTCTGAACTTTATTATGTTTATTCTTTGAACCATGATCTAACTTGGGCCTGTATTGAGCCTCACTGGAGTGCACTGCTTTTCACAATGTCTAACGTGAGAAGCAGCAATTACAAAGATAACATTTTTAAACATACTCCACCGCATTATTGCTGGCTTCAAAACATTGAGTGAATGCTCGCGTTATTTATTTTTCCAATGGATGACAACAACAACAACAGATTACATTTGTATAGCGCCTTTCACGGGAGGACCTCCCAAGGCCCTGGACAGTGTACAGTATTTCAGACCCGAGCTGGGGTCGGGGGGGGAGAAGGGAGGGGAGGGGAAGGGGGTGGCCGATGGCATGTCGAAGCGGAGGGTCTTGAGGCGGGACTTGAAGGAGGCTGAGGAGGGGGCGAGGCGGAGTGATTGCGGGATGGAATTCCAGAGGTTGGGGGCAGAGTAGCTGAAGGCTCTCCCGCCAATGGTGGGGCGGGTGGGTCGTGGGACGTAGGGTTAGGCCGGAGCCGGCTGAGCGGAGGGAACGGGCGGGTTGGTAGGGGGTTAGGAGGTCACAGAGGTAGGGTGGGGCGAGGCCATGGGGGGCTTTATAGGTGAGGACCAAGATCTTGAACTGGATCCTCTGAAGGATAGGGAGCCAGTGGAGTCGGGCGAGAGTGGGGGAGATGGGGTCACGGAGTTTGGTGCGGGAGAGGACACGGGCTGCAGAGTTCTGGATTATCTGCAGCCTGTGGAGGGAGGAATTGGGAAGGCCGACAAGCAGGGCATTTGCATAGTCGAGCCTGGAGGTGATGAAGGCATGAACAAGAGGTTCAGCGGCCTGAGGGGTGAGGTAGTGGTGGAGTCGGGCGATGTTACGGAGGTGAGGGAAGGCAGAGCGGGTCATTTGCTTGGATGTGGGGAAGAAAAGACAGTTGAGAGTCGAACAAGACACCAAGGTTCCTGACTGGCTGGTGAGTTGTAGTGTGGAACCATGGAGGTTGATGTTGCCAGAGCCTGAAGTGCAGAGGCTCTGATGTGAGCTGATCAGGAGGGCCTCAGTCTTGTTCACATTCAACTGTAGGAAGTTTTCCCTCATCCAGAACTTGATGTCCAACAGGCAGTCTGTCAGGACAGCAGTGGTCCTGGAGTTGAGGCTGGAGGCAGAGAGATAGGGTTGGGTGTCATCCACATAAATGTGGAAGTTGACCCCATGTCTGCGGATGATGTCACCAAGGGGGAGCATGTAGATATTAAAGAGGAGAGCGCCAAGGACAGAGCCCTGGGGGGACACCAGACGTGACAGTGCGGGGGCTGGAGGAGAAACCGCTAGAGGCAACAACGTGGAGATTGTGAGAGAGATAGGAATCGAACCAGGCAAGGACAGGTCCACGAAGATTGAGTAAAGAGGAAAGGATGAGGATGGAGTGGTCAACAGTGTCGAAGGCGGCAGAGAGGTCGAGGAGGACAAGGAGGCAGAGGGAGCCCTGATCACAGATGTTCAGAATGTCATTAGTGACTTTGACCGGGGCTGTTTCCGTGCTTTAGGCAGCGCGGAAGTCGGATTGGAAGGTTTCAAAGAGGGAATGACGAGAGCGAAAGGAGTGGAGCTGGGACACGACGACTCATTCCAGGACCTTGGAGAGGAATGGGAGGTTAGAGATGGGCCGGTAGCTGGAGAGGAGGGATGGGTCCAGGGAAGGTTTTTTCAAGATGGGGTTGATGACGGCTGTTTCTTACAGGTTAAATAAACATGCTACACACCACAGCAAACACCATCACCACGTTGTAAACATAGTTCATAGACCATCAATATTCCTACAGCCGGTCACATTCATACAGCGAATCATCAGCCTCTGAGCCCATAGGAACAAAGAAGACATCTTTATTATGAAGAGGTGGGCTTTTGGATGGGCTGCCCATTCCTGAGTCAGGACTCGCCACCTGCTGAAGTTCCTCTGCGTATCTGTCCTTATTGGCTTGCTGCTGCTCAGGTCTGTGTCTGAGGTGCTTGAATCTCTTGAGCTTCACGGATTCCTTGGGCTCCTTGACACACGGCAGTAAGATGTAAATATCCTTACGGAATTTTGAGTTCAGTCCAAAATATATCATAGGATTATAGAAACTGGCCGATTTGGCGAAAAGACTGGCAAAAATGCCCGTCAGTTGTGGCACAGTATAGCCACTTGCAGACCACATGGAAATAACAGCATAAGGTGACCAAGCAATAATGAAGGCTGTGCAGATAACCATTGAAACCTACGGAGAAGAAAGTCTCATGTTATGGAAGTGTAGGAGGAACCGTAAAAGAATATTAACCTGACAATCATTACGTAAATGGTTTAATGTCTAGCAATAGATGTTTTAGCCATGTTAGTGAAAATATTTAGATGGTGATTATAGATAGTAAATGATGGGCACTCAAATACAACAAACTGAGGCCCTTTACATTAACATAGAAGCATGCAAAGGATATTCAGTCCATCAAGCCTGTTCATGCCTTTCCCCCACAAAATATACAGTCCATTCACTTTACAGTATATTCATGAAGCACTTTGAGATGTCTCAAAGATGTGCTAAGGCGCTATATCAAATGCAAGAATTATTATTATCACGTCATAGCATCTCAAAGCACTTCACAGTTTTACATAATGTGTAATGACTGTATTTGAAGATGAACGCAACAGCCAAATTGCAAGCATGCAAATAACCATGAAGAAAATAACCCTATTTTTGTTTGGGGATTGTTTGCCAGGACATCAAAAGGACTAACTTCTCATATCAGTTGGGGAAAAAATGCATTTGATATTGCACCTTTTACGTTGCTTCAAGCATTTCACAGGATAAAAGGTAAAGTGGAGTGACAGTGTATTTTGTAGGCAAATCTGACAGCCAATTTGTGCACAGCAGTGTCCCACAACAGCCATGGTGAGTACCTGATTTTATCTAGAGGATTGTTGAATAGGACAGTTTTCTGACTCAGAGGCCAGAGAACAACAACTGAGCCAGGCTGACAATTTTATTCAATCGTGGCAGATCTTTTAAACTTATTGACTTGTTGTTTCTCCATATGCCTTTCTTATCAAATTTCCATATACATCCCTTTTAAATAACCTTTTGGGCCTACAGACTTTTAGAGAATGGTTTCTTTTGTGAACTCGCTCAGAACTGGATCATTCTATTAAAACAATGCATGTATTTTATTCAAATTCTAGCAATTAGAAAGGCTTTTTAAACGTTGATTTTCTCATTGTCAAACTATTTTGAGACCAATATCTAAGCGAGTAAGTGCAAAATCCAGACTCTCTCCTGGCCCTGATTTCCGATTTTTCAGATCAGCCTCAGGGAAACAAGAGTAAAAAGATTAAACATGAAGATCAAAAAGAGGAAGGAATGCATTGATGGAGCAGCTTAAATATTTTTAATACTATTTTAGAAGCACCAGAATTAACTTTGAGATTAGAGATCTGATGCAGCCAGTGAAAATATTGACATTATGAGTTTCACATAAACAGGTATGAAAGTAGAAGACAGTAAATATAGACCCAGTGAAGGGGGTGCACTGCTGGTAAGGGCAATAAATACAGCAGGAGAGACAGGAGAAATGATCTGATAAGGACATCAAAGGGGGATCATTGAGGTACGGAGAAACGAGTAATAGGCAGGAAATCAACATACAACACAACAACAAAATTACATTTGTATTGTGCCTTTCACGTAAAGGAGGACATCCCAAGGTGCAGGACAGTCAGTGTTACAGAACCAAGCTGGGGGTCGGGATTGGGGAGGATGGAGGGTAGGGGGAGGGGAAGGAGGGTAATCGAAAGCATGGTCAAAGGGAGGGTCTTGAGATGAGTCTTGAAGGAGCCAAGGGAGGGAACGAGACGGAGGGACTGTAGGATGGAGTTCCAGAGGGTGGGGGCAGAGTGGCAGAAGGCCCGCCCCCAATGGTGGGGTGTGTGAGGCGGGGAATGTGAAGCAGGCCGGAGCCCACTGAGTGGAGGGAGCGAGCAGGATGGAAGGGGGTTAGGTGGTCGCAGAGGTAGTGGGGAGCAAGACCATGGAGGGCTCTGAAGGTGAGGACCAGGATCTTGAACTGTATCCTCTATTTGATGGGAAACCAGTGGAGTCAGGTGAGGATGGGGGTGATACGGTCATGGAGCCTGGTGTGGGAGAGGACACGGACTGCAGAAATCTGGATGATCTGCAGCCTTTGGAGAGAGGAGTTGGGGAGCCTGACAAGCAAGGAGTTTGCATAGTCGAGCCTAGATATTATGAATGCCTGTATGAGGAGGACGAGGAGGCAGAGAGAACATAGAGAAAATAGGTGACTCCATTCAATATTCCGGGCTCTCCGAAGCTTTGGCTTTTACCAACCTGTGCCTAATAGGTAAGCAAGATGCTTCCCACTGGGGAGAGAGTGAGCAATCCATTCCATGTGTAAATGGCATACGTGGAACTCTCAGTCTGGTTTGATTACTCCTCTTAATGGAGATGGGTTTCTGCATGTGTCAGAAATTTAGAAATATGAATTCTGTAGCTATAAGACAAGCTTTAGGGAGCCCTTTTTGTTTAATGGGTACAGAGTTCGAAACTGAAACAGAGGAATTTTTTTAAGACCGTTTTTGAGAGAGGTGAGTTGGAAAGAAAATTCATTTCTATTAGGAACAAACCAAGACCAGACCAGGTAATGACAGAGTAAGGAGGTCAAAATCAATTTAAACATGTTAAAATATATTTTATACCACAAGAAATGAAGGAATAGGCAACTGAGATCACACGGTATTAGAGGGAGTAAGGAAGTTAAAGGAACACAGATTGCAAAGCAGCAGCAAGCGGGATCCAAGCAAAGGTTTTAGTGACAAATAGCTAAAAACATGCCTCCTTCTGAATTGATCAATCTACAAGGGCCGCATTTGCAAAATTTGTGGCTTTGCCAAGGTCAAGCTTCAGGTATTACAGATGAAGTGCAGACCGACATCAAAGTTTAATTGAGGTTGGACTTTGAATCAGATAGGATCGCTGGCTTAGCTGACTTTGCACTTGCTTTAGTACTTTCCTCACATCATGGAGAGGTAGAGCATGGCAAAGATTGGTCCCTTCTCACACTCATTGCTCATTGTTGTGCCTGCAAACCACTAGGCTAGGACTGATATTTATATTGTTTGTGGAAATGTTCATCGAATAGATCATCTCTCATTCCTGCAAAAGGTAACCTCTCGGGTCAGTGAAATAATTTTACAAAAAATACATTTAATAGAAATATCCGGTCCAGATTGTGATTGAATGAAATAGTTCATGTGACAGCAATTCAATGTCACACACAAGTCTTTGTGAACTACAGTGTTTGACAATAATGTAGGTCCTGGTGGAATGATTGCTTTAGTTTAATTATTTTGGTAGAGATCAAAGCCTAAGCAATGCCGTGTTTACTCTGACAAGAAGAGTTTGGTTCCAAGGCTGAAACTCAAAGATCCACATGCACTTTAGTAAGAACTTACCCTCGTGACATCCTTCTCCATCCTTCTTTGGCGGTCACTCAGGTCAGCATTTCCCGCAAAGGCGTGGCTCGACTTGACAGTGTTAATGATTGAGATGTATGAAAACAACATGACGAACACAGGCAGGAAGAAGCAGCAGATAAAGATGGATATGATGTATGACTTGTAAATAGTGGAGAAGCTTGCTCTGCTCCAGTCTATTTCACAGGTTCCGTACATGCGATCTGTACCAAAGATAGAGACACCAGCATTTCATTTTCCAAAGAAATGGAAGTATAGAATAGTTTAGACGCATTGAATATAATTAATGCCACAAAGTGCAGTTGAGAACCAAGACAGTGTCTATACATGTTTGAACACAAGGAAATGGTGTTTGTCCTAATCCTAGAGCAGACATGCAGGCTGCCCTTCATGTAGTGGAGATAGGAGCTTTTTGATAAGTCTATCAAATCTGTCTGAAACCTCTTCAAAATCTGTAACTACGGAGATAGCTGTGAAAATCCTGGTTACACAAAGGGGGAGGAAAGAACCACCATGTTATTGGAGGAATTTGAATTATTCAATCATTAATACGACCGTAATAAACCAGGAAAGTAATCCGAATGGGAGGTTTGAAAAAGTTATTGTGAGTTGATTAAAGTAGGATTCTTGCAATGGTGAACTTAGTAACTGCATTTTCTACTATAATTTGGCAGCAGAAAATGGTTGAAAGATCTTAGCCATGTGCAACCATATCTTGCCTTATGTAAAGTATGTCTGTCATCACACAAATAATTCTAAGCCTCCTGTAAGTGTTCCTTGCTCTGAAAAGAGAGCAAGAAGAAACCTGCAGCAGCTAATGAGTAATGATTGTGTGGCAGGAAAGGCCCTTATTTACAATGCTCACAGTTCAAGGATCCACCTGGTTCATTTCAAGTGTCAGTATGGCTCAGTCGGTAGCACTCTCACCTCTGAGTCAGAAGATTGTAGGTTTAAGCCCCCACCAAACTCACATGCAGTGCTGAGGGTGTGTTGCATTGTTGGAGGTTCCATCCTTCAGATGAGACGTTAAACCAAGGTCTAATCTGCCTGTTCAGGTGGACGTTCAAGATCCTATGGCATTATTTGAAAGAGAAGGGAGTTTCTCCCGGCGTCAACAATTCCCCAAATAAAATGGGCCTTTTGCTTCAAGGCTGTTTGTGGGACATTGCTGTGTGTAACTGGGTTGCTGCATTCACCTACAAACACACAGTCACTCCACTTCATACTAAGTATCAAATGCAAGGATTATTATTATATAAATCCTGTGGCAACATCTCCTGATTTTAAAGGTGCTATACTAAATGCAATAATCATTATTTTTATTATTATTTCCACCTGGCTAACCTATTTCTTCACCAAACAGTTAACAGTGGAAACAGGTTACCAGGCGAGTGGTTGAGGCCAGGACAGTGGGCCTCATTTAAAATGAGTCCAGCTTCCTGCTGTGATGGGAAGACAGTGGAGTAGGTATTCTGGAGATCAAATAGGCCAAAGAGTCTTCTTCATCTGAACTTCTCTTGTGATCTCCTGGGTCCAGAAATTACTTCAGCTTTGGATATTCAAAACCATCCTACCATCTTCCTGTACTCAACAAGATTTTTGATGTGGCACTATCCCCAATTACATGTCACTAAGATTATCAAAATAATCAAAATTATAAATTAAATCAATTCACAGAAGCAACAATTCAATTTATGATACTGTTCTCATTTCAGTTGGAAAAGAAGGAGCAGCAAGATATTATAGCTTAACCTTAGGTCACTTTGATCGATATTGCTCTGGTCTGTTTTAGTGGCATTAGGCTCTAACTTGGGGCAATTATTTATTAGAAATATATTACTCAATTTCTAAAAAATCAAGTGTGTTAAACGATGCCAAGATGGTGTTGAACATAGAATTACACAGAATGTTACAGCATGGAAACATGCCATTTGCCCCAATAGTCTGAGGCAGAGTTTATACTCCAGTTTATGCTCCATTTGGCTCTTGGTGACAATCTTACCCGTGTAACTTCCCCAGTTGAAGAGAGGAGCTCCTGACCAGAAGATCGCAGCAATCCAGATCAGTACCAGCGACGCAGCGATACTCCCAGCGCTGATCGAATAAGCTGCAAAACATCACACAAGGGAATAACGTCACATCGATGCACTCTCTAACTCCAATACATTTTTCTGGATATTTGCCCTCTAGCTTAGTGATTTGCTATCATATATCTGATGCAGCAGTAATTACTGATACTGACACACTCGCCACTAATCAAAGTGCATATGTTCCCATGTGGGTGTAGCGGTGGAACATAACAGGGATAGGGCAGAGATGAATGAGCACCAACACACAAGGTCACAGATTTACTGCTAAAAAGTAACGTTGCCTTACTTTAAGCCTTAGAATATTATCAGGCATAGATTTCAAAATCAAATCTTCAGATTTGTTTCAGCTTTTTTATACAATAGTAAAAAAAGTCCAAATTTGGTCGAAGTCTTCTAATAATAATAATCCTTGCATTTGATATAGCGCTTTTCACGTCTTCGAGACGTCTCAAAGCGCTTCACAGAATATACTGTAAAGTGAACTGACTGTATATTTGTGGACAAAACGTGGCAGCCATTTGCGCACAGCAGTGTCCCACAAACAGTCGTGGATTGAAGTGACCAATTTATTATTGATTTTTTTCCTGCGGGATTATTATCAGGCGTGTGGAGTAAGGAAACTTGTCCAAGGTTTCACCCTGCCAGGAATCAAACCCAGGTCTCTCGCTTGCAAGGCGAGTGCTCTAACTATGGAGCTACAGGGCTCCACTGTCCTTCTAATGCACTGCGATGTGGAGTTTGACAACATTTTCAATTTGCAACTATTTCAACAATGCAACATATGAACAGAGCCCTAGAAATACAGAGCCACAAACTGCTGAGATAAGATATAGATAACATTTTTTTTTACAAATTGCTTTGTAATAGGACCCTCTAATTTACTTACAGCTATTCTATGTGTCTCATTATGTTACACATCTTTGCTGCACTGTGGTATGGCCCAATTGTGCTAAATTATTATTTTTAAAAAATTGCCCTTGCACCTTATATAGTGCGCTTCATGCAGGATAGGGTCTTGGAGCACTATACAGTCAAGCGTTTTGACCCCGACTAAGTGAGGAAGGCAAAGGGAGTTGACCATAGATCATAATCTCAAAGAGGTAGGTCTTAAAACGGGATTTAAAGATACATAAAGTGGGGGTGAGGCAGAGGAATTGAGGCAGGGAGTTCCAGAGGTTAGGGGTGTAGTAACTACAGATAAGAGTACAAAACCTTCAAGAGACATTTCCATTGAATCCACTGAAAAGATATGTGGAAAGGTTAGGGTTTTAAAGAGACAAGGTGAAAAGTAAAATATTACCTCTGTGCGGATGAACTGCTTTGATATATCTTATCACGCTGATCATTGTGTGTGTGTTAATACTAGCCAGGCCAAACAGCAATGTTAGGAAGCCATCGATCTGGAAAGATAAGATCCAGTGACTTGATAATGTGATCCCTAAACAGCTCCTCTTACCATTTTGTCTAATATACAAACAAATCATAGAGGTTACAGCATAGAAACACACCATTCATCCCATCAAAAGGGAAGCTTCTCCTGGTGGCCTGGCCAACAGTCCTCCAAATAAAATTGGTCATTTGGTTCATGGCTGTTTGTGGCACTTTACTGTATATCCTGTGAAGCACCTTGAGACATCCTCCTTAAGTGAAAGACACTCTACTAAATATAAGGATTCATACTAAATGAAATACACCATTTATTGCCTAATAAAGTTCTGTTTTCTAAACACTTAAAGAGGATGTCTCATCATCAGGAACATTGAGAGGAAAGAAATCAATTTTGACTGGGCATATGCAGAGGAATGATATAGGAGGATATGGGAAAATAGAATTGGGATTAGGATGGATGGCTTCTTGGAGGAACACTCATAGAAAAAATGGGCCAAATGACCTCTTACGGTAACATACTACAATCTCCTACTGTAACATACATTTCTAAAAGAATTATATTAACTTTAATGTTTCACTGTTTCATCCATATTTGACTATTTTGTGCGCTCAGTCTTATGCTGATGCCATCATTGGCTATTAGTGTACAAAGTTACTGAGCCCAAGCTGTGATAGCTGATTTAACATTAATACTTGGTGCTGAAGCTAAGTAGGTTAATGGGTAATTCTGTTAATAATAAGCTTTACACTTCACGGCACGCTATTTAAATTTAAACACGATGATATCATTGACTGAACAAAACAAATTTTTTAAAATTCAGAAATAGATGGAGAAAAAACATACATTAAAACGATCATTTGTCTTTGTGAGCCACTATTTTAAAAGGGATCCTAAAGGTCAGCCAATTTAAATATCAGCACCACTAATAATAATTAGCTAAAATAAATGATAAATAAATAATGCTTGAGTCTTTTACGTTGGGAGGTGTCTCAAAGTGTTTCACAGGATGTACTGTAAAGTGTAGTGACTATTTTGTACGTCAATGACAACAATACTAATATTAATATTCTTAATAGAGGCTCAGTACATTCAATGTTTCAGAACTTTGCTAATTACATATTTCTTATTGGAAAATCTGTTGAGAAATCTTGCAAATTAACTCCAATAATCACTACATGTTATGTAATCCGCACACAAAAACACACAGCAGTGCAAAACTGGTACACGCTTGTCCATTAATCTTTCAAGGAATAATTAGTTAGTCCAGTTCTTAAAAAAAAGCCAATGCGCCTGCAAAATATACAGTCACCACACTTTACAGTAATTTCTGTCAAGTGCTTTGAGAAATCTTGATGATGTGATAAGGCACTCTAGCAAATGCAAAGATTATTATTAATAGACAAATCATTAAAATAAATGATTTGTTCCACGGCAGTGATTCCAATTGACAATACCAATTGGTGACTAAATGTTTTAAGAGAAGCTCAGGAATGCTACTAGAAGTGATCTAAACTGTCCAATGGTACATATAAAGCACATAGCATTATAGACCAAATCAATGGAGCTCCAAATCTACCGTCTGTTGGTGAGCATGGATGAGATGTGGTACATTGCAGAGGTACCTACTGCAGCACAGTTATGCTACTCCCATTGCTCTGCACTGACCCTGCCTCCACTTTTCCAATCTGAAAAACTAAGTGACTAGAGATTATCCGACAGCTCAGCTTTTTGTTCTAAATATGTTCAAGTTGTTGTCACTTACTTACTGTTAAGAAACAAGATGGACTAGTGATCCAAATTTCTTTGCACGTTTATTGCTTTATTTAAATAAATATATTTTAATAATATTAAAGGAATGAATATACTTTTCTTTCTTGCTTTAATTCTTGATGATCATTGGTATCTGGTGGAACGATATTTGTATTGGCTTTAGTTGGTCTCTACTTTTTCTTACCTGACAAGTCCATATGGATGTAATCAAGAAGCCATCATCTCTAAACACATTAAAAATCTCAATAATTCCGCGGGAGTAGCCGAAAATAGAAATACTGGCATCTGACACCGCCAGGTTAAGTGTTAAATAATCCGGGGGTTGAAGTGACAACCTTTGCCTGTACAAGATAAATATCACGATGCTGTTTCCAAACCAGGATAACCAACCTGAAACCAAAAACACAGCGGCAAGGTGCATTAACAACATAAATATTTCAGTTTAATTTTAGATTAATAGCATACATTTGTCTAAACAGAATACACTTTGGGAACAATAAAGTAGTCGCAATTTGCTGGAATGGGGAATGCATTTTCCTATTACACCCCCCGACTTGCTCATTGGTAGCTGTCTCGCTGATATAAGAAACTGCATGTGGGCATTTCACTCTCTCGCAAGTGTAGAATTCATTGGTATAAAGCTACAGCAACAACAACAACTTGCATCTTTATAGCGCCCTTCACGCCGGATGACGTCTCGGTGCGCTTACCTAAACTGCAGTCAATCTAGTTGTAATGACAGGACTCAATCAGTCTCTTGTGCAGTTGTTGCCGCTGATGCTGTGTTTGGGTAGGAGCGTAACATTTCAGTGGTATTCTGACTATTTCATTTGAAATCATGTTGAAACAAACTACAGGTAGCTTAATTCTATGTAGCCACACTGTCACAACTGTACCAATATCAGTGATTCATTTTTCACCCCCACCCAAACACAAAAATGTGCTTCATCAGTAACAATCATCCTTGCATTTATAATAATCCTTGCATTCATTGTGCACAGTGGAACACAAAATTGAGTTAAAAAGGAGACCATGGAATGGGATTCCCCCATTCCACTTGCTGTCAACAGAGAGATGGGAAGGGGGGACAGAGAGAGAGGAATCAGTGCTGTTGCTTTCTCTGGCTCCAGTTACTAACAAACATAGGAACAAGGACTTGCAGCACAGGTCAAAGAGAAACAGTTTAAACCAATGGCTTTGGCTTTTAGAAATGTATCATGGTCTAGAATTATATAGTGACGAAAATGTCTTTAAGGGGGAAATCAGGTTCACTTTAATTGCATATTTATTTGCAGTCAATGTTTTGAGGATCCAGAAAAGGGCTAAAAAAGGAAGTACGTTTCCTATTCTTAAGAGCTGCTGTTATAGCCTGAGAAGCCTGAGTGTTTAGTAGGAGTTAGCGTTACCTACCGAGAATGAGCAGGTAGACGCCAATGATAGTCTCTCCTTGCTCTGAGATGGGATGCTCTTTAGGCTGGAAGGTGCTGTTGTGGTTTCTCCATGGGATACTAATTTGCCCAAGGCCTTGGAGAGACATCTTTCCACGTCCACGCACTCAAACACTGCTCTCATGGACCCAGGCTGAACCATCCAGCACCGCACTGAAGCCCTCTCACCCAGCCTGACAGCCAAGCACCACAACTCTGCGGCATAATTCTTAGACAATTAATCCCAGTCTGAATTAATTCCTTAATCCAGTCTAAGAATAACTGAATTACTTCTATTCTTGGCTCCTGTCATGACGTGCAAGAGTTTAATCCCCTTTCTTTTGGGCAGGGGGGAGGGTCAAGCTGAGGTCAATCAAGCCCCAGTGCTAGTTTATGGAGTCCATTAACAAGCTCCACTCAACAACAACAGCTAATAACATTTGTTTTGCGCCTTTCACTTTAGGAGAACGTCCCAAGACGCTGGACAGTCAGGGATCCGTACCCGAGCTGGTAGTTGGTATCAGGAAGGGTGGAGGGCAGGGAGGTTAAGGGTAGGAGGGTGACCGAGGGCACGGTCAAAGAGGAGGGTCTTGAAACGAGTCTTGAAAGAGGCAAGGGAGGGGGCGAGAGGGAGGGACTGCGGGATGGAGTTCCAATGGGCACGGACAGAGAGGCCATTGGTGGGATGGGCAAGGTGGGGGACATGAAGCAGGCCGGAGCCCGCTGAGCAGAGGGAGCGGGCAGGTTGGTAGGGGTTTCGGAGGTCACAGAGGTAGGAGGAGAAAGGCCTTGGAGGGCTTTGAAGATGAGGACCAGGATCTTGACTGTATCCTCTGAATGATGGGGAACCCATGGAGTCAGGCGAGGGTGGGGGTGATGGGATCGTGGAGCCTCGGTATTACATTACTGTAATACAGTATTACATTACTGAAATGACAAACCTCGAATAATTCCTTCATTAGTTTTTTTGGAGCAGAGGCAAGACTGGAGGAAGAACGAATGGTATGTGATAGTACTGACAATGACAGCTTTGCCCACAAAATACACAGTCAATTCACTTTATAATATTTTCTGTGAAGCGTTTTGAGACCCCACAATGATGTGATAAGGCACTATATCAAATGCAAGGATTATTAGTACTATTAATAATAGGAGTAGAGGGCAGGAGATGCAAACACTCACCTGCTGCCTAGGAGTCACCCAAGCAACAACAACAACAACAACAGGATTCCATTTATTGAGCGCCTTTCACGTCGGGAGGACGTCCCAAGGAGCTGTACAGTTGGGTCAGGACCCGAGCAGGGGAGAAATGGTCAGGGTGAGGGGAGGGAAGGGAGGGAGCGAGGAGGGTTAGAGAGTCGAGAGAGCTGAAGGCACGGTCAAAGAGAAAAAGCAAGTCTGGTTCCTGGAAAAGCAAGCAGAGAATATCTAATTCCCTGTGTAAGGAAGAATGGATCACTTCTCCACTTTCTGAAAGGTGACAGAGAAGACCCCCACCTCCACCCAAGACTGTCCAGGGTGCTGCACAAGTGGCTGTTTCCCAATCATGTTCATGTGAGGAGACCTGTAAATATGTTCAGATCCCATATTTAAAGCCTGTTATATGATTTTAAACTGAATAAACAAATTAACGTTTACCCAACACAGCCACAGTGTTTACAGTGAGCAGTGTGGTAACCCCTAAGTCCATGGGGATCAAGAGTTTAAACTCGCATCACATCACTTCTGAGACTTGTGATGATTTCACGATTGCTCTAGTAAGGGAGCTGGATTGTGTTTTAACAGAAGAGAGGCTGGTTGGAAGAATGGATCACTTCTCCGCTTTCTGAAAGAAGACCCCCACCTCCATCCCACACTGTCCAGGGGGGCTGAACAACCATGTGCACAATGGGGGGATGGAGCTGCCCTGCCAGTGCTGGGCTGAGCTGAGTTGAGCTTCCTGACAGTTTACGGAGCAGTACGAGCAAATTTCTTACGGGCAAAATATCTAGGATAGATGGCTTACCACCATGGGGATTCCTGCCTGCTCTGGTGTATGTTAAAAATGACATGGCATTGATTGAAAAGAAAGGGAATTTAATTCTCAAGATTAATTGGTCATTCACTTCATGGCTGTTTGTGGAACAGTCCTGTGTGCAAACTGACTGCTGTGTTTGCCCACAAATACACAGACCTGACAGCAATTTTCTGTGAAGTACTTTATGATGTTTCACTATTATAGGCACTGTCAAATGTAAACGGTTTATCAATGTCACTTTGATTGTATTAAAATACTAACATCAGTCTGAGGAATGCTGGTCAGCCTCATTGTATTACATTATGAAGAACTTCAAAACTTATCTTTCGAGCACCTGTTGTTTCATTATGATTATAATAATAATAATAATCCTTGCATTTGATATAGCGCTTTTCACGTCGGGAGGACGTCCCAAAGCGCTTCACGGAACACACTGTAAAGTGAATTGACTGTATATTTGTGGGCGAACGCGGCAGCCAATTGCGCATAGCAATTTCCCACAAACAGTCGTGGATTGAAAATGACCAATTTATTATTGTTTTTGGTTTTGGAGGGATTATTATTAGGCTCTGTGTGGAGTAAGGAAACTTGCCCAAGGTTTCGCCCTGACCTGCCTGGAATTGAACTCAAGGCAGATCAGAGAGCCAGGGAGATGCTCGCGCATGAATTGTCTCAAAGTGCTCTATACAGCTGACTTGGCACCTGAGCTGGTGTGGTTGGGAGGAAGAAAGGTGACCGAAAGAATGTTCAAAGAAATAGCTCTTAAGCGGACTTTAAAAGTGAGGAGGCCGAGGTGGAGAGATTCCAGGATGGAGTTCCAGAGTGGGAGCAGAATGACTGAAAATTCACCCAGAAGACCACCAGATGAAGAAGGCCCTTTGGCTCTTTTTATCTAATCCACCCTACTGTGCTCCTATCTCAGCATCAAGCTGCTTTTTAAATATTTCCAGTGGCCTGGCTTCAGCCACTCTCCCTAGCGAAAAAAACACTGATGGTAGGGCAGATAGGGCAGAGGACATGAAGCTGATTAATATTTGCTGAGCTTATGGATTGTTGGGTTACTGCGATTGCAGGGAATTATTGAGGTTGGGTAGGGATAGACCGTGGAGGGATTTGACTGTGAGGATGAGGATCTTGAATTTGACCTGATGAGGCATAGGGAGCCAGTGGAGCCAGCGAGGATGGGAAGGGATAGACTCACGGAGCCTGGTGCCTGGTTTCTATGCAAGGGGATGAGTTATAAAGAGAAGCGGAAATATGTTTTACAATCTGGATGAAAGGTGGTAAAAGAGAGTGAGTCCTCATTAAATTTTATAAGATATTTAATGGTATATTTGGGGAAAACTGTGCCTTTAGTTCAAAGTGAGTCACGAAAATAGGACCAGATGACATAAATACAAACCAGTTAAAAGAAAATTTATAATATATTTCAGGAGAAGAAATCTTATAGAGCAATAAATGGTAGAATAATCTTGTGGTGGAAGTAATCAAAAACAGCAGGGAACTAACTGCATTTATATAGCACCATTCACATTGGGAGGACATCCCAAGGCGCTGGACAGTCAAGCGATTTCACTTGGGGTGGGGTGGGGGAAAGGACCAAAGCATGGACAAAGAGGTGAGTGAACGAGGGAAATCTAGTGCGCAGCCTAATCAAGGCAAAAAACATAAAATTGGTCATTTGCTCTATGGCTGTTTGTGAGACATCACAATTTGGCAGCTGGTTTGCCTATAAAATATACAGTCAATATACTTTATATAAATTTTGAAATGCATGGAACTCTCAGTTTGGTTTGGATGCCCTTATGCATGGTGATGAATTTCCGCATGTGTCAGACACCTGGTTGACCAAAAACAATACAGTGAATGTTATGAACGTCTTGACAATGTGATAAGATGCTGTGTAAAATACAAGAATTATTATATAAAAACATAGGATCTCCTCAAACCACAGGTAGAGGTCATATTGGGAGAGTCCACGTACTATAGGAATGTGCTTTAGTAGAGCAAATAGACTTGAGACATTAACCTGTGTGAAGGAAGTTATGTAAACACAAATTCTTGTTTATTCCTGATTTTCCTGTGTTCGTGCCAGAGCTTGTTTGTGTGGTGCAATTAGAATGCTGAATTTAACTTACTGAAGCAACATGCTTTTACTTAGCAAGATGTTGTCAGACGGTTATAATATCCTACTCTGCGGGCTTCGTCCCAATCATTTGGTTCGCAGACTAAAGCTGTAACCCAGAAAGAACACAACACAGCCATTGCTGGCCTCCTGCATCGAGGATCCAGTTTGTTATTACAGGACCTTAGAGCTGGTCTTTGCCAAGGGCGGCACAACATGCAGGGAGAGAATTGCAGGGTTCTGCCCTGCAAGTGAAGAAGGTTTGGCAACATCAATCTGGTTGTTAATCCATCTGCCCTCCACTAAATGCCACCCAGCTAGAGGTTACCTTCAACACATCCTCCTCACTTGTAGCAAACAAATTAACTCCACTTATCAGCTTTTCCTGTACTGATTCGGAAGGTGAATCTTTGTTTCCAAACGATCTGAAACATTTTTGCTCACTTCCATTGTTAATGTGCAGTTCCATCACAGCTGGAGACCAACTATTCTCCTCGGGGTAGGTAAGTAGGGTATCCTTGGAGCTAAACTGGCTCCATGTTTGGCATATTTGGCAATGGAATGTCATGATGGAGCCAGCCCTCTGTGGCGATCTCGGTAGTCCGGTTCCTGAGCCAGGCAGGTCCACAGTATTCCCAAGTATTGGTGATGACAGCACAGCCAGCCTGGCTCATCGGCACAACTTGGAAGGGTAAACCAATCACTGGGGGCAGGGGCTCTTCGCACTCAGCAACTCTTAACCCTGCAAGCCAAAGCCCAAATAGGTAGGGTGGTCCTAGCTGAAAAAGCAGTGGGAAAGCTTGCCAGACAGTGATAACAATGGCAAGCTATGTGGTTTAAACTGGTTAGATTCCAGCAATACCCCAATGCACACTCTGGGGTCCCCAAGCCTTGGCTCTTGCCAATCTGCGCCTAATACTTTCCGTAATTAGATAAACAGAATTCATCCCTCCAAGGAGATAGTGCAC